AATCGAGATTGATGTCTCTGCACCGGAGCCGCAGTCCAAGAAAGCCCTGCGCAAGGCGAAAAAGCAGAAGTCAGAGCCTTCCACAGAAGACTCTGAGAAGAAAAAGCCCCAGGCTACTAAGCCAGCAGCCGAGGAGGCTCCAGCTAAACGCTCTGACTATGGAGTTTGGATCGGCAACCTGGCTTTCTCTGTGACAAGAGATGACCTTCGCAACTTCTTTACCAGCAATTGTTCTTTTACCGACGCTACGATCACAAGAATTCACATGCCCAAGGGACAAGAAAAATTCGGAAAGGTCCAGAACAAGGGCTTTGCCTATGTGGACTTCTCTACCCCGAAGGCCCTCGAGGAGGCATTGGCTTTGAGTGAGCAGCTTGTGACAGGCCGTCGAGTGTTGATCAAAAACGCAAAGAGCTTCGAGGGTCGGCCCGAGAAGTCTCGCGACCAGGAAGCTGCAACCATCAAGCCCGGTCACCCTCCGTCCCGTCGTATCTTCGTCGGAAACCTGGGATTCGATGTCACTAAGGAAATCATGGAGGGTCATTTCAGCCAATGCGGAGCGCTGGCTAATGTGCATCTTGCAACTTTCCAAGACACAGGAAAATGCAAGGGATATGGCTGGGTGGAGTTTGAGGATCTTGCCTCGGCGGAAGCAGCGGTGAGAGGCTTCATGATGGTTGGTGAGGATGACGAGAATTCATCCGACAGCTCCGATTCTGAATCTGAGAAGCCCAAGAAAAAGCCCAAGAAGAGCTTCAAGCGCAAGGTGTGGGTGAATATGCTTCTGGGTCGCCGCATGAAGCTGGAGTTTGCGGAAGATGCTACCACTCGCTACAAGAAACGCTTTGGTAAGGATGGCGAGGGTCGGAAGAATGAGTCGGAATCTAGCGAGACAAATGGCTCGGAGCGACCTCGATCCCACAAGCCGAAACGACCGGAAATTGACGACTCTCGATACTCCAAAGAGACCGTGCAGCGGCTCAGTGGTGCCATTGTTGAGTCTCAAGGTTCGAAAATCACGTTCGACTAAAATTGTGGACTCTGGTGTTTTTGTCGCTTCAACACATGCATCTCTTCTGATTGGGCTTCAATATTTTTTCCCCTGTCTATGTTTTGGTGGGTTTAATGCAGCCAATCCACAGGCGTTTTTGGGCAATACTTGGGCCGCCATTTTGTAATGATCTCCTCTGTGAGCTGCAATGGTATTGACGTGGCCATGAACTGAGGCGGCCCGTTTAAGGGGAAATCCGGATCTGTTCTGGCTTCACTGGGGCTTCGCAGCTCCATAACTGGGTAGATTTTGTTCTACGTTCAACCCACTATGTGGTATTTTCGTGCCTGTAAAGAAAATGTTTATGTTTATATAAACAAATACTGATGTGATTTATGCCTAGGAGAGAATTCAGCTTGAAATAAAGGTCTTTGCCCAAGCGTAAATAGTACTTTCGAGGTCCGTGGTGATAGTCTAGTGCGGGTTGGGTGTTATCAATCAAGGGTGGTCGCATGCACCCAGTAACCGACGCTCCCTGCATCCCTATTGCAGGGTGACCAGCATGGGCATATCACCCGGAACTGCATACACTGGTACAACCTAGAGCCGATAATCCACAAATCCAGGGCTCTATCCTATGTACACTCCGAAACCTGAAACTTGATAGTTATCATTATTTAAGTATTTGCAAATTTAACTCTAGTTAGTTGACTAGTTAACTAAGTTAAGTTAGTCAGAGATAGAGATCACGTAATCAAAGGTCAACAATCTAGACGCTGGCAGAATTCATTCACCGCCCCACTAGACCCGATCGGGGGTGACGTCTCTTTGCGATGTCATGCTTGTTGCGGTTGAGAATATCATGCTCTTCGCTGCTCTTCTATATCTTCCCCTTGCCCCTTGCTCTTTTTTTCCTTCTTCATTCTCCATCACCTTGTCTAAGCCAAGTTGCTTCATTTTTCTCTTTCTTTCTTCGCATTCTTTCATGTTTTCTTAGCACTTGCTTGTTCTTTTTGGAATTTACCTTGTTTCCACGCCCGCCTGCCTCATCCACCCAGTCCGCCTCCCATCGCCACCTTGAACTGGCTTCAACTAGCGAAAACCTTTATATCTCCCAAGTCGATTTTATCGGATCTTTCAAATTCCTGCCGTTCACCAAACACTCCATGGCTCCCCAGCGACGTCATATCGGGGCAAGCCGCAGACGGCGCAGAGATGACGATGGGGAAGACGAGGGCTCTCTTGCGGGCGACCTTGAAGATGACTCTCTGAGCGAGGGTTCAGCTCATAGTCACCATGAAGATGAGGATGCGGATGTGGAGGGCAGTGAGACCGAAGACGAGGCGTCGACAGGAATGGGAACAGGCAAGGTGAATGGTGGAAAAACGAACGGACGAGAACCACGACATAACTCTGCATCACCCACCAAGCCGGGGCTCAAAACAACAGTGTCCGATACTGAAGCGATGCTGAACGGGTTGAAGATTTCCGATGACTCAGAGGAAGTCCAGTCTCATCAGATGAACGAAGATCGAGAGCTCCAGACCGGCCGAACACCGTCAGCCCCTCCTACCGAACCCAAGCGTGAAACACTGCCTGCTCGAAAGCGTCGGGATCATGATAAGTACGTCAAGGAAAGGGACCAGAACCCGGCCTTTGTTCCCACACGAGGCAGCTTTTTTCTGCACGACAAGAGATCGACAGAGTTGGGGCCCAACAACCATCGTTCCTCCAACAAGGGCAAGTCTCGGCCGTACGGTCTCATTGTTGATGGCAATACTCAAAGGTATACTTTGATCCGTTACACGGATTATTGCATCTTGCTAACCTGTACATCTTTAGGGACTCTTCGAAGGCCGATGCGAGTGGCGGGCAGTGGGCTCACGATCTCCATGACACTGTAGCTGGAGATGAGCTGCCGCCGCCCAAACAATCAGTCCCCTCTGCTACACGTCAGCCTGCTCCAACTGTTCCCACTGCTCCTAGATCCTCTCCTCCGAATCGAACATTTTCAAGCACTACGTTGCTGGGAAATGTACCGGTCGTGGTCTATCTGCCGGGAATGGCCCAGCCGCAGTCAACAACCATGGCTAAGAAACAGCACACTCGTCTGCCTCAACATCGCCCTCCCTTGCGCCGTGACAAGCCGGTGCGAATCTCCCTCCCCGCTCAAGCTCCCCGCTACATATTTCCATCAACCGAACGTTCATTTATCTTCATTCCTCGCGCGATGCGCCCGAACCAGCACACATACCGTGGCCGTGGCCGAGGTGGTGGTTTCTACCCACGACGCCCAAGTTTCTACTCCAATTATGCTCCTAGCATTCCTCCGAGCCGCCGGGCTTCGCTTGGCATGTCTTCCCAGGATGGCTATCCCTCACCTGCCGGGTCAACCTACTCGCGCCCGATTATGATGCCACCTGATGCCAGCAAGCCTATTGTTCGCCTACCACCTCCACCGCGCCCAATCGTCCCAATCGCCTTTCCCCCGGCGCCTAATGGGATGCCTACAGGTGCCCCAGGGCCCATGCCTCCCATGCCACTTCCACATCCAGCCTACCGTGAAAGTCAGCGCGCTCCAATTCCCATGCACCAACCTCGTCCAAAGAAGACGGTGTCTGTGGCAGATATTGAAAGCCCTGATAATTTCCCATTTAATCCCCCCCAGCCTCAGCATGAACAGCCATTCCATCATCAGGTCCCAGTCCCCGTCAATGGTCAGGACGTGGTCGCTCGTGGCCCGCCTAGCCAATCGTCTGCTACTCCGCTCTCTCAGATCCCCGAGAGGGCAATCCACGCACCGGCATTTCAGCCCTACCCCTCATATCCACAACCCGGATTTTATCCGAGTTACTACCCTGGCGGAATGTACTATCCTAGCTCTGGCCCGGAATTCCCTGCCTATAATGGGCCGATGGGACCTGGTGCATCTGTACCAAATTTCCCACCGGGCCAACAATCTATGCCTCACCAAGTCCCAGGATCATCTCGTGAGCAACCATCTCAACCGGGAACGGTCGCCCATGAGTCTGGCGGCACTGTTTATTTCTATGATGCAAACCAGATGTACCCCACCTCCAACTATGGGGCGCCGGGATCTGGCCCCGGATCCGGGGGCGTGGTGGGGATGGGAGGCATGATGACGCCGCCCGGCACGGGCTACTACTTCCCCCAACCGCCGCCGGGCGCTGGAGGGCTATATTACAGCCAGTGATTGTGTCCTTTTCTTTTCTTTACTTTTTTCTTTTACTCTATTTTTCCCTCTTCATTTTCATGACCTCATTCCTTTTTATTTCATTTTGCCAAGTCCCCTAATTCTCACGGGGACCTTTTTATTCTTGGACTACTACTTTCTTTTGGACTATGCCTTTGCCTCATTTGGCTCAGCTGTTAGACTTGGATTTGGCTGCATTTGAGCGTTTCACCCATGATCCCCGCAGGGCGACAACATACTTTTGATCACTTTGCATGATCTAGGCCCCCCCTTTTTTTGCATGACCTCATGGTTCTCTTCTGGTTTTCCGCTTAACGGGGTTACGAAATACCACCAAAAGTACCTAACTTGATTCTTGCCAACGTAAATGTTATCTCAGAAGTCACTAGGGAGTCGCTTTTCTTGGTGAATTGTATGTTCTTGTACATATAATGTACCCATCCCCCGCTTACTCTGTACTTCCATGTACCAACTACGTATATCTACTTGCAAAGTGCCCGGCCTCATTACCTAATCGTACACCGCCCACGACACCAGCTGACCCAGTGACCCCGATTTCCGTACAACGATTGCTGTCCAGGCTTCTTTGCTTTCCTATTTCTTTCCCCTCTTCATCATTTCTGTATACAACTCTATCATCCGTCGTCGTTTCTTTCACTTCTGTATCTCCAAACTTTAGTACTGGGCTCCTTCAAACCCTTCCCTTCTCTCTCTCCTAGTACACCCGTCTTATCTCTCTAGCTTTCTTCTCTCCATACTTCTTCTATCATCCGCTTTCCCCCGGTAGTCTACATCATGGCTACCCCGGCCCTTCCATCACATCCAGGCCCAGATCACCTCGTTACTGTCAAAGTGCTCTTTAACGACAGCAACCGTCGCTTCAAGCTTCCGTTGAGAGATCTTCGGGCTCAAGTGTTCCCGCAGAAGGTAAGAGTGTCTCCACTCTAGCTCCGACCGGACATCCAGTCCGCCCACATCTCTTATCGTGATAACGATCAATACCATTCTTGTGCTGGATTGCCAAGATTGATCATCATTCTTATCCGAAAATGAAACATCAAAACACCCTAACTTGGTTACTTGTTGACTGACAAATGCGTTGGGTTTAGCTCCGCACTTTGCTCGGCGTTCCGGCGGATGTCAACGTCATCCTTGAACGCTATTCCGACAGCGCCGGTTGTTACATTCACTTAGACAGCGACAACCAAGGGGTCTACAAACAACTTTACCGAGCAGGCAAAGCCAAATCCAAGCTTCGCATTAAGGCTAGCACAGTCGATTCATCGGCCCCTGCGCCTACGGAGAGCTCGGCTGAGCTCGTGAATCAGAACCCAACCCCTCCGAGACATAGCTACCTGGACACTGTCTTAAGTTCCCCCATTCCTGTAGGTTCCACTGAGACTCTTCCTGCCAACACTGCTTCATCTCCTGCTCCTACTGCTGCCTTCGGTGAGTCACTGTCGACTGGAGTGTACGGAATAAAGGAGCTTGCGAATACAAGCGAGCCTCACTACCGCAATTTCGAAATGGAGAACGACACACTTCGCTTCCCAGTTATCTCTCACAATTCCCCTAGTGGGATGTTCTGCATTGATTGCAACAACTGCGGTCGCTCAATTGCAAATGAGCACTTTCACTGTGGTATCTGCGAGAACGGCGATTACGACCTGTGCCCCGCATGTGTCACGAACGGTGCTTTGTGCCGTGGAGAAGGCCACTGGCTTATTAAGCGCTCGGTCGAAAATGGCATCGTGACCAACAGTACTACCGAAACCATTCCGCCTCACCCAGCACAGGTCCAAGCGACCAAGCCCCTATCCTCTCGGCCAGCACAAGAGCCAATCGCCGAGACAGTGGCTCCCGTTCCTGCCCCAGCCCCTACGCCTGCTTATGTGTCTCACAAGGAAGTGCCCGCTCAAGAGGAGAAGCCTATGTGCAACGGATGTTGTCGTGGTATGTTGCTTTCTAGTCCAATAACAGTGTATTACAATCGCTAAATGCCCTGAACAGAGACTGATGAGAGCAACTTGGTGCGCTGCAATGAATGCGAAGATTACGATCTGTGTCTCCGTTGCCTTCTGAGGAACAAGCATGGTCATCACCCTGCTCATTCATTTTCGCTTGGATCGGATCGCAACTTCTGCTTGAAGAACTTGATCTTGTCTCGCTGTCTCCCTGGTCGTCAGTTCCAGCATGCAGCTATCTGTGATGGCTGTGAGAAGGTAATGATTGTCCACCTTTCCTTCATATGGCTTAAAAGTAGCATTACTAACGTGGACCTAGAACATTGTTGGCACCCGCCACAAGTGTCTTGATTGCCCTGATTGGGACTACTGTCCGGACTGCATCGTAAATGCTTCCCAGAGTCATCCCAGGCACCGATTTGCCCCAGTCTATGAAGCCCTCGCCGAGCAGCAGGCTCATGATTGGGAGATCCATTATGGCATCTTCTGTGATGGACCTCTGTGCAAAGACAAGCCCGCCCAGAGCTATATCAATGGAATTCGCTACAAGTGTGCCGTCTGCGATGACATTGATTTCTGCGCCAACTGCGAGGCTCTTCCAACCCACACCCACAACCGAACCCACCCATTGGTGAAGTTCAGGACTCCTGTTCGCACAGTGACTGTAAGCACTGTCACTGACGACCGCACCTTGGGCGACCAAGCTGCTGCTCCTGCTGCTCCTGTGTACTCTCCTGCCCAGTCTCAGATCTCCCATTGTACCTTCGAAACTTCTGAAGAGAAGGAGCCAGTTGTAGAGCAGGCGCCCGTGGAGGTTGATGCGACCAAGCCTGAGCCCCCCTGCTCCGGCGAATTGGCTGACTTCCAGGCTTATTTCATGCGCGATACCATCGCTGATGGTACCAAATTGCCTCCTGACACGTGCTTCCGTCAGACATGGACCCTTTACAACCCCGGACCCAACGCTTGGCCGGTGGGTAGTGACGTTCGCTTCTCTGGTGGAGATGCCATGTTCAACGTTGACTCTGACCACCCGTCGGGCGTTGAATCCATCCACTTGGCAATGAAGAGCAACAGTCTGATTACCCCTGTGGAGCCTGGTAGTACTGCTGACTTTACTGTGAACCTCCGGAGCTCACAGCGCGAAGGCACTGCCATCTCATACTGGCGTCTCAAGCTGCCCAACGGTACTCCCATCGGCCACCGTCTCTGGTGCGACATTCAAGTCCAGGCTACTGCTGAACCTTTCATGGCCGGGCCTGTGGAATCTCACATTTCCACCGACGACACCGAGATCACCGGCAGCCGTATGATCTTCCCCAAGTTGGAGAAGGAGTCTCCTGAGACCAGCACTCATGAAGCTGTAAATGCCGTTCGCCCTCCCCCTACTATTTCGACGGCTTCAGAAGGAGATATTCTCGAAGATGTGGAGAGCCTCACTCTGGACGGGACCGACACTGACGCGGGTTTCCTGACCGACGAGGAGTACGATGTTCTCGATGCTAGCGACCAGGAGTTCCTGGAGGCGAAGCAGTCTCTACGGTAGACCAGGTCACTGCCATGATGACATGAAGGGGATGCGAATGGGAATTGTGAATGGGAAAGCGAGTGGAAATGGGAATTTGCACAATGGTATATCTTTTTTTTTTTTCGGACTAACTTGCCCAACGGTCACTTCCGCCATGACCTCGATAATGATTTCTTCTACATCCTATGGATTTGACATTGATGTTTCCAGCACTGATTTAATCAGAAAACTCCTGGACGTCCAAAAAACAATCATTATTGCTTAGGATAGTCAATTGCATTTGCTTTATATATTATCGCACGTAGATTTGTTCCAATCCGGTCCTCTCTGGTACCCACCCGGCTATGACGATCTTGAGTGGGGAAAGATATGAGAAACCACATATCCGAGGTTGTTCCCTCCTTCCTCCCTTGTTTCGAATCTCACAACATCCCATGTCACCATGGGGGCTTTTCGTTCCTTGTTTGGCCTTGGCTTGGTGGCGGGCTTGCTAGCGTTTTGGCTTCCTGTGATTGTCCATTTTGTAAAAATTGGTGGTGTATTTGAAACTCCAACACCGACGATTCTAGGAGAAGGTCAAGGTCCTATCCGCATTGAGGATACCATCCATTGCGAGGACGTGCACCACTACCGCCCGGCCAACTTGTTGTTTACCGCGTGCGAAGATACCAAAGACACTCGTTTTGACTGGTTCCCGGGCCTAGGCCATCTGACGCCTCATCCACCAGCCCGTGGATCGATTCATGTGATTGACCCAAAAGTGAGTTAATTTGTATGATGCGAGTTGGATTCAGATGATTGACAGGACTTTTCTTATTATAGACATTCAAGTCCAAGAGGCTGGCTTTTACGAACTTCAAGGGCTCATTCGTGACCCATGGAATCGACGTCATTGAGGATCCCACGCAAGAGGACGCGGTGTATATCTTTGCCGTTAACCACTTGCCTAACCCCGAATATTTTGAGTCAAATGAAACTTCAGGAGAGATCTTCAAGGCACGGTCTCAGATTGAGCTGTTCCGCCACGTCTTGCAGTCGAATTCGGTGCAGCATGTCCGTTCCATTCTCCACCCGCTCGTTAGCACCCCCAATGACATCCACGCCGTCAGCCCGGACTCGTTCTACGTGACTAATGATCACTTCTACCGAGATGGCACCATGCGTCTTATTGAGGATGTCTATCCGCGCGCTAAGTGGTCGTCCATCATCCACGTCCAGCTGACCGATCTGGCAACGAGCGATGCGACAGCCGGCATTGAGGCCTCAATTGCTCATACTGGTCTCTGGAACAACAATGGCCTCGGTCATGGTCGCACTAAGAACGAAGTGGTTATCTCCAGTGCTATGGGCGGCGAGCTCTATCTGGCTGATCGGCACGCGACCAACAACACACTTTCCGTGCACACTACCATCCCTTTTAGCACAGTAACGGATAACCCTAGCTATTATGCTGATCCTTACCGAACTGTCTCAAATGATGCAAGTGGCTTTGTGGTCGCTGGTATCTCACAGCACCTCAAGCTGGCCAAAACTGCAAAAGACCCGAATGGCCTTGACCCAGTGCAGGTCTGGTACGCCCGCCCTCAGGCAGGTTCGAGTAAATGGGAAAAAAAATCCTTTTTGAGGATGACGGCTCGCGAATTCGCACAGGCAGTGCATCTGTTTTGGTCCCAATTGAGCCCGAGAATGGCAAGAAGATGGCCTGGTTGTTCGTGACTGGATTTTTGTCGGAGTCCATGGTGGCTGTACAAGTTGAGCTGTAACGACTGATGAAGCTTTTCAAGTGTGGTCAATACCATATATCTATCTGTATTCATCCTTTCTGCGTATGGATATGGTGTTCCTACATTCATCAATTTACATCGTACCTCGGTTCGTATAGTTCTGTGTATGCCTCAGGTGTCCATAATTTCCAGTTTCATTGTTTCATCTCCGCGTCACACGATAACGCCAACATCACTCGACCATTTCACCATCTCAATCGACCATGTCATCTCTCGCCCGAGGCACCTGTATCCTCCGGTTGTCATGTCGACCTCCATATCACGCAGTTCTTCTCCGCCAATCTCACAAACTCTTCTCAACGACCTCCGCACCCCTACAAGCGCAACCTAGCGATAAGAACTCCCCAAACACAGTAGTCGCACCAGAAGCACACGAGATCAACGCACCACTTAGCACCCTTCCCGCCGATCTCGCCCTTCCAGAGACCCTCCCTCCAACCGCCGCAGTCCCAGCAAAGCTGCAGCGCTTCATCGCCATCGGCCGCGCATACCTCACCTTCTACAAAACAGGCCTGAAGAACGTCTTTCGGAATTACCGTGCCTCGCTCCCATTAAGAAGAGAATTAGGTCTACCCGCCTATCTGCCGACGTCTCCACCGCGCAAGGTCCCAAACCCCATCAATCCCACCACGTCTGAAAAGACATCGAATGCTGGCCCTGCACCGTCGAGGAATACATATGATCTTCGCAGTCTGGGGCTGGGGAGAGGCCAGTTCCAGCTCGTGAGGCGTTCGGCGAGGGATGTTCAGCGTATGATTCCATTTACTTTGATTTTGATGATTTGCGGCGAGTTCACGCCGCTGATTATTCCTATCTTTGGGTCGGCGATTACGCCGGCTACATGTCGGGTTCCGGGGCAGATTACGAAAGACCGGGAGAGGGCTTCGAAACGGAAGGCGTTGGCTCTGCAGGCGTACACAGGTGCGAACCCGGAATCAAAGCCAATAAGTGATGTCGAGTCATTCAAGCTCTTGATCCAGCTGGCCAGTCCGGCTTGGGTTGAGACTGCCAACGCTGCGTCTGTGCTGCAGGCATGTGCCGTCTTTGGGCTTGTTAAAAAACATGATCGGTTCGCTGGGACGGCGCTAGCTGGCTTGGTTTATCGGCGTCGATTATTGCAGTACCTCGAGTATCTTGCTATCGATGATGCGATGATCCGGGGCGGTGGAGGAGTTGAGAAGCTGAGCTATGCCGAGGTGCGGATAGCGTTAGATGAACGTGGTGCCGGGGATGTGGACGACGCTATTCGTCGCGATTGCTCAGCGGAAGAAGTGGAATCGGTCGAAAGAAGCTGGTTGAACAAGTGGTTGACATCGAGGGAGGCATAGCATCTTTGCATGAACTAGAACTAGAACTAGATTTTGGTGGGTCTGCTTTGTACAGTAGACTGACCCTGTATTATATAGACTATTGATTATGAGATGAATCAATTTTGGGCATAAAGACGTCAAGCTGAATAGATGCCAATCTGGATAACAGATCATATACAATATCAAATTGATGCAAACCAAACCTCGAATTAGGGGGTATAACCAAACCAACAAATCAGCGTACCAAACGCTCCAAAGTATCCGCCATTTTTCATCATCAAGCTCAAATTTCCTCAGACCGCACCAAACTTCAGTTCTAGAGCCGAGGACGATGCTTGAGGTGGATTCTGACTGCGCATCTGTTTCGCCCATCGCAAGCCACAGCTGTTACACAGGTCTCGATTCCCGCTCGGACCACGACGCCATTCGGGGGTGTTTTTGGTGTTGCACATTGAACACGATTTCTCCACCGAGATGGCAATCTGCTTCCGCTTTCGCTTTTTGCGTCGGTTCACCAGACGCTGTAGCTCATCGGTTAAAGTTCGATTCTGTTTTTCGAGTTCACGCAATTCAATCTGCCAGCTGGATCCGCGAGTGGGATTCAATTCAATGAACAGGGTGGCAGGTGAATCGGAGGGAGAGAGGCTGCGGTTGCCAGTGGGTAGACCATTCAAGCCGATGAGAGTGGAGAGATCGGGCATACGCTGCCCAAGGGCACCGTACTGGCGAGGAGGGTTAGAGTCAGAGGTGGTGAGGGTGGTACTCTTGCTGGTGCCGGGAATATCGGCCATGGCATCATCCTCGGCGGCAGCTGTGGCAGCAGCAGACGGTGGGAATGCTCGTGCGAATCGTATTTGAGCAACGAGGAATGAGGGTCTGAGGCCGTTCGCAGAGTCACCAGCGTAGAGAGTGGTGTGGGCAGAAAGCGCATGGCCCTTTTTGTGTCGGATTTGGTGTCGGAACGACGGTGGTTCCTTTTTGGTTTTGTCACTGGCATTGTCACTCTCGTGGATGAAACTCGACGCAGCCGCTTCTAGGGCTTCCGAAATGGCGTCGGGACCATCTTCGGGCTCCATAAGATCTTGCAGGCTCTTACCGACCAAGTCATCGGGGGTGCGTCCTAGCACCGGTTTGGACTTGGTTGTCACGAACAAGATGACACCAGACAAGGAAATTTTAGCCCACACGTCATTTTCGGCGAGCGCCGCCGAGGAGCCCAGGCGGGCGATTTGATCCAGCGCATACACCGGTCGTGGACGGCCAGTCATCACGAGATACTTGCGGCCTTGGTTGGGATCAATATGCCAGGCACCATGACTCTCAAACCAAATGTATCCTCGATACTTTTGGCGGATGCGATACACAACGCTAACCGGGGCCGGTGTAGTGCTCGCCCGCAGGTCACGGATCACGGGTCCAATATCGCTAGGATGGCAGACCGTCGACAATGTCTTCCCCACCAGCTCAATGGAATCGTATTCCAGAATCCGCTTGCAGGATGGTGAGAGGTATAGGAACTCGCCATTAAAGGACAACACGTGGATCAGATCATCGGTGTTCTCAACCAAAATGCGATCCAAGTAGTTTCGCGATAGACTCGAGCCAGGGACACCTACGGCATTGAGGATGGCCGTCACTTCGTCATGGCCAAACTGGGTCGCAAGATCAGGTCGCATCCGGTAAATCTCTGGTGATGGTACCATATACTGCGGTAGCTGATCCCGTTGATAGTTGATACTGTAGGTGCCATCTATTTGACGGTCAGTTAGAATGAAGAGAGGAAGCAATTAATGGTCACGTACCAGGGTTTCTCCGCGTGATCGCATCCGGTTTCTCGACCAGATCGACCTGGAAACCAACGTAAAACCGATATTCTTCCGAGTTCCACTGAATGGGAATCATGGTGATAAGGTTCATGAAGGGCTGGCCACCCTTGCGGTAGTTGATGATACTGGCCTGGATCTCACTCCGTTCATCAATAGTTGAACGCAAGCGGTAAACTGTCTGTCCATCAACAAAGGTCCGCTTCATACCAGCCTTCAAACTGCCGTTCGGGTCCTGCAGGAAGCGGCAATTGCGGTCGACAATCTCCTCTTTGGTGTAGCCAGTCAGCCGTTCAAAGGCCTCTGACACATACACAATCGGATGATCTTCCCGTAGAATATCGCAAAGAACAAAGGCACATGACAAATCAACGGCACCAATGTTGATTTTGGGATTCGGACGGACTGCCACTCGGCTCTATTGATGGTCAGACCCGGTCATCTCATTCTTGACCACCAATACTCACCAAAACCCCCAGAACATCAAAGCCACTGCTGGAGTAGATGCCCGTGTGCTCCGTGTGGCCGGCATCAGGAGTACTCAATCCAGGAGACTGGTCTGCAAGCTCAACCCGTCAGTCTGCAGATAAAAAGTCGGGATTCTCTGTATCACTCACCTTTGTGCACTGGCTTCTTGGGTTGTATTGCGAGGGGTTGAAGAGGCCGCAGGGTTGTGGGCGCGTACGGGGGCTGTCGGGCGCGCTCTTGAACGGGTCGGGGTCGGGCCTGAGACTGATCGCTTGCTCGGGAGAAGTCTGAATCTCCAAAGCTCCCTGAAGAGCCAGTGCCAGCACTGTTGTCCGGTTCGGTGCGTGGTGGAGGTAGCCTCGGAGGCTGCTGCTGCTGTTGTTGTGCTTGTGCTTGTGGTTGCGCTTGCGCTTGCAGTGGTGACTGCTGGGGTTGGGGTTGGTGTTGCTGTAGCGGTGGCGGTTGTTGAAGATACTGCGGGTGCGGTGGTAAGGGTTGGAAGGGCGAGAAAGAGGGATGAAGTTGCGGTTGGTCTATCGGCGCGAGGCCCATGGAGGTGGCGGGGTACGTGGTGGGCACGTAGTTGAAGGCGTTGGGATCCATGCCCATCTGCATGGCCGGATTGGTAGCGTCATAAGCCAACATGACATTAGAGAGACGACCTTCCAGGTCCCCCTGTGGTCCTGGACGACCATAGGCATTCAGAGACATATTGGCGTCCTGCGACAACATGTTACCGTAGCCATAGTTCCCCGGTGGGTTAGGAAAGACCATCAAGGGGTCCTGGGGCAAAGACTGCGGGAGGGACACCCCTCCCTCCTGAGAGTCATCACGGGAAGTAAAATCCAAGTTGAACTGATCCATGAGGGAGAACCCTTGAATAAAGAAGGAAGGGCAGTTGGATAGGCCTCGCTCGGCCTTGCATCGAGGACCCAGAAATGCAAAGCTCAGACAGTGATCCAAACTCTCGGGAAAAGAGGGACCAGCGGCTTGGAATCCAGTCACGTTGGACGAGGGACTCCACCTGTCAAAGAGTCATAAAGATCGATCCCGACAAAGACGAGATGGACCTGGGGATCGAAGTTTTTGATTGTCGCTGTTCGTTTCTCAGGGAGATGTAGAAGGGAAAGTGGTGAATCCCCCTTCTCCTCTTTCATTCTCAAAAGTACAAGGCGACTGGACCCACTAAATACGGGGAAGTCAACCTTCGCATTTTGTAGGACAACGACGGTGAAACCAGATCTAGATAATCTGATAACTATAGCACTATATCATGACATCTATTATCGCTTTACCTATGTCTTAATTTGTTTGCTTATTGCTCGTTTGAGACCCTGCTCCCCTGAGAGAATCATCTGGTTTTCCCCCGGAATCCGTGTAAGTAATTGTCGTTACGAGAAAGTAGTGGATCTATCACATTAGCATTGCCGATGACAAGGGGGGAGTGGAAAGTATGAATTCGACTCAGTCGACCGATACCTGAGTCTAGGGGATAGGAAGAACCGGCCAGTAGCTATAAACGAAAACAAAAAGAGTATAGAGGGAGTCTTCAATTCTGAAACGAGTCCCTTATCAACATTGACATCTCTGGTTTCTCCTCCTCTCTGCAACTCTTTCTCCGCCACCAGATCCCGGTCATTACGGTAAGGTAATCTATCAGAAAATCCCTCATATTATCGGTTCTCTGGATAGCAGGCCGTCGTGGTCGACGCGATGGCAGACAACATCTCAGTAACCATCTGCGGCGACGGAGGATGCGGTACGTCCCTATAACCTTTTTTCTTCTCCTGGGACCTGATGTCCTCTGTGATTCGGTGCCATTGCTGTGGGAATTTGCGCGATCGAGATCTGATCAGATCGGGGAATAGGGAAATCGTCCATCACGCTGCGGCTGGTCCGTAGTCAATGGATTCACGAGTAAACATCCCCCCCCCCTGAACGGTGGCACACCAGACCGTGTCGCTAATATACCTTAGATATGACCCAACGATCGGTAGTTACATGGTCTCCCGTCCCTCTTGCGATTCATTCTCGATCGCGTGGTCGCACGGCGCGTCCGACCACGCGATCAGTACTAATGTACGCGCAGAGGATTCATACTCAGTCACCCGCACTGTCGACGGCCTCCCCTACTTCCTGTCCATCACTGACACCGCCGGTCAGGAGGAATACCGCGGACTATGGACCGCCAACACCCTCAAATCCGATGCCTTCCTCTTGGTCTACGACATTACAAACCCCTCCAGTCTGGAAACCTTGGATCATTTCATGGATCTGATCGATATGGAAGCCGAACAGCGTGTGGAGGATAATCAACGATTGCGCAAAGAGCTCGGTCCTACCGCCGGACCGGGGGTGGGCACGCCGCCGCCCGTGAAGATTGTGGCTGGGAACAAATGCGACCTGAAAGACGGGCGCGCCGTCACCTCTCGAGAGGGGCTAGAGTATGCGCGTCGACATGGGTGCGGATTTATGGAAACGAGTGCGCGGGAGATGGTCAACATCGAAGAGACCTTTGCTCGTATGTGAGAAGTGATCAAAAGGAGGGGCGATCGCGTGCTAAAGAAACCTATAGATTTGGTCCGTCGCGTCGTTGAAGCCCGCAGGATCCATTTGCAGGGCCCAGATCGGCCCTCGTCTCGAACTGGTCAGTCCGTTCATACGACTGCATTGCCCCCAACCACGACGGAGGTGACCAAGCGCCCCCGGGCGCGACGATTGTTCGGCATTGGTCAAGGCCGAGAATCTCCCGAGACCGATACGGACGAGACGCAGGGATGTTTATTCCGGCGACTGTGCTGTGTGTGTTGTGGATAATATATATACCCTAATTGGTGTTCCCTGTAAGATGTACGCTACTGTATGTAGGTTCCTGGATAATGTGGCCTCCGATTCGTTCAACCCTAGCTTTCGGATGTGATTTTTTCCCATTTCATGTTATGGAAAAGAAAACGTGGACTGTGCGGTGAGCAAGGCGGAAACAAGCTCCGTGATATCTAGAACAACCCCAAACAGGGCAACCTACGTCATTTGGTTGGAACAGGGAAGTTTTGCGGGACCCAGAGCCAATCAGGACATTTGCCCGTGGACAGGTACCGAGCTACGAACTGTCCCTGGAGTTGTCTCGATCTTTGTCACCTGGGGCAGATCGACATCAAAGAAAAGAAAACCGCACGCGGTCCGCATGCGGCATGCGGAGATCTCAACCCACGACGTGGATCACGGAGCATGGATCAGGGCGCCACTTGGAAGTCTTCATGCTCGTGTTCTAAGTATTATCGTTCTAGACGAACCCCGGTCGGTCGGGTAGAGTTTGAACCCCGATGGTCACGTCATGGACTTGAAGGTTGCATGGAACCACCGTATTCCCAAGCTAATTTATTGGATAGAAAAGGGGACTTCATACTCATGAATCACAGGGCGAGAGGTTGTTCTCGACTGCTCATCAGATCGTGACCGAATTATGATTCAGCGCATAAAACGGATTAATAATTCCCTGGAACGGGGTTAGCGTTCCGTTATACTGGACTCGGCATAGTCTTGCCGGTTATCCAGTATTTTATGCAGTTTTGCTTGGCTGTAGCCCTACACTTTTTGATCTGCTCGAGAATTATTCTTGATTCTGTCTCTCATAGATCAGACCATATACCAGAAGTAGTTGATCCTCCAGGTGATCCATCGGAGACGAAGCGACGGAAGTACAAACTCTCCGGATATACGTCACGAAATGTCTCCGAGGCCGAAGCTCCGTTCCGGGCTAGTGAACTTTGCGAAATGCCGAGTTTCCAGAACTCCACTTGTATACAATTGGGAAAAAAAAAAAAAGAAAATGCAAATTAAAACGGAAAAAAGAAATCAGAAAAAGGAAAATCGAAGGAAAAAAAGAAAACCGGCCCTGTGATCACCACGGTGGACCCAGTATAGACTTCTGATTCGATCCCGATCGAGGACTCCTAGGCATTTCTAAGTAAATTCGATTGCATTTAAATCCCTCTTTACCAAGAACTCAAAAAGGGCCCCATTCCCCCCCCCCTCCTTCCCATCTTTGAATGACTGGTATATGACATTGCAACCGCAAAACCTGTCAACCTTACTTTCCAAAGTCAATTGTGAACGGTACATACTTTCGACATCGTCATTAGATCATTGACTGGTTGACGTCGATCACTTCCCCTCCCGCCGCATTTGGAAGTATAGCTCGCCCAAAAGGATTTCCTTTCCAACGCACCCTCTCGCTTTCTACAACCGAGCTATATTGGTGCTCTTACTCCTTAATACCTCGTCGACTCCCGATTTCCATATATACATCATGGCGGCGCGCCAATCAACACCCAACTCCGATCACTCGCACTCTGACAATGTTCGTAAGCGTGTATGCAAGGCCTGCGATCGGTGTCGCTTGAAGAAATCCAAGGTATGTGATCTCCATGGATGCCTATCCATCCAGCGACTGACCGGTCCAGTGTGATGGATCAAGCCCCTGTTCACGGTGTCGGGCAGACAATGCGGTCTGCGTCTTCGGAGAGCGCAAGAAGGCCCATGATAAAGTGTATCCGAAAGGGTGAGCAATCTCGCCCCAGGATCTACATCAAGTGGACCATTCCTAACTAATTGCGTCCTCCTTTAGATACGTTGAGATGCTCGAACAGCAACAGGCCTGGTTGGTGCACGGACTTCAGGAGCTTTACCGTCGCAGCACTACGGGCGAAGGCTGGCCTGGAGATCGATTGAAGGCCGAGCCCAACGGCCACCCATTGACACACGACCTGCTGACCCGCTTGGGCGCTCTCGATCACACCAAGGGCGAACACTTTGAGGAGAACCCAGAATCCATGCAGCAGGACCTATGGCGCCACGGCATGCAGCGTCAGGAATCATCGGACGGTAGCTCCGAAGCGCAATCCCCGGTCGCCCGCACTCGTTTCTCGTCCGATGCTTTCTCTCAATCCCAATCTCAGACTCAGACTCTGCCCCCAACGCCGCCAACATATCACCAAAGCCCGACCGCTCGCGCCCCGATTAAGCAAGAAGATCCTCTATCTGGAAACCCACCCTATGGCATGTCAATGTCCGGCGTCGTCAACCCCCTCGCGCTGCAGAGTCCACAACAATGGCCCACCAGTGGATTCGGTCCTTTTGACGATATGGAGATGATGTCTTCGGCGGATTACTCGAACTTGTCTTTCGACGAACAGATCCCGTCGCCCATGTTCAATCGTCAGATGCCGATGAACTGTGTCTCTTCAACGGACTATGAGGATTTTAACCAGTTCCTCAACCCAAATCCTACGGAGATCACCTCGATCTAAGGATGATTTCTCTTTCTTCTGATTCACCCTTTTTTTTTTTTTTTTTTTTTTTTATTTAACGCCGTATGACGTGATGCATGTATAACTATACATGTCTTTTTCTACTTCTTTTGACATTCTTTATTGGAGCTATGATCCCTTGGACGAGGGTCCTGTACAGTTGGGTTCGGGTTTAGGCGTTTGGGTTCAAAACGGGTTTCATGGCGTTCTCTGGGCTTTTCTTCTCTCCACAATCCACTTTCTTAGATCTTTGAAAGCAAACCGGATATTCCAACTCACCGACTCCACCTTGACTAAGCATGTCAGCGCGGATATAGGATATACGCCTTATCTCCATCTAATTTCTGATTTCTCATTTCTGCTTTCTTACTCAGAAATACGAAATGCAATTTAAACTTTTTGCGTTGTTTTTTCGTGTCTAGACCTACGCATACTACTTCTCTCTGTTTCTCTTGATCAATAATCCGGTTTACCCTGAGTCAGCGGAAGCATGTGGGTCGATTATTATTTTTTCGCCGACTCCACTTGGTATAGCTGTCGTGCTGTCCAAGACGGGCAATGCCCGAGGTGCCGAGATGCCGATGCGTTTGGGAGGCATTGAAACGAATACGATGACTAACAGGTTTTACGGGATTTTATTTTCCGTTCTAATCTATAACGTCCAACTGGTTTAGGCAACCAGTATGACTGAACATTAATACCACTTTCATATGAACTGCGCCCCAGGGGCACGCAAAAAAGACTTGGCCAAGTCTGGGGTAGAATCCTTCGGCGCTCGGAACCCCGTTTCGTCCGTTTCGAACGTTTCGGATGTCAGGTCGCCGAAGCCCGTGAACTTTGAGACTGCGTACCTTTTCAGAGCTAAGAAAACATAAATCATAAGGGAAAAGAAAAAGAAAATAGGTGAAAACGAAAATTAGGCTTTTTTTTCCAGGTCGCCCGCCCTTGGAGATATTAATGCATTGCATAACCATCAATACAAGGTCCCGGTGGAGTCACGGGGGAACCTAGTTTCCTCTGGCTTGCATGGATACTTAGCTATATAGTTTATTTTGCTTTGACTATAGGACCTCACGTTGACCTTGCCTAAATGCAACCTTTCTTGACATATCTTTGTGGTTCCTATTTAGGCTAAATCCCGGCGAGCTTCAGAGCCATTTAACCCGGTGGGTGATTCTGTCCCATTGCGGGGTTCCAACGTCATGTACTTGGGACCCTGAGATCTCCCACCTTCTTATCCCTACCACCATCAAAAGAGACCAATTCATCATGTCTGTCCCTGAACAAGCTGAATTCACCTTCCTCCCTCTCGGTGCCATTATCCAGGAGTTCCGCGTGGGCGGCAAGAACATCGTCCTGGGCTTCCCCACGCAGGACCACTACATTAAGCACAACACCGCGCATTACGGTGCCACCATTGGTCGTGTTGCCAACCGAATCAAGGATGGCCTCATCAAGAATCTGAATGGTCGTGACTACCAGCTGGCAAAGAATAATGGTCCCAATGCCCTCCACGGCGGCGAGAAGGGCTGGGGAAAGCGCATCTTTGATGGCCCGCTGACCGTCAACCGCAATGGTCGCGACGCCTTGCTCTTCAAGTACCTTTGTAAGGATGGAGAGGAAGGGTACCCCGGTACCGTGGAGGTCCGCGTCTGGTACACGGCTAGCAAGGAGGACAACAAGTCTGTCCTGACGGCCGAGTATGAGGTGGAGTTTGTTGGAGATGAGTGTGAAGAGACGATCGTCAACATCACCAATCACAGGTAGGGTGCCCTCACTGATCCAGAAGGAATCCCAAACTCACGGATATAGCTACTTCAACATTGGTGACCGCGCCACTATTGCCGGCATCACCGCTCAGCTCGAAACGGACAACTATCTGCCCATCGACTCCACCGGGATTCCAGAGGGCGGGGTCGCCAAGTTCCCCCGCGATGTGACCAAGCCCTTCGAGCTCCAGGCCACCGGCTCTCATATCGACGACGTCTTCGTCGTGGAGACGGACCCCTCCAAGATCCCGCTCGATACTCGTGGCCTCCCCGTTCGCCGACTGGCCCAGTTCAGCAGCGCCAGCACCGGGATCCATCTGGAGGTGCACAGCACCGAGCCCGCATTCCAATTCTACACGGGCAAGTACATTAACATTCCCTCCATCGATGGAGCGCCCGCCCACACCGAGGGTGCCGGATTCTGCGTTGAACCTAGTCGCTATGTGAACGCCATCAATGAGCCAGCATGGCGATCCATGGTGTTGCTCAAGAAGGGCCAAATCTTCGGATGTAAGAACGTGTATAAAGCCTGGACTGCGTAGGCCCGAACTTTCACCGAGTTTGGCCCATTTTCGATTCAACGATGTATATATTACCTCTGGTTCTAGATCCGAGGCAAGTGGATCCTTGTTTTTGTCAGCGGGAATGGACCTCGGCCGCAGATATAAGAACCGTGATCCCGAGCCGACAGTTCGAAGCCGATCCGCGGTTTCTGATTCGGCTTGCCTTGTCTACCGATGCGGATTCCGAGACAATCATTTTGAGTCAATATACCCAAGAACTTCACGTAGGAGCCCGTAGATGTTATATACGTCCCCAAGTGATCATCTAGGTTACGGTCAGATCTCATAACTGGGCTACTCGATTTCAATTCACATAAGGACCCTTGGGAACTTCCCTGGATCCCTGGATCCCTCACCTTCACTCTGGGCAGGTGGATCCAATCCAGTATCAGATCCCGATCCATTCTCGTGGTCGCGGGAAAAAAAAAAGAGAAAAAAAAGTTATGCAAATCCCTGACCCGCTCCGCGAATGTATAATCCTTCCAGAAAAATCCATCTGCGGATGTGCTCAACTGGGTAATGTGGAGCATATTACCTGATTTGGAGCTGGTTTGGACCAGCTCGAATACGAATACCAGTCGATACCCAGAAAAGGGGGAGCGTCCCAGGTCCGTGCCGTTTTTCCCGGAATCCGGTTTTGGTGCCGAATTGCGGAAGTTGACAGGATCAAGATCGTCACGGGAAGACGGGTAGAACGGTGTTATTTGTGGTTTAGCTTGGAACTTTGTTTCGGATTCATGCCTTGTACTGCTGATCTCGTGCTGGATCTTCGGATATAGGTAATAGCGTGCACGGATTAATGAATGACGGACTATTTGGCGCCAAGTATGGAGTTGCGTTCGGTTGAATCTGGTTTGGATGGGGGTATTGGCATTAGATCGATCCATATGTCAATTATTGATTAATTTAAGGCTGAATTTGTTCCATTATTCTACGGTCGTTCTGTGGAGTGATGTACCCTAGCGCCATCGGGTGTATAAGGTCGGATGCATTGCATAACCACCTGGAACTATCTGTACTAGTAGCTAGCAGTAGCTAGTAGTAGTTAGTAGTAGTTAGTAGTAGTTAGTAGTAGTTAGTATGATTAAGAATCCGCACACTACCTACCTAGCGTGCCAGACAAACTTTAATTATGATTCCGATTCATGTGTATTCAAATGTTGTGCAGACCTCGAGATCCATGCATGTTGATGCAGACTCGGGTGGAATCTTTTGATGTTGTACATACTGCGAAGTCGTGATGGATCCCACTGACATCGTCTGTCACAGCCTGACCCTCCCCATATCAAAAGTTGAAACCCATTGAATGAAGATCAACCAAAGACAAAAAGATCATAACCACACCTGCTCGTTCTCCCCGAGAATCCACGTGACCCTCCGAATCAGTCCGATCCCCGCGGGGACAAATCAAGCAACATGAGATCCCGTGGATCTCCCCCACCTTTCTCTTCAGCTCTTCAAACAAGTACATACAATGGCCTCAACATACGGTGATGTGCAGCATCTGCTGCCTGGCAACTACAAGCGTCTCATTGCCAATTGGCTAGAGGAAGACTGTCCCAGCCTGGACTATGGCGGCTTTGTCGTCGGCGAGTCAGAGGGTGAGGCGCGGTTATTGGGAAAGAGCAAAGTAAGTCCAAGATACACACTCGCAAGCCAGCATACATCTGATATATTATTGAACTAGGGTATCATTGCAGGTGCCCCCTTCGTCGACGAGGTCTTCTCACAACTTGGATGCACGTACGTTAGCAACTCAATACACTCACTTTCTACCCCGCGATCCAATCGACAGCGAATACTGATAATACTCCCCACAGCATTGAATGGCATATCAAAGAAGGCGAAGCCCTCTCCCTAAACCCCATCCACCACTGCGCCACCGTCCGGGGCCCAATTCGCAAGATCCTCCTTGGTGAGCGCGTCGCTCTCAACATCCTCGCTCGCTGCTCCGGGATCGCCTCCAAAAGCGCCTCTATGCTTGCCGCCCTCCGCGCACAGGGCTGGCAAGGAACTCTTGCCGGAACCAGGAAGACAACGCCGGGGTTCCGGGTCGTTGAGAAATACGGTATTCTGATCGGTGGGGCGGATCCCCACCGGCACGATCTGAGCCATATGACTATGCTCAAGGATAATCATGTCTGGGCATGCGCGAATAACCGCGCTGCGGCGGATGGAGGCATTGCGGACCCGAAGGATATTGTGTCCATTGCGGCGGCTATCCCGAGGGCGGTCCAGGCAGCCAAGGCGGCCGGTGGGTTTGCGACCAAGGTGGAGGTTGAGTGTCGCAGCGTGGAGGAGGCCAATGCGGCCATTGGCGCTGGAGCCGATATCATCATGTTGGATAATTTCACCGCGGAGGGCGTGCGAGAGGCGGCAAAACAGCTGAAGCAGGAGTGGGCAGGAAAGAACCGTTCATTCTTGATTGAAGTCAGTGGCGGGTTGACCGAGGAAAACGCCGCGGCGTACACATGTCCCGATGTGGATATCTTATCCACCAGCTCCATCCATCAAGGTACGAGCATTGTCGACTTTTCCCTCAAAGTCTCGCTGCGGTAAAGAGATCTGTTTATGATTCCCAGGAAAGTATGAATCTCAAGAATGTATTGTGAAATAAGATACAATAGAAGAGGAAAAATAAAACAGAAATACCCTCAGAAATCCAATTCAACGCCTTCATGATCATCGTGGTTCTCTTGATCATCACATATGGCGTACAAGTCAACGAGGCCTGGAAAGTCCGAGCCGCAAACAAAGAGGAAGGGGGTATATAGTACACGAAAAATTAAACTGCATCCATCACCTTGACTTCAAACCTCAATATCTAAGATGATGCCTTCCCCTTCGCTGGAGCTAGGATTTTCGTCCGAGACAGGGGCTCGATTGCGTCCAGCGTCAATAGCCCCCGAAGGTTTGCGGGTACGCTCACGCTGAAGCTGATCACGGAGCTTCTGGTTCTCATTATCTCGCTCCTCCAGTCGCTTTCGTGCACCGCTACGGTCAAGGAGACGGCCCTCTCGTTCTGCCTTGAGTCGCTTCTCCAGCTCGTGCAATCGGTGAATCCACTTGTCGTCCCCGCCCTCCCAGTTGCTCTGTTGTCCACTGCGCGTCCGGTGAACCATTGCGCCTGAGTTGTTGGTATTGGCTAATGTGCTGCCTGAAGACGAGTAAGTTGGTTGCGGCAGACCCGAGGTACCGCGGGTGAGGCCTCGTTCCGAGCGTGGTTTCTCGCTGTTGCCCGATGTGGAGCTGTGACGGGTCAATTGGCGCTCTGCATCTGCAGTAGAGCTGAGCGACGGGGACCGTGGACCCGAGGCCATCATTGCGGCGGCGGCCGAGGATGCTGCCCCGTGGCCCCGCGTGTTGGATTGAAGCAGATTGATTTCGGCCTTTAATAGCCGATTCTCCCCTCGCAACTTAGACAGCTCCGATGTTGAGCTTGAGTGCGAGTGGTTTCCGGCACGCATGTTCTTGACGGCTTCTTCAACACGATCGAGTCGCCGGACACGCTGAGCAAAAGAATGCTCAAGATGCTGGTAATGCTTGTTCAGGTCAACCTCCACGGCTCTGATGCGGCCCTTGAACTGCGCGACCACGCCCTCAACTGTCTTGATGGCAAGCATCAGGTTGCGGCTAAAGCCTGGCCAGAATAAAATGTTGCCAATGACTTCCTGGCTGGGAAGATTGCCGTTGATGAGACTGTTGGAGTGCGCCCAGTCTGGACCACAGATCGAGGAGAGTCGTTTCCAAATCGCCAAGAACAGTGAGTTGCGTTCGCTAAGTTGGTCCTTAAATTGTTGCTCAAGAGACGTGAAGCGCTTGCGGTCCTGGTTGCGTGCATTCTCCAGATCTGTAATTCGAGAGTTGCTTTGGGTGATGGTCCGAGAAGCCTGCTGGTGAGACTTGAGTGCCTGCTCGAAAGATTGCTTATCAGCCCGACGGGACTGACGCTCGCGCTCTAGGAGTTCAGAGAGTTTCCGAGACTCAAGGCCGTGGCTTTCTAGGAGAGCATCCCGGTTTCGAAGTAGCGATTCCTTCTCATCTAGTTGAGATCTGACACTCTCCAGCTCAAGAGCGGTGGACTCCAGCTCTTTCTGAAGCTTCATGATATTGGAGATCATGCTTGATCGGCTGCCGCTCAGATCTCCGAGTGTCTCTCGAAGGTTGTTCTCAAGATCCATAAGCCGCTCCCGCCAGGTCGAGGTTTCAATCTCCTGAGTCGATAAACTCTTCTTCAATCGTCGCGCCTCTTCCTTGGCCGTTGAAGCTTCGCGGTTCAGCTCGTTCATGATTCGCTGGACTTCTTGCTTCTCCTTGCTTCCAACTACTTCGCGCTGGTGTCGCTCATCGGCAAGTCGTTGCTCGAGCTCTCTTGTCTTTTCTTTCTCGCTGACCAGACTCATGTGGTACGTCTTCAATTCTGACTCCAAATCTCCGATGCGAATCTTATCACCATCTTGCTCTTCTCGGAGGAATGCGATTTCATTCTGGCTGGATTCAATTTGCACAGTCAGTCTCTGTACCTTGCTGTTAGCCTCAAAGAGGCTCTTCTCCAGAGACTCCATGTCGCCGTGGGTCTCTTCAAGCTCCTGTTGGACAGCCTTGTACCGCTCTAGATTGTTTTGCGCATCTTCTTCGAGTCGAATGATCCCCTCGCTGGCCGAGCGCATCTCTGCCTGCAGCACCCTGAGGCTCTCGTCCTGGTTCCTTAGGTCTTCACCCATGCGCTGACACTCAACAATCTTCTGATCAAGTTCTTCGCCAAGGGCATCAAGTTCCTCTTGAGCCTCAGCTCGGAGATCTTGGAAGGCAGCATCGCGCTCATCAGCCATTTGAAGGGCCTGGTCTCGCTCTTGAAGAGACTGGTCCCGCTCCTGCTGCAATTTCGTCATTTCCTCTTCGGCTTGATCCACATCAGCTTGATAGGCCTTATCGAGAGCCTCCAGTTCCCTGACGTATTCATCCAGCTGGCTGCGAATGGCCTGATTTTCGAGTTTAAGGGTTGACACCTGATCCCGGAGCTGCCCATTTCGAGCGTCGAGCTCCTCGCGATCCATATCACTACGTGATACGCCGCCATCACTGGGTTCAGAGCCAGGTCTTCCTTGCGCCCGGGAGACCGAACGGTCAAAGATACTGTCTCCAGCCACGGACCGGCCAGCATGGCGACCATGGCCAAGCTTCAATTCCTCGATTTCTTGGTAAAGACGCTCCTTTTCTCTGTTGCGGGACGTGAGCATGGATGTTTGGGCGCTGACCTCCTTTCTCAATTCGGCATTCTCTTGCTTCAAGAGTTCCAGCTCCACCATAAGTGTGCTATTGGAGGTACTCACCGCAGCAGCGCCACGGTTGCCATCCCTGTCCAAGGCTGAGTTATACGAAACAGTGGAGTTACCTCTATCCCGCGATGGTATCTTTGAACCACCAGCTGACGTATAAAGCTCACTCCGCAGACGAATGGATTCGTCTCGTAGTCGTCGGTTCTCCTCTTCAGCCTGCTCACGAGCTGCCGCCTCTGCATCAAGCATATCCTTCCACATGTCCTGTACAGAAAAGGTTACAACTATAATATAGACAGCAACAAAGGGACTGTACTTACCCTCTCCTCCCTCGCGCCGGATTCTGACGCGCCGGTGCGGTTCTCGCTCAACGATTTCACCATTTCGGCAAGGCGCCGCTTTTCACTCTCCCTTCCAATGCTCTCAGATCTCAATCGTTCAATTTCAAGCTCATAGGTTTCGATTCTCTCACGCAAATAAGTGATCTCGGTTTCATTGGCGGATTCCCGGTCGCCTCCTTCGTCTGATGCTTCAGGGTCATGGTTGAGCATAGATTCCTTGTCTGATTGCTGATCTTTTAACTGTTTTTCCAGCTCACGAATTTTGCGCTTCAGGCCTTGGCTATCTTTCTGGATCTTCAGCTTATCCGACTTGAGTTCAACATTCTCTGATATCATTTCCTTTATTCCTTCCTCAGACCGCTTATTCAGCGCTTCGTTGAGGAAATGGATGCGCATTTTGAGGTCGAAATTTTCTTTTGACAAACGATCAATGGTGCTGCTTTGTTCTTTGAGGGTCATGTTGCGGCCAAGGCCACTTCGCCCAAGCGCCGGAGTTGAAGCACCAGTGCGCTTCTCGGGAGACGGCCCCATATTGCCAAAGTCTTCTCGGAACCGTTGCGCAAAAGTGGTAGGTACCTGGATTCCCTTGACACGCTCTGCAATTGCCGTATCCGTCGGGAAATCTCGATCCTGAGGTTTGGCCTTAGGCGTTGCCGGTGCTGATGTGTCCTCGAATCCAGCTTGATGCCGGGGGGACTGTGGTGAACTCTCCTCTGGCAAAGTCTGCAGACTCCCATCGACTTGCCCGGCAAGGGGCCGCCTCTCTAGAGAATTCTCTTCACTATATCCTGAGACCCCAGATGCCATACTTCCTAGACTGGTCGTTCGGGTCATGTGGCCGCGCGATCCTGGGTGCAATCCGCCCCAGTTGTCTGACGCTGCTCCTCCAGATTGAAGCGCATAATCTGCTCCCAGCGTCGCATCGCTGTGTGTGCCATCTGTGTTGGTCGTATTGTTGCTGGCGATTGAAGAATGTGAGAGACGGTTGGCGGATTGACGGCTAGTCAGGTACTTAGGCCGGCTTCCACTGCGACGACTGCCCCCAGCACTGAAGCTTTGGTCACTGAATAGCCTTGATTGAGCAGGGGATAAACTGCGAGAGGACTTTCGAAGCTTGGAGGGCGTAAGCTGTGATTCATCAGACTGGGAAACTTGAGACCTGAAAGCCCGCTCGTCTTGAGAAAATTGGCTGTTATCAGGGTTGTCTTCGGATAACATGGATTGGTTGCGGCGCATGTTTCGAAACATGGCAGCAGCTGAAGGCGATGAAGTCAACGAGTCTAGCGTGCTCTCGTTGCCGACGAGATCTTCTCCATGGACGGCCGTCGTAGGTTCAGGCTCGTCATGGTCTTTGGTCTCGTAGGAATCCTCTTGGTAGTGACCATAGTCCGGGTTCGTGTCCGAGGGCGGGATGAATGAGAATTGTGACGATTCAGTTTGTTGGGTCATGTCAGGGTCGTAACCACCATCGACACCGACCAGGTAGGTATCATCCGCGCCGACCCTTGGGCCGGTCCCGGCGACGTCAATGGTCGAAGGTTCCGGTAGAAAGCTTGACTCCATGTCCATCAATTTGTGGCGCATTTCGCGCTCCTCAATGAGCGTCTGATTGTTTCCTCGCTCATGGTCGCCATTTTCGCTCAAGGGGAACAAGCTACTGTCGTCGCGATCGGTCAGGGGAGGAAGGATACTGATGTCTTCAGAGTCCGATACCGCGGTCGTTGTTTCATTCTCGAGTGCTTCGGGCCCTGTCTCAGCAGTGGATGTCGTGATTGCTGGATTCTCTTGCGCGTCGTGGTTCCCGCTCTCTGTTGGTGAGTCGCCGACGATAGTCGGGGGGGTTTACCCCCGGCGCGTCCTCGGCCATGAAGAAATCCGAGCTCTTTAAATCGGCATCTAGGGGTGAAAAATCTTTTGGGGTGTGGAATGCGCCAGATTCGTGAGAGGGGATGCGCACCGAGGGCGGGCCTTGGATGACGATCGGAGTTGTAGCTGGGGCTCTGGTCGACATGGTGACCGGCAGTCTGGGCGTTGTTTTGGGTCTCCACTAGCTGTGCGTTTACCCACTTGAGCACCCCTTGCGAAACGAATAGGATTCGACCGTCATAGTTGACAAGTCCGTGGAGTCATGGATTTTCATCAAAGTAGAATTGTAATAAAAAGAAAGACTGGCAAGGCTGAGACAAGCAGGAGCGACTCGCGTCAACAATGGATTAGAACACATATAGGCACCATATATTACAGCTAATTGCCACGCAATTATCTACAATGACCATGACCACTCGTGTAAACTGAAGATGTCAACTATTCTCACTTGACCAGATCACATCGACATCATTTAGGATTTAAATTTCAACATAATAACTAATCATGGTATCCATAGCGTCAGTCGCTTCGTAGTCCCAAGCATTAAAATCAAGATACATCCAGCCCACGTCACCGCAGAAAATAAAAGGCTGGACCAAGAAAGGTCCAGAATGAAAAATGTACACAAAAAGGGGGGAAAGAGAAGACATTTAACCGCCCTGTGGCTTTTGAAGATATCTGATGTATATGCCGAAACCCCTCAGCCTGGAGGGTATTTACATCGGGTTTGAGTGGTTCATAAGATGGGGAAAGATGAAAAGAAAGGAAACCAGAACTTTCTCAAGGTAACTCAGGTCAAAGCCGTAGTAGCCTCTTCAGCTGGTTCCGTAGCTCCGGCCTCGGCCGATTCAGTATAATAGTTGTTGGAAGAAGCATATATTTTCTCCTTCTGTTTGATGGCATTGCCAAGGGAATCAATGTAGGTTCGGAATTTGACAATCTCACGTAACAGATACGATGATTTGCGTTCCCAGTTGGCCATCGCCTTGGCGGAATTCGGGTGTCTGGGGGAGAAGGCCAGGTGCATGGCTGGACGCAGCTCATTGTGTCTCTGGAGGTCGTCTTCAACATTCTTCACATACGCCTGCAGCGCCTTCAGTTGCTCTTCTTCGGTCAAGTTGGAGGCCACCATGCTCTGCTGAGGGGGACTCCAATCGCTGATGTTGACGCGATCCGCAGGCAGCCTGGGTCGTACGCTTTGATGGTCGATTGAGCTGCGGATTGAACTCTGAATGCTAGGACGAGGAGCTCCCGAAGATGGTGGCGGGGACCGATCTTCGCCGGAATTGACCAGCGCGCTGTTGATGACAGCGTCACTCCAGCCATATTCAATATTACTGATGCCTCCCACCAATGGCTGCTTGGACAGCCGTGCACTCCAGTAATTAGCTGTAGAGACGAATTCCCGCACAATCTCCGGGGTACCGGCCTGAAACAGATGGACGGCTCCAGTAGGCAAGCTTAAAGCCCAGACGTGAGGCCGGGACTTCGAGTACCCAGGAGGAGGCAGAGCACTCGCAATAGTCTGCCGGAGCATAAACTTCCAGAGCTCTTCCGCATTTTCCGTCCAGTTGCCACCACCAACCACAACACCGCCGCGCTGCTTCGCTTTCTGCCGCATGGACTTGGTTGTACTGTTAAATGAGAAAAGTCGCATCCAGCCTTGTTGAATGACGGCAAAACAGTCACCCCAATTGCGATCTTTGGCACGCTTGTCCACAGCATCCAGGTGATGCTTGTGCTTGACACTGCCTTCCTTGGCCCATGGAGCGCCAGCCAAAGCTAAGGTCTCATCTTCGAGGAGAGGGGTCGTTCGCTCCGATTCTTCATAGCTATAGACAGAGGTGGCGGAATCTTCGCGAATAATTGCCTGGCTCAGAGCGTTGGCAAAACCAATAGACTGTTGATACTCGCCGCGAGGGTACTCCGAACCAAAAGAATCCACCGAAGCAGACGTAAACTTGCCCAAAGAATACTTGCTCCACGTGCTAGATGTAGTTGGGCTCCAAACAGACGATTGGTCGTCCAGGCTGGTTCGACTAGAGCCCATCATTGACGGAGGATACAATCTCCCAGCTCGAGACCGGGGCTTGGAGGACCACCGCGCTGCTGCATGGCGAGAATCAGCTGACCGACCACGAGGGAAGATGTCCGAGCCACTCTTGCTGATGGTACTGGGACTTCGGCGAAGTGTGCTTGTGGAGGGACCCAAAAAGTTATTGGAAGACATGCGAGACACCTCTCGACTCGGCGGAGCACCATGAAGTGGAAGTCGTTCCTTTTGGATAGAAGTATAGAAATCCTTCAAAACTGCTTCAACTTGCTGTTCCCAGGCTCTCACGGTCCCGGTAAACGGGTTGTTCACCAACGGACCAGCTTCGGTCTTACCCTCATTGGGATTTCGGCCCGTATTATCCCCATCCAAGGAGCTACAGGCAACATCAGGGGGAAATGTGGGAGAACGAGCAGATGAGGGCGCCGAAAGTGCCGAGTCCGCGCCCGAGGTTTTAGAGCGGTTGGCTGGGCGTAGCGTTTCGAAGCTCTCTGGAGCTGCATCCATGGCAACTCGATGGATTGTGGGCATGGTGTTTCGCACAAATTGGGCTTTGGTCATCTTCTGGTCGATGTCGGCCAAGTGCAGGTCGGTGTTCAACAGAAGAATAGAATAACAAATGGTATGAACGACGTCTGCTGTGTCATTAGTAAAAATCCACTAGATGAGAACTAAGTTTGGCGGAGCTAGAACTTACCAGTCGCCTTGAAGCCGTGGCTTGGATTGCAATCACACCACCGGTTTGAGAAGGCATCCAACACCCGGTCCACCTGCTGGGTCTCTCCTTTGAGCACCAGCCGTTCACAGAGACTGCGGAGTGCAGCCAGAATATTGAAATTCGACCAGTCGAATAGTCGCATGTAAGCCTCTCGGACAGTGGCCCGATCAGGATCGCCAAGCCAAGCTGCAGCGGGATCACTGCCCACCACTTGGTCTTGACTATCGAAGAGCTTCTGGGCCTGCTCCCGATCTGTTGCCGTAGGTCCATCCTCGATAGCCTCGCCTGGTCCATCCATTGTGTCGTCGATGTCGTCGTCTGGTTTCGGCTCTTCGGAGTCAATCACTGGTGTAGTAGAGGCAGTTTGGTAGTGTGAAGCTTCAGAGATGGCAGGAGACTCCGGGACATTGCTGTCTGACGGGAGTGCTAGCTTGTTGGCTCCTGTTAAGCTGTCCTGGGACGCATCGTAAGTGGTTGTCGTCTTGGTGGTCGTCACTTTAATAGTACGTGAGAAATCCTCTGCGACCGGTGAGAGCGTGGTGGCCGCTGCAATAACTGATCCCTTCTCCTGCAAGGGGGGATCGGCAAATGCAATAGACTCAGTTTCTTCACCTGCTGAGGATTGATCATCGGTGCCGCAGGTTTCTGCTAGCGGCGAACGATCTTGACCGCGAGCGGAGCTTGGAGGCTGGAGCGTGTTATTGCTCTTAGAGCCGCCTCCCGGGGCTGAAACACTCTCCCTGGGCTTCTGTGACTGCAGGTCCTCCGGGCGTTTCCCCTTTATATCTTGCTTTCCGGGCACCTCATCAAGGTACGGATTCATGACCTTTCGCAAGCTGCTCACCGGGCTGGGTTGCGGCTTCATGGAATCCAAGGTATGCGGTGCCACATCCTGAGGCAGGATGATGGGAGGTGGAACATGATCAGCTACAGACTTCTTTCGCCGGCGAAAGAACGAAGACTTTTTGTTTACCACTTGATGGGGCCCCTGGCGAGTTGGGGTGGGAGTCGTCGCTACTGGAATCTTGGGTGGCTGCAGCCTTGCTCCTTTCAGGTTGACCGCCGTCCCAGTGGAGTCTTTACTTTCATTTTCCTGGAGGTAAGACACATCACTGGCATTCGAACCGGGAGAGTCTGCTAGATTTGGCGGTGCGTTCTTGGATGAACCAAAGACACGCCGGAAAAATCCCGGGCGTTCCTTTGCATTGCCTGGAATGTTGTTGTTGGTAGTAATCGTGGTGGTCGTACTAACCGCTGCGGGTTCCGGATGAGGAGGAGGGAAAGCCGGCTTGTTATATGATATCGTTGGACTAGGCGCAGGGGGATCCAAAGCTGCCGGATACACCGGGGGAAGTTCGAGAGTTGTGTCACCCGATATGTCAAACTCGTTATCTCGCACTCTGAGGGTCCCTGTGCCAATATTCTCAGGGCGGGCTTTGCGGACCTGCGGGGCCTGTGCGGATTTGACACTGTTGCGCCTGGATGCCACTGGTGTTCGTGACGCGGGGCCGGTTGGAGTCCTGTAGTCGTTAAATTTTCGTGGTCCTGCTGGCACACTCGGCGTTGGCGCTGCATCATCGTCGTACATGAGTGAGTCCTGCACGATACCCGCATCGGCATACGGGACGTATTTCTTGGGACCACAGTCGAAGCTAGCCGAGCGCCGATCCAGGCCATCCGAGTCCGCCCGCCCCCTGGGGATTCCATATGGGTAATCCGTTGTCGACGAGCTACCCTTGCTGCCCTTCCGAGCATCATTCGATCTTGGCATGGTTCCTACACCACCCCGAGAGCCTATGGCATCTCGGCTGCGAGCACTGTCCATTCTCCTGGGCACTGACTGGTAATTGGAGCTGCTATTACTTCGGCGGCCCTTGGCGGTGATTGTGGCGTACCGATTGCTCCCATCATCGTAACCATAATCTGCGTCGGAGGACATGGACGAAGAGAAAGTATGTCCTCGAAACCGGCCATGGGGGTCGGTGTCAAAGGCCGAATTGAATAGCCGGTAATCGTCCATAATGGATGAATCAGGGGCCCCGAACTGGTCAAGCGACAGGAGCATATTGTCTACAATGGACGTGCGAGCGGCGTGCTTGGGGGAGAGCGAGAGGTCATGGGGGTCACGCTCATCGGTCGACTCGCTGACCCGCGGCGCATTCTCCATTGCATCTGGAAATGCATCTCGAATAGAGGGCCGGGCCGGGTACTTTTGCTTGGGGCGATACTTTGCGGTCTGAGAGGGAGGGGTACATGGAGGAGAAGTAGCTGCGTAGCCATCTCGTTGCTGGGACATTGTCACGGCTGGGAACTTGAGGAGGTTAGTTGGGATTGCACAGATTCATAGATTCATGGAATGCTTCAGGGCCCAGCTCTCACGCCAAATTAATTTAGCCCTGAGAGTTGATCCCAAGGAAGATTTCCTTTTGCCGCAGGAGCTGCCACGTACCGGCAATGCCCAATGCTATAGTTTCTTTGAGCTTTCGTGGCCCAAATGGCGTCCCGACACGAACTGCAGATCTGGGAACCGGGTCGCAAAGGCGAATTGAAGCAGGTGGGATTTCAGACAGTCATCGCATGTCCAAGTAAGGGGTGAGGGCAGCGACGGCTGCGTGCAGGCAAAGGAAGGAAAGAATCGGGGTTGGTAACAGGCCTGAGGAACAAGAAGAAGCCGGGGGCGGGACGAACTCCTGAGAAATTAAAAACGGGGGTTTGGTACGGATACACCAAGTGGACCAGGAACCAATGTGCACCGTGCGAGGAATGTATGATTTGTTAACAAGAAAAAGAAATGAAAAAAACAACGTCTTCGAAGTGATTTGAATTGACATTGATTTGATAGATTAGTCTCGAGTCCTTTCCCTTGTATTAGATCCATTGGTGAAACAGGGGGAACAAGTGACAGGAGGTTCGAATCGACCGTGATCACTATTGGGGTACATACTATGTCCTGGTGCGTATTCTCAGGGGCTGATATGCTAACTTCCGCCCATTTTATTTCTACACCCAAACCGCAAAAGACGGTGAACAGTTTTCTACAATCCAAATCCCATCTGACACGTCCTTCTTCACCCTTTGCCCTTCTGGGTCCGCATTCATGGTGGATCCCCCCATCTCCAAAGTGGGGATGGTCCTTTACGCCAATAATCTCCGAATCTTTTCAGTGGCAGATATACTCCACATGCATGGGATTCTCATGATAAGTGGCACTGTGATACAAAGTCTCGGACCCTAGTTAAATGTTAAATAGAGGGGGTATAACTCTGGAGTCCTGTAAGCCGATACATAAGATTTACAAGGTGGGCCATAGGGTTCATTGATAAGACCCTGGATTTCTAAGAAGTATGTGACCAACATGACCTGCGCTCAGTATAAAACCCCCCTCGCAGGTCACACAGGTCCAAAAGCCTAACATGCATATCAATCCTGACATGTACTGGTATGGATTAGGAAAATTTTGCTTGCCACCATGATCCAGTGACATTTTACGTCGTATCGAATAAGAATAGCACTACTTAGGATGGACTAGGTTCAGGAGGTGGATCTTGGAAGATGTCATCCATATACTGTATGACATCTGGTAGGTCGTGCTTTTACTGGTTACTAGATGTCTATCCATTCTCGTCTAGTTAGTTGACTAACTATCTAACTAGTCAAACCTGAAGTATGGGGCATCAAGCACGTGACGATGACATAACAGCCTCCGACACGTCGTCTCATACTCGATCGCAAGTTGAGTCTCCAATGATCCCCGGCTCTTGACCAGAACGGGCCTTCGACCATGAACCCGCACATCTCCGTTCCCCGCCAACATGCTGGTCCAGCCACTTTTGGCTCCACGCCCCGCCGTGGCTCAAGTGTCCGCATGCCACGCTTCTTCAAGAGGTAAGAGGGGGGGGAAGCCCAATCCAGGAACATGGAGAAATAACCTTTCATGACAGGCTGTTCAAATTTCCCCAGATGGACTTTGAGATGGCCATCTGGGAGATGACTTCCTTGTTGATTGCACCCAAAAAGGTCTTCAAGTCCATCTACTACCATGTAAGTTGAGTCCCGGCTTTGCGGCTTTGTTGCTAGTATGAAGCTAACCCGTGTCACAGAAACGTGAGTCTGATCGTCACGAATACCAATGATTCTATGCGATAGTCTCATGGAGTACTGATTCTGCAATAGAAACGAAAAACACATGGCACCGACCGGACCCGTCCTTCACATATCTCCTCTCTTTCTTCCTCCTCCTCACAGCCTTGGCATGGGGCCTGGCCTACACCCACTCGTTCGGGGCTATCGTGAAGCTCTCCATTCTCTTTGTTTTTTTTCATTTCATCGGATCTTCTCTCCTAGTCTCGACAATTGGCTATTTCGTCATCGGCCGACTGTTCGGTCCCAACGGAGCGGCCGCATCTCTTGCCAGTCTCCGTGGCTCTCGTGGCCGCCGACGGGGTGCAGCACAGGGTCTCTTCGCCCAGCCTGGGGAAAAGGACCAATTGGAGTTTGGATACTGCTTTGATGTAAGACTTGGTGTCTCGTGAAACGAAGCAATGGGTTTATAATGCTAATTCTTCATGCTCCAGGTTTCGAATCGCGCTTTCTTTCCCTTGTACCTCCACCTCTACGTGGTGCAATTCCTACTCCTCCCGCTTCTCACGCGCAGCCCGAGCAACTTCCTGGCCACTTTTCTGGGCAACACCCTCTACCTCTCCGCCCTCATCTATTATACTTATATCACCTTCTTGGGCTACAATGCCTTACCGTTCCTGCACAACACAGAGCTTCTGCTCATTCCCATTCTGATCTTTGCCATTTTGTGGCTAGTTAGTCTGATTGCTGGCTGGGGCGTTGTGATGCAAGGCCGGAGTGTCGTGGGGTTGTTCTGGGGGGTTTAGGTAAAACACATGAACCAAAACCCTGCATTACTGCTCAATGGCCATACTTTTGGTCATCTCTTTAGGGATGTCTACTTGACACCCTGTGTATGAAATTTCATTGTCCTTCATTTCGTTTTTATATTTTTTTCTAACCTTTTGATGTCTCTCTTGGCTATGCATTGAAAGATAAATTCCTGTGTTGATCTGCTTGGGGGCGTGTCGGTGTACATTGCGCTTTTTGTTTCATATATCAGAGGCAGTGCCATGGCTTCTCGACGGTGTTTTAATAGAACTCCAAAATATTAGGTACTTTGGTAACCTATGACATTCCAAGGTTGCAACAGTTTGTTTCAATGGGTCGTGATTCTTGATAAATACTCTCAAAACGGTATATTGGAAACAAGTCTATTTCTTCTTTCCACCCTTCTTCACCGGCTTCCCCATAGCCGCAGCCCTCAGCTTCTCTTCACGTGCGAGAATGGCTGCATTACGCTCTTTGGCCTGCTCATCTCTTTCCTCCTTCTCGGCCTCCTTGCGAAGACGCTCCGCCTCACGCTGCTCCCGAATGATCGCCAAGCGCGCCAGATCACTCCGCGCCTCGTCGGTCTTGCCCTCGGCGTGAAGCTTCAGGTACCGCTCCCGAGCTTGTTGCGCCTGGAGAGCCTCGCGTTCTCGGCGCGAAAGCTGGGAGACGTCTTTAACAACCTTCTTGGGCTTGGGGGCATCGTCATCTTCCTCTTTGACTAGTTGTTTCCGCGACTGGGCAGTGTGGTTCGGGTTTGCGGGCAGCGCTTCATCCTCCGAGGCATCGGAGTCCGAGGGAGGGAGATCTCCAACCTGGGCAGCAGCCTTATTGCGTCGGGCCAGTGCAGCTTGCTTCTTGGCTTTGGCTTGGTTGCGGCGTTCCTCGCGGGTCAATTCTGCGGAGTTGGCGGGGGTGCTGGTACTAGGTCCGGCGCCCTCGGCGTCGCTCTCCTCAGAGCTCTCTTCGGAGGATGATTCCTCTTCGGACGAGGATGGTACTTCATCAGCTGGTTCCTGGTAGTTTATGTTTGTCAGTAACTGAGCCACTCTCTTGAACGACTAGAGTGGTGGGGGTTTGGTGGGGGTTTGGGGAGGAGAAAAAAAATTAAAACATACGCGCCAAAGACCCACGGCGTTGCCATCTTTATCGAGGGGCTGAAGATCGCGACTGAAGTGTTTGCCTCCTATTTGACGTGTGTGAGCCTTTCAAGTGGTTTGGATTTCATTGAGACGGCTGTGCATGCGACCATACCTCCTCGCGAGGGCTTGAACTTTCCACCACGACCACGGGGCGGCATGATGTAGAACTGGAACTGGGAAAAATAGGCGAAGCCCTGAACGGTCTATCGAGGGATTAAATAGGACTCGACGTGAAGTTGAGTAGATATCTGTGTTGCGCGAGTTAGTCCATACGAGTCATTGCAGTGAGGACAATCTCGAAATGGAGGGAACAGAGAAAAACGTTGAAGCTATTGACAATATCTGGATATAGACAACTCACGTACGGTGGTAATTTGCAACCAAGAGCTGAAGGGCAAGTACTTGGAAGGACTGGAAAGACAAAAACTCGCGAGTCACGGCGGGCGCATTAATCACATGTGGGGTTTTGTCTCGTCCATTCAAATCCTCGATTATGTTAATCCCACTTCCACCGAGATTTTCAAACATGAAACATTGTATTTCGATATGGAACTATGGTATTTACATTCTCTGCTCCATGCAAGGGATAATATCATAATCACTTATACGCGGGCAATCCCTGTGCCCACCTTGCACACTCGAGCCCCGATCAGCGTCAAAGTGCCTGCAATAATGGCACTGCCCATGAACATCTGTGCGTACAAGTATTGTCCACCATCGCTCGATACTAGGGCACCAGCAATAGGTGATCCGATCAGGGCAGCGACTGCCACCACGCTAAGGACCATGCCCATGCGCACTCCGGTTTTCTTTAGATCGGTCGTAAGTGTGCTCAGGGTAGCAGGGAATAATGACTGGATACCGGCTGCACTCAATCCATAGAAGGCAGCAAAGGCCCACAGGCCGTTCATGTTGTTGACGGCAGTCCAGCAGTATGCTACCAGAGCAGTGGCGCAACTAAACGGGATCAACAGGTTTAATGGGCCGGTGAATTGATCGGCCATGAAGTTGGGGATCAATCGTCCAATCAATCCAACTCCATTCATCACCATCAAAAGGTAGATGGATGTCGTTTCCGAGGCACCGATGATGTCGGTGCTGAAACTACCGATATAGAAGAAGGCCACATAGAGCCCCCAGAAGTTCAAGAACATTCCCACGGCAAACAGCAGATATGGGAGCTCCTTGAACGCCGTCCACTCCACTAGTGGCCCACTAGTACGCGGGGGCAGCCGCTGTTTGAATAGCAACACACAAGGAATCAACGTTGCCAAAGTGATGAAGCCCAGGACGCGCATGGTCCACCCGTACCCAATCTGTGGCAGCAGACGCAACACCACGGCTGGGAACACGAGTCCACCGGTGGCCGAGCCTGACGCTGTGAGACCAATTGCAATCCCCCGCCGCTTATCAAAGTAGGTTGAGATCAGAGCCAAGGTTGGGCAAAACATCAGCCCGCACCCAATTCCCTGTCCCAGTCCCTGCGCCAGGAAGAGCTGCCAGTACTCTGTGCAGAGCGATGTCATGAAGATACAGAACACCTCCAGCGTGGCCCCGACGGTCAAGGTGAAGCGGAAGTAGCCCGCATCAGTGGCTCGTCCGGAAAAAGTGCCGATGAAAAATAGCAGGAAAATCTGGATGCTGCCCACCCAGGAAATATCCGACGGGGATCGGCCTAAGGAAGTAGTGTAGTATGTCTGAAATACGCCGAAGCTGTTGATGTAGCCCCATGTGTTGAAGATGATCATATGCCCCAGGGCGACCTGTAGCCATGCCTGAAAGCCCCCATCTGGCGGCGGGCCAAGATCTTTCCCGGATTCGCGAGTCCGCACGACCGATAATGTGCGTGCTACAGCACTAGAATTGGTAGGGACCTGCGATAAATCATTGGGAATATACTCGTCACCGATGTTCGACTCTTCATCGGACGATGGACTTGGGAACGAGTCGTTGCGTTCGACATTTGAATGGTCCTTTTCGTTGACCATACTCGGGATAATCAATGAGGGATCGGGTAGAATGTGGGATTCAATATCTGGATTGTCATGACTGTATAGAAAAAAATGAAGGCCTGGGAAATCTAAGAAGCAGTTGACTCATGCAAAGACCCATTAAAAATCAAAAATCCCTGCCATTCAGATTCAATGTCGCAAACGGGTTTCGTGCCGATCACGGCGTTTCGCACAGAACGCCGAGTTGCATCGGAGAACTCGTGCTCCCCTCTTCACCATATGGACAGGTAGAGGTTCTGGTCGATAATCCAGGGAAACTGCATCTATCACGCCATTCCCACATTTCCCCGCGGGGACGTTTATTCCCCACAAAAGGTACAAAACTGGGGGAGCGGATGTCTCGGCTTCTTCGTATACTCGGAATGACATCCGGGAAAACCCCCGATTCCACCGCTATCTAACATATTGACAACTCGAGGCTCATGCATCTATTGCAGCATTACAAGAAGAAGAAAATAGAACAAATAACCAAAAAAAAAAGCCTCATGCCGCTCATGACATACACGAAGCGCCCACACTCCAAGATCAGAAAGTTCAATAGAGAAAAAAAGAAAAAAAAAAAGAAAAAAAAAAAGGGGTGGAGCAGGGAAGAAATCGAGAGAGCCTCTTGAGTCATCAAATTTGATACAGTTCGTGTACGTGCAATGGAAAAATCATATGAACAATGCATCCCATTAAAGCCTCAGATCGAGTGATAAGGGCTATGACATTTCCAGAGATGAAAAGGATCCCGGTTGGAAATCGTGAGATGGCGATTCTTGGGGTCTCAATGGTCCTGACTGGAACTTTGGTTAAGCATCTGAATGGTGTTGATCACGTCGGCTGGTTCTAGCAAGTGCCAGCTAGCATCCGTTTGTTTCGAGCTGGCACCCACCGTCACCGAATAGACGTGGTCTTGCGGCAGGTCGAACTTCTGAAGTGCGCGGAACATATCTGATACAGTTTGTTAGCAAGGATGGTTTCATATTGGTCAATCCGGGCCTCCATACCTTCATCCGTAAAATCATCCCCTAAGCACAGGATGAACTCGGGCGCTTTCCCAGGCTCGGTACCATATTCATTCACCAAACGCGTGGCGATGAATCCCTTATTGACAAACGTAGGTCGAACCTCCAGGTTGGCTTTGCCCGCCATAACCTCAACATCCCACTTCTTGGCCACAGTATCTTCCAATGCCTTTCGGCACTCCTGAGCCTGGAATTTTCCGTACTCCGGATCAGAGCGGCGGTAATGCCAGGTCAACGCCACTCGTTTTCGCTCGATGAATGACCCGCCCGTTCGTTCAGTATAATGCTGGAAGACATCAAAGACCTCCTTTTGCCATTCCTTGATGTCGGGTTTGTCCGCCAAATTCTTCCAGTCGTCGGAGCCCGGCTGGCGGATGAAGCAGCCATGCTCGGCGCTGAGCCCCAGCTCGGGGATATGACCCATCCATTCATCCAAGAAGGCCTGGTCTCGTCCACTAATAATCCAAACGGCATTCCGCGGGTCAGCGGACAGTGTCTTTAGGGTACGCAGAACACGATCGGATGGAATGGCCGCTTGTGGGTCCTTCACTATGTTTGTCAGGGTACCATCGTAGTCGAACATGAACAAGCGTTTCCGTGCTTTGCGGTATTGTCTGACCACTTTCGCGCGATCCAGGGCTGGCGTAGCAACGGATTGGTCAAAAGACGAGAGGTTCGTCAACAATCGGTGAAGGAACTGTCGCGACCACGTGCTCACGGTGTTGGTAAGAACATGCTTATAGAGCTTCAGGTGCTGTTCTCTCCGTTGTGGTGCGGGCATCTTGAGAGCTTGGTCAATGGCCCCAGCAACGCCCACCAAGTCCCACGGGTTGATATGGATTGCGCTAGGAAGGGTACCTGCGGTACCGGAGAATTCAGAAAGAATGAGGGGACTGTGGTTCGTCTGCTGGCAAACAATGTACTCCAGACTGGTGGTGTTCATCCCGTCTCGTACAGTGGTGATGAGTCCGACATCGGCCACGCGCAACAAGGCAAAGTATTCATGTGGTGATAGATACTGGGGATAATATTGCACGGGGGAGAAGCTCAGTGACCCAAAGCGGCCATTGATCGTGGATACCAGGTTGGAGATCTGGCCGGCGATCTTGTTTTCCGGGTCCTCCTTCTCTTCCTCCACGCTGGTTGGGCTGGTCACCTGAATAAGGACAACCTTTTCCCGCCATTCGGGGTATCGCTCTAAGAACAGCTCAAATGCCTGTAGCTTCTGTGCCACACCCCGAACGCTGTCCAATCGGTCTCGGCCAACAATGATTTTGCGCCCAGCATATAGCTTGCGGATACCTGTCACTGCCTCCTCAATCTCCGGGGCGCCAAAGGCAGCCTTTTGGATTGCACGCGCATCGATTCCAATGGGGAATACATCCACTGCAACGTGAGCCCCGTATGCATCTACACCAGCCGAGTTGGAATCAAAGCCTAGCACACGTGTGCAGCATGAGGAGAAATGTCGGGAGTATGAAAATGTCTGGAAACCAATCATGTTTGCACCAAGGACACCGGTCAAAATTTCCTTGCGCTTCGGCAAACACCTCACAAACTCGCTGCTAGGGAAAGGAGAATGGAGAAAGAACCCTACATAGACATCGGGGATTCGTTGTCGAAGCAGGCTGGGCAAAAGGAACAGGTGGTAATCATGAATCCAGACAACGTCACCTTCCTGATAATCCTGCACGATGCGGTCGGCGAACAGCTGGTTCAGCCGGACATAATCTGCCCACCACCTTCGCTCCGAACGTCCATCTGTCGGGCCATGCTGCTTGTAGTGTAGGAGAGGATAGAGCTCCCTCTCGGCATATCGACGCCATCGCCCTTGATCTTTGAGAACAATGGCGTCTTGTGGTTCCTCCGATGCGTCGGACAACCAAACTGGCAAGATCCGGCCGTGCCGTCCCGATACTAGTTGACTATCCAGCTTCTCTCGATCCTTTTGTTCGATACTGATTCCGTCGACTAACGGGTGCGACGGAGGTTTTTGGGTCGCATTTACCGGGACTGGTGCTGCAGCTTTGTTTATGGGGACTGCGGTCGGATTCTGTGAGCCAGGTGGCAACTTGTTGGCGGGGATGGGTTGCAAGGGAGCCTTGGCATCTAGAATGGGTTCAATTTCACCGGTCCATCCCACCAAGGTATGTGACCAGGGAGTGTCCTCTGAGGCCAGGTGGGCAAAGGAATCAAACAGGGCTGAGCTACCGGAGCGGGGTTTGAGAGACTGTTCTCTCCCACGGGCAACGAGTCAGTTGGCCATTCTCTCAACTCATAAGCATAGGAATTGTCAACATACCCAGTCCAAGCCTGCCTGGAATTGAAGCTTGTATGGAATACAGAAGGCGGCACTTATCAATCGGCCACTCAGCTTCAATTCAGGATGTTGCGTTCTCGGATCAACTTCCGGCGAAATAGGTGATGAATCCCCCACTAAGCTTAAGCGTCGCAATAAGTCTTGCCCAGACGATGTACTTCCCTGAGACTTCTCGGGAATCGAGGACAGATCCGGTGAATTTAGTCCCTCGGCTCCAGTCCCCGGGATGTTGGCAAAGTATGACGGTGCATCGCTATCCATTTGGCTTTTTTTGTCGGTATCCAAGCTCGGGGTCGCATTGGTGGCACCGGTATAGGCCTCGTCCTTCAAGGCCTTCAGCCCCGGCCCCACGAGAACGGGGTCCGGCTGGCTGTCGGGCACAACCCCGGCAGGGCTCTCTGAATCAGACATATGGAAGTTGAAAGTTCAAGTGATGAGGACGAGTTGCAGACGAGTAGGAGTAGCAATGACTGCAAGCTGTCAGTTTTTTATGCAATTGTCACATGCACCCCCATCGAAGTCAGGTAACCCTGACGTGAGCAGAGCGGGCAGAGTGGGGGGGGTGGGAAGGGAAGGAGCAAGCTTCGAGGGGTAATTACCTCGGAGCACCACGGGGGTTGCGAAAAGGGTTGAGGAATTACGGGCATACAGCCATACGGTAATTCCTTAAGTGATCCGTTGTATCACAAAGGGAAGAGGGGAAGTACGCTTGTACTTGTAGATAAAGTTGGAGGGGCAAGCGGTGTGAGAATAAAGCCACCGGCCAAATCAGGGACTTGCTGGCCAGAACATTATATATATCAGTCCGACGTCATGAACGAGCTCCCAGGTCAGTGCCAGGGCTAGGTATGTGTGCATCATGTTTCCATGGGTTTAAAGGGGGTTTCCATGATCTTCTTCAAATAACAAAAATAAAATAATCGAATTTCGAGAATAATAATTACCGTATTCCAAAGTTTCGAGGGTTCACGCCCAACTGCTGCCTGAGGCCACATCCATGTCCATAACAGCGTCTCGGTTGGAAATTCCTCTTTTCTCTCTTTTCTCATGATCCGCTCGTGGCGATGCGGTTGTCCGGCATCCAATCCACTCGTCTTTCACTCCATGTGCCCCGGCGAATCCGTAATATTCCCGCCCAGGATGCCGACGTTGTTCCCAACAGCCTTCGAAAAACCCTAGAGGCGCATCGCTCCTCGAATCGGGCCCGTCTAATCCGCAAAATATACCCCCGTACCCCGGCTGCCGGACTTTTTCGCCCTTGGATTCCACTTGAAAATCGCGCAGGTTATTCTCCCCCAGAGCCTAAACACTCCGTGTCAGATGAGTCAGAAGTCAAGAAGCCCGGCAAAAAGCGTGCTCGTACTCGCATTCTCGAAACGAAACCTCAAGGACCAGAGAATCACATCATAAATGCAATTCGAAGCGCAGACCAAAGCACACCGGCGCAAAATCCGTGGGTTAGTTTTCTGGCTCCAGTCAAGCTCGCTGGCGATGCAGCTGTTCATCTGGATGCGGAGATCCAGGCCCTGGACCGCTATCTGGCCCCGAGTTTGAGCGAACAGAAGCAGATCACCCAGGTGAGCGCAGAGATCAAATCTCTGCTTGAGCCAGTCGCTCCGCAATTACCACAGATCATCGGTTCCCATTACACAGGTCTTGCGCTGGCGCATTCTGACCTCAACTTCCTTCTACCTTTCGAGGACCTCCCACGGTCTCGACACAACCCACGAGGGCCAAGCGCCACAAGACCAAAGATTCGAGATGCACATGTCAGCCTGCTGCGCCAGGTGGAATTCACGTTGCAGAGTAGTCCTATATTTACCGGCCAGGTCCACTGGTCCACAAAGAGTAGACCTGTCCTCGAGGCCCGGCACCAGCCAACGGGCCTGCTACTCCGCTTCCACTGCGGCGAAAGAGTCCCGGCCACCACAAGGTATATCCGCGATTATCTAGTCGAACGCCCCGCCCTTCGTCTCCTATACACTGGGGTGCGAGCGTTGCTAGAGCCCCGCGGTCTCTTCGGATCTGCACGAGCAAGCATCACGCCTGAAGCTCTGGTGATGTTGATAGTCGCTTTCCTCGAGATGAACCACGGCCGCTATTCCGAGCCTCATCCCCTGGGTAACCAATTCCTGGATCTTCTGCGGCTCTATGGCACTGATATCAATCTCCAGTCTGTGGGCGTAGCGGTCAACCCCCCGGGCTTCTTCGGCGCTGAAATTCTACGCTTTGCTACTGGAGAAGATGCCGAGCCAGCGTATCGCCGTGGTCAACGGTCGCTGATAAGCGCGAAGCGCACTGCTGCCGCCAAAGGAAATTTGCCAGTGGATCGAAGACTCTGTATTCAAGACCCAACTCAATTCATGAATGATCTGGGTCGTTCGTGTATTCGCACGCCTGAGCTGCAGAATGCCTTGACTGTGGCACATCAGCGGCTTAGTCACGCGTGCGATACTTGGGAGGGTTCGGAAAGAAATAGCTCGATTCTGACAACTGCCCTTCAAGCCAATTTTGATGAATTGGATAAAATCCGGGGGCAGGTTGTACGCCAAATGGATTAGCCACAGCTCACGGGAAGCTGGCTGACCAGTATATAAATTATTGAAGACGGATCAGATGATGGCCCAATGGCCCAGTGATACCCAGTATAGATACCTAACTCTTCTCTGGAGAAGTTTGCAAATGTTATATTATTTTATCTAGAGCTTGGCTTTGAATAAAGAAGAGCACAAACGCCTGGTTGCTAACTCATAGCAAAGGTCTATAGAAATCAGCCGCCATTGAAAGACTAAAGAGACAATGTATCAACTAGAACAGCAGCGCTCAAGAACGCAATAAGATAGGAATGCAATATGAGAAACAATGAATTTGAAAGAATTGTTGGGGTAGTTCAACGAGAAGCTCAAGACGCCGCCAAGTGCGAGTGGGAGTGGAATCAATTGCTATAAGGGGTTAGTTGCAAGATTCAAACTTCGACCAAAGGAATGCCACTTACTAGATTTCCAAGGGTGAGATTTGATCCAAGGCGTAGAGCCAATTGCCACCCTGTTCCTCTTTTTCAAGCCTGTAGATTGCTTAATTAGCTAAAAATCACTTCCTCTGAAGTGGACAGGAGACCTTACCAATCATATGGCCAAAGGATAAGATGACCTTGAGTCTTGTTCAAAAATTCCTCTGCACACTGTTTGTCCATCACGTCATCCGTAGCATGGAATTGCTTGGAGCCAATAGTCGTTGCTCTTCGTCTGCGCCTTCGTGATTGAGAGGCATTGAGATTCACTGCCTCAGAGTAGTCAACATGCGCTGAATTGGAACGCGGCTTCTCAACGTCCTCTCCAGCAACGGCGTTACCGTCGTTCCCATTTAGTGCGGTGCTCAACAAGTGTGGATCGGAGGCGGTCTTGAGACAAGACTTTTCGTCAATGGAGGATAAGGTTTCTTGCCTGGCATGCTCAGACTGCGATCGATCACCTTGGTTTCCAGTACCGTCTCCCGCCAATCCAAGCTTTTCGTCAATTGTTCGTGAGGTCTTTGTCTCAACGGAAGGCACTTCAGTCTTGGGGCTGACCATGGAGACCGGCGAGCCGAGTGGTGCGGAAGCCGAGCAATTACCCCCAGGGGGGCCGGTTTGTCGCTGGGCAGGTGGGTTGGAGGCTTTGCTTGGTTGACTTTGCATCTCCGCAAAGCGCTCGCCGTAAGCTGCATATTCCTTGTATTCTTTCCAGTTTTTTACCTCGCTATCAGGCATGCACCTGAAGACAGATCGGTAAATCTTTGTGTTCTTTTCGGCAACAGCCTGCCAAGTGTCCAAGTAGAACGCATCATTGACCGGGTCTTTCATACAGTCCTTGTCAATGTAGACATGCTTTAGATCTGGAACGGAGGGATGGCCGTATCGGGAATGATCATGGTTGTCTTTGGAAATCAGATGACCAGGACCGGATTCTGAGTCGCGACTCGATGGTTCAGAGACACCATGGCCATGCGAAGGGGTATCTGAGTTTGTATTGGCCTCGGAGTCACGAGGGACCTCTGTTGAAGACTCGAGCTTGACATCCTTACGGATTGCTTTGGCCCGAGACGACTTTTGGGGCGAAGACTGCTTCGGCTGTTTGATGGTACCTTTGCCCTCGGGATGAATCGGAGACACAAGAGACTCTCTGCCAACAGGAGACATTTGCGAGTCACGACCGACTACCCGACCTTCTTTCTCGGCAGCTTTCAAATTATCAATGCCTTCACCGTCTACATCCTTTCGATGTTCGGAGTTATCTGTAACGCGGGGATCGGCAGTCAACCTCCGATTGCTCTTGAGATTTGGGTTGTTGCCCTGCTCCCAGTCGACATCGTGGTTGAAGCTGTGCATGTCCTCGGAGCGGGATAAGAATTCATCTTGAACACGATGCCTGCGCTCAATCATCTCTCGCTCGTCTTGTCGCTCCATAACTGATGATTCTGAATCGCGTTGCTGCCGTTCACCTGCTGGCCTGCTATTTTCCTCGGCGTCTTGAATCTTGCGCAGCTCCTCCTCAGTCGCAATATCATGCTCCAGGAGCTCGTCAACATCAATTCCAAGATGCTCCCGCATCAACCGCATGCGAAGAGTGTGGGGGAATCGGCCAACGAGATATGGTTTGCCGTTCATAGTGGACATGATCATATCGGTATCACGGACCACGGACGCGACCTCTGAATCGCGAGAGCCCAACATGGAACGTTCATTGATGTTTGCTGATCCGATGATGGCGGCACGATCATCGACAACCATGCACTTGGCGTGGATGTAAAGCTGTTCGGTCACCACCTGCTTTTGTGGACCAATTTTGCCCCAGGTTCGCAGGCTGAAGAATTGAATAAAATCCTCCGGCTCGATGCCCAGCGCACGAAGACGACCGAAAATCGATGTCTCGCCGCGACAAATGCTGCGGTATTGACATTGCATGATCAGACGCACACTAGTACCGCCCTCACTATCCACGGTGTTTTGAAAACCTGGCATCAATGGAATGACGATCACAGCGCGCCATGCTTCCCCGTTCTTTGCTGCGCGAACAATTCGTTCCACTAAAGCATCACCAATCAGGTTCTCAATCTTCCGGCCATCAATTTCACAGGTACTGATGAAAAACTGATTCTCAATGTAGACAAAGTGCTCGGATTCCTCGATCAGCTTGACATAGGCATTCATGATGCTATGCTCGGTGACTTCTGGAGTGCCAGTGGACCACATGCTGCTGGACCGTAGGATTTGCACTTCACATGTTCCATCCAGACCCAATGCCTCCAAATCAGCAGGATTGAAATCTGGGGGAGGCAGGAGGAATGGCGTGGGACGTGTTGGTTTCCGTTGGCGGAGGATATAATTCCAGCGCTGGACGAAGTGCCGGGTGAGATCACGAGCGGGCTGGCCAACCACGTGCATCGAGATATCATGCCAAGGCATCCTAGGGACAACATTTCGATCATACATCTCTTCGTATGGCTTATCTAGATCATAGAAATCCTGAATCCGTGGGTTTGAATAATCCTTGCCCGGCCATAATTGGCAGTTCTCTGCATCCTTGTGCATGTCTGCAGTTTCAAAGCCAGTAGGCTTGTCGTCGGTCAATTTGTGCTGAGGCGTATCCCAACGCCCGAAGCACAGATCGATACCTCCAACGAAAGCCAGCGTGTGATCGATAAGACACAACTTTTCATGATGGGCCCAAAAGAAAGTGTTCTGGCGAAATTGGTTCGGAGACCTCTGGACAAAGATATTGGGATGCAATTCAAGGAGAGAAAACTTCGAGTATTCAGAGTCAATTGGAATGGCGGAGTTGATGTTTCGGTACATAATGACAAAGATCTTGACACCCTCACGGGCCTTTTGTTGCAGGAGACGATCCAATCGCCACTTTTGGCTGATAGCAGCTGGTCGTCGCATATACAACTCTGGACTCAACCACCAGTCATGGATATAAATCACGTCCTTGGCCTGATTGATTGCTCTTGAAACAACCCACATGTGATCCCGGGCATCGACGAGCCACTGCGCAAAGCACTTTTGCCGCACTGGAGCAAAGCTGTCGAACCGATTAGGTCGCATCCACGGGGTATTTTGAGCCATGAATCGAATGGAGTCTTCGAACTGCTGGAGTTGGCGTTCATTCCGTGCAAGCAATTTCAGTTTGCGCTCAGAATTTTCAAGTCTTAACGTATGGTGCTGAGGGTGTCTCGCAGATTGTTTTGCAGATTTGGCTAGGTCCTTCGCTTTTTGATTGCGGAGGCTGATCTTTGGGGTTTGGATTTTGAAATGCGAGTCCACAAGAAAAACATCGTAAATGTTCATCTCCTCGGGTGAATCCACACAAACCACGTAGCTATGTCGAACAAGGAACCACTTTGGCCAGTGTCGTTTCTTAATGAGAGATGGGTTCAAGGCTCTCCGGAAGTCCAAGCCCTTTGATGATTGAATAATTAGGAAGCCCTCTTTGCCATGGTAGCTGCCTTCGGCGGCGAGACGAACTCCAAGAGCGGATAACTCAAGGAATTTGCAAAGACGATTGCTATCAGCCCGGAAGATTAGGAAACGAATCATCTTCTGCAAGTACATCTCAAGTTTCTTGCGTTGTCTTTCAGGATAGGTTTCCCTTTTGCCACCCTGGACTCCTTCATGTGTGGATGAAGGGGCTACGGCAGATTCGCCTTCCTGAGGATTCGTAATACTTGACTTTCGACGGGCAAGAGGACCAGACGAGCGGCGTTGATGTTGCTGAGTCTGCTTTTTCTTTTTCCCTGCCCTCTCATTCCCACTCATTGGCTCTGGTCCAGTCTCGTAGCCCCCTTCTTCATCTTCATCCTCGAACTCACTTTCTAGTCCCCTGACACCCCGCAAATACGGGAATGCACTTCTTGGGAAACGAGGAAGACTGGGACTATTTTCACTTGTCCGCAGTTGAATATACTTCTGAGTTCCAAGATGAAGCTTGTACTTCAAATGTAGATTGGCAAAATCTTTCAAGGTCCGAAAGATGATCCACTTCATTCGGGTCATACCACTACCGTACTCCAACTCGATGCGGAAAACCAGATGGCGATCGCCAGAGTGGGAATCAATGCGACTATCTGTTACACGAACTTTCAGTTGTTCCAAAAGAATCGGGATTCGTTTGCTTCCGTGTTCGTCTCGTTGGAAAAAACTGGCCAAGATCAGGGCAGCTGGCACGGCCGAGGCTAACTCAGCAAGCAGCTCTGCTGATTTCTTATTGTCCACTGTGTTATCAACCTTGCGCCGTTGGCCGATCAGCTTGAAACCGGCCTTGATCTGCTTCCATCTTTGAGCGCTGGCACTGGTGCCGCGTTCGTTCCGGTGGCGTCTCCAAGTGGCCGTAAGGCTCTCGGCGTTATCCGAGGGACCCGTTAGACCGGTAAGCCGCCTAAGGTGACTTGGCCGCTGGTCATCTGGGTTTTCATCTGGCTGTCGACCAATGTAAGACATGCCGCGGGCCCCAGCCCATGCGCTCCTTTTCCGTCTATTGAGCCTCTCACGACCCTCATCCTCAGACACGCCCTCCCGGGGCTGTGGAGTAAAGTCAGTTGTACTAGCTCTTCGGGGGAAGATGTTTTGACGATAATTCTCAAATGGTGCAAAAGATGAGGAAAAATGGAAAGAGGGTCGACGGCCAGCCTTGGGCGTGGTAGGCGCCGTTCGGTTGTTTGAATCCTCTTCCTCTGCTCGGGGGCGTCGTAAGACCTTCTTTCTTTTGGGACGATCAGTCTGCTCCGCGCCACTCTCCTCCGCATCCGCCTCGATGTCGCTTCCCTCTTCAGGCAATGGTTCGGGAAAGCGAAACTCACCCCTTTCAGAGCCGGGGGTCGCCAACTCCTGAGGGGGTGGCCGAAATTCCGGGACTGCACCTCCACTAGCGGAGCGGGAGTGGGATGTAAAGGATGACTTTAGTTTGGTGATGAATGACCTTCCCCTGGCCGTCTGCTCTCCATCGTCACCATACAAAGATGTAGGCCGGGATTGTGGTCGGGACTGGGGCAGTTCGGCGTTTTCAGTATCGGTTTCTCGGAATTGAACGCTGGGGGCACGAGAAGGAGGAGAGAAACCCGTAGCGGAAGTCTGATGCTTGTGACGAGCCGCAGACGACGAATTGTCCTCATTGGACTTGTTGGGGGTCGGAGTATTCAGGGTTAGCCCCTCTTTCGGCGAACCGCGCTGAGTGGAAGAGGAACGTAAATTCGGCTTGATTGAAGAAGCAGAATGGGCTTCCTTGACCGGCTGTAGGTTTTGAGGGTCCTGGTGGTCATCGTTCATATCCGTCGACGGGGCCAATTTGAATGACGCCGGCCGTTTGACTTCGGTTGGAGAGGGAAACGGCGAGGACAAACTCGGTGCGGTTGTTGAGATGGTATCTAGTTTCTTGGTTTGGTCCATTTCAGAGCCATTGCCAGCCTCTCTAGAAGAGGAGGCTAACATTGCGTCGGTCATGCTGCACTGTTGGTCGTCAGTTTGGAGCTCCTGGAGTCCAAATCCCCGGGCACGTACAATGCGGGATGAATCGAGACCCTGTCATGAAGAATCAGACCCTCAGACTTTCATGCTCAAGGCGAAACCACAATCCGGATACGTATGTATCAGTGACAAAGTATAGCCCACGCGAATGTTGACATTTAAAGGAGCACTGGTCGTTCAAATTAGTTCGCAACCGCGGTGGAGCTCCGGCCCAGTAACAGAATGTCTCCGACTGGAGAGGACCCGCCAAGCTAGCCAAGAAACGGGCGGTAAGAAACAATAAAAAGGGGGTTGTAGACAGTCTAACGACGATCGTTCGAAGGTTGTACCTGTACAACTTTATTTTAGGTGGGACAGGCCAAAGAAGACGGGAAGAAAAGTCACAAAGAAACATGATCTGTTTCAACTGTTGTTTCCAACTTCCAAGGCAAGTTTGCATTTTACCGAATTAGGGTCTCTTGTGGCCTCAGGCAACATGGTCACGTGGACAAAGTGCCTGCTGAATTGTCTATGAAAGTTTTGCGATATGATGTAACTTGCCCAATGCCAATCAGTTTGTTTGTGTGAGATATAGGAACTAGTCAAATTCATTCATGACTGGATTTGCACTAGTGAGATGGACTATAGTGGAGTCGGGCCTCGGCTCCGTCGTGTATACCCGAGTCGATAATCCGATTGTCCCCCCTCCATTATCTTTACCTGTACTCGCGGATTCACTCGCGAGACATTGCATAGAATTTCTGTTCCTGTTTCTATTTCATTGTGTCTTACCTCTGGATCTTGATCTAACCCTTCCCTATCTTTCTACAAATAATCCTTCACCTTTACGACAATGACCGACCCATTGAAGACACTAGACTCAGGCCGGCCGAAGCCAGCCGCCGTTTCGCAGAATGTCTATGCCATCGCCGGAATTTCGGTCACAGTCTTCGGACTTGAAGAACTGCGGTCGCAGGCCACTGAGGTAGCCTGTCTCTGGCTACTGCATCCACGTTTGGCAACTCAAGAGCGAATGACTGACATCGCCGCCTCTACCATTATCGACTGGAACACCAAGACCAAAGATTCTCCAACTGCTAAAGGTCTCATTGCTGTTTCTTTTGACCAGCGCAATCACGGTACTAGAATGGTGGACCCGCTTGCCAATGAAGCTTGGCGACAAGGCAATCCGCGCCATGCCCAGGATATGTTCTCCATCTTCCGTAAGTTTTTTTCGACATATGGACCGTGCATCCTGTATATGATAATATCTAACCAGCAGGAATTACTAGAGGGGACCGCGCGGGATACTTCCTTGTTGATGGATTACCTTGCCGCGTTTGTCTTTCCCAATGGAGAGCACAAGATTTCCGAGAACCTGGTTCTGGGCGTATCCCTCGGCGGACATGCTGCCTGGAGTTGTCTATTACATGAGCCTCGCATCAGTGCGGGCGTGGTTATCATTGGGTGTCCCGACTATCTCAACCTCATGGTGGATCGTGCACGACTTTCGAAATTGCCCTCTTGGACGAAGAGTGACCCACCGGGGGCAGAGATCCTGGGGTCCGAGGCCTTCCCAGCTTCGTTTGTGGATATTGTCAAACAATTTGATCCTGCGAGTCTCATGCTCAAACATGTGAAGAGTGCATCTGGCCCGTTACGCGACGAAATTCTACCTGCGCCGACGGACCAGGAACAGCAGGAGCTTCGGCCATTGCTGACACGGTGCCTGGCGGGCAAGCGCATCTTGAACCTGTCCGGTGGTATCGACAAGCTTGTGCCGTATCACCGGGGTGAAGCCTTTTTGAAATGGTTCAAGAGTGCAATTTCCGCCAATGGCTGGTTTGAGGATGGTGCGGTCACATTAGAGGATATTATTGACCAGGCAGCAGGCCATGAAGTCACCCCTAAAATGGTTGATGAGGCTGTTCGGTTCATCAGTGAGACATTGGCTATCAATGAGAACAGCAAGGAGCGTAGGGGTTCAGTGCGGGAATCTAAGATCTAGACTTGCCGGTGTCATGACAGACGACCACGACATTAAATTACTTGGACATATGCGTGACCTCATCTTCATAATGGTCGTAGGATTTAACAATTTAGAAATAGAATCCATGGAGAGGTATGGGTCACTGGAACTATACAATGACACCAGACAGACTTAGTGAAGCCATGCCATAAGCCCGAGTCCTCTGCCGAGTACACATACGGGGCCCATGCTTGACAGCCATGGGTTCAAAATTTTTACAAACTTCCAGGTATGCCGCAGGCGCAAGCTCATTTCAGATACCAGTCAACTCAAAACACGCAAATTTGAAAAAATCCTCCTTGTGGTATTTGTTTAACACAATGTGAAATCGTAAGGGCATTCGGAGGCCATGCTATGCTGCTTGCATACACAAAAACCCTTTTTCTTTTCGAGCACCAGAGCCAACCATTCCAGCTCGTGGCTTTCTTTTTTCGAGTTCCGATGGTCTTCCTCAAGGCAGAAAGACTTTGATCCTCCACTTTAAGACCGAATGCAGCTAGGGCTGCGATTGCCCCGATTCACCCGCCTTCTCATAGATAAACATCGAATCAACGCTTATGCGACCAGCTCACAGACACCACCGGCCTCCTTGATCTTCAGCTCGGCGTCGCGGCTGAAGTAACGGGCACGGACGACGACGGGGATCTGGGGGAGACGGCCCTTGCCGAGGACCTTGGAGTAACCGAGGGGGAGGAGGTCAATGACGGGGGCAACGTCGGTCTTCTGGCCGCTCACGTAGGCGTCACGCTGCTCAGCGGGGACGAGGGACCACAGCTGTAACAAAAAAATTTTTCTGGTCAGCCAAAATGTCGCAGTAAAATCTCCAATTTCATTTCCTTAATTATGGCGAGAACCCAGGTTCCAATCCGTCTTTGCATCCTTTCCATTACATGCAATTTTTCGCCTCCCTGGGTCTTGTCTTCAAAGGGTCGAATCCGTTCGGTTGATCACGTACCTTGTCGAGGTTGATGGTGGGCTTCCAGAACTGCTGCTTGGTCTTGTGGAAGTAGCGCATACCGACCTTACCGAAGTAACCGGGGTGGTACTTGTCGATGTTGGTACGGTGGTGGTGTTGACCACCGGCCATACCACGACCACCGGGGCTCTTGCGGTGCTTGCCGACACGACCGTAACCGGCGGACACATGGCCACGGCTGTGAAAGAAACGAAGGTTAGTATCTTGCTGACGGAGGCCGACTGAAGGTGAACATGTGTAGCGATGCAGCAATCTCGAAATTGCGCCGATCATGAATCTCCCAAGAAAATCATCGAGGAGCGAGGACAGGAGAGCGACTCACTGCTTCCGGGTGTTCGAAAAACGGGTAGGCATCTTGTCGGCGGTGGTGTTCTCGACAAGACCGGTTCGAGATTTAGGCGTTGAAGGGGGAAGGGACGTGGATACTTCCGGCTCTGATGTTGAAATCCACGCTCGCGCCTGCTAGAGTGTGCGCTAATACTTCGCTTGTCCCGTGATAGGGTCAAGCCCTTACCTGGGGCTCCCTATGTCATGTGACATATATGTGTCACCAATCATACCGCCTTCTTTATGCAGAGCAATGCCTTATGTAATCAATGGTTGTCCTCTAAACTAAGTTCACTAGTCACTTTTTAGTATACATTGAAGACATTAGTTAGTCTGCAGACTTATTGTTTACTCATTCATGGGTATATTGCAATTATTGGCCAAGTTTCATCCTAGTCTTTCGATTTCATATGTATTCTTTTGATATTCTTAAAAAACATTGCTGTCTCACGACTTTTCTGCGAAAAACTTTGAAAGTCGCTGCACAGTCATCTGGGCCGGGCGTGCAGGCATCGAGGCTACCAGGCTTCCCTGGATCCAACCTGGCAACTTTTTCTGAATTCGTGGTGTGTCATACCGTCGATCGAACATAATGATAGCTGCATAGTCATTAACATGTCTGATTGCCCGTCCAATACATTGATTGACCGCTCGCATGCAAGAGTTCTCATAAAAGTCTCGACCCGCAGCTGAGGCATTGGCCTTCTTCTCGGATTCTGATCCGGAGGCGTGTTTATAGGCCTTCTCCTCAATGTATTTAATTTTAGCCTGCCAGATGGCACTGCGGATGTTAGGGAAAGGCAAGCCAATAATCAAAACAGCCCGCCCCAATCGATCGGAAAAGTTGATACCCTCCGACAGCTTTCCACCAACCACCGACAACAGCAACGCTCCGGACCCCGATTCGACAGCTTCAGTGTAGTCTTGCAGCAAGGTATCAGCGGTTTTCACTGCTTCGCGAGATTCGTAAAGAATTTTCTTCTTCCGTTCAATTAGGCTAAGGGTCGTTTGGCCATTGCCATTCGGAATTGGTTTTTGCCAGACGCTCAGTACCTGGCTCAGGTAGTCATAACTTGGGAAAAATGCAACGACTCCATCGGGAATGACTTGACACAGTGTGGCTATGGTTCGCCCCAAATCTGTGATCTATAAAAGAAAAGTCAGCATAATTAAGAACGCATTTTGTTAAGCTTCGGAAACGTGGAGAAATCTGACCATTTTCTCAGATCCACGGGCCTCGTATGTAAAGTCGAAATCTGAACCCAGGATCCCTCGGGTAAGAGATTGTGCCACCAAGTTCGTGGGTGGAATGACGTGGCCATAACTGAATGTCCCGAGTCGTTCGGGACCAACGTATGAGAACAAATGGTTTGCATAGTCTGACATCTGTCAAATACGTCAGTGGACTGAATCCCGAGTAGACGAGTCTAAAAAGCAATCAAATCTCACTGGAGACATTGTTCCACCTGCCAGAATCACTGCTCGAGCATCTTCGACAATTTCCCGGAAGTGATTAGTAGGGTCAAGAAGCATATATTTCAATACCATGTCATCGTTATGCTTTTGATAGAATAGCCGGCCCTCTTCCGAAGGGTTCATCAATGGCAGTAAGAAACTCTGAATATGGAAGAGAACGGGCATGGTCGTTTTGCTTTTCTGACCTGATTGAAATTTCTCCGATGACTCAACATATCCATCCACCTTTCGAGCCAGCTTACTCTCTTGTAAATACCGAGACAATTTGTAAGGATTGATCTGATCAACTCCCTTGCCCGCCATGAGGTCCGAAAACCGAACTGACCCCTCTAGAGGGCTGGTACGCTCGGAAATACCTCGAAGATGGTCAGCTATAGAACTGACCAGCCGGATCACTTGAGCAAGATAGCTCCTGTTTTTGCCTTTCAAGCGGGTTTTGAATTTGCGGGCATATGTAGTCAACTGCGAGATTGCTGTCTGTAATTGATGTAAAGACACTGTCACCGAGTGAATGCCAGCGATGGCATCCATCAGATTATGGGCCTCGTCGATGATAACCACGTGATCTTTGACGGAGAGATTAAGAGCTTCACGAGCTGACTTTTGAAGTAGCAAAGGGTATGGGAGTGTCACAATCTATGAAGACATCAGCAAGAACTTCAAATAATCACCCAAATGCCTTTGCAACAAACCTCGCTGTGTTTAATGACCTCGCGAGAAGCATAGTAGGGGCAGATGCCAATCTGCTTCCCCACTTTGCCAATATCTTCAATGTCCTTAACTGTTGCCAATGCATGGTCCCGGAATTGAAGCTTCAAGGCCTCATCATTCCTGGATGGGAGAAAGGTGCATTTCTTGTCCGCAGCAACGCCTGATTGCTGCAGATCTAAACACCGCTCGTTGATGGCAGTACTGTTCTCCAGCGCTTGAACCTTTGGATTGATACAAAGATTCTTTCGGGATCCCAACGAAAGATGTTTGATCCGCTCTTCCAGCTTAGACAGATCGTCCTGGTCCTCCGAACCGGGCGCACTGGGGATGCTGGATGGAAAAGCAACTCGCCGCAGCTCCCCAGCAAACTGACTTAACTGGGAGTGTGTCCGTGAGCAGTAAAAAATCTTGACTGCGTTGTCATCTTCGTCATCTTGCCCTTGAGTGGAGAGCTTTCCCTTGAATTGTTCTAATAATGCTAGAGTGCTGGCAGATAAGCCATCGAATTCGCCCGAGATACTCGGTTTCTTCCTTTCGTCTGTTTCGCTATCGTAGTCATCGAGAACGAATTGACTCTCGTCACTGAGCTCCCCCGTCGACTCTGGCTCCTCCACCCGCTACACCAAGCCAGTTGGGACATGTTCATGCAAGGGAAAGGACGGGCCTACCTGTTTTTTCCGCGGTCGTTCCTGGCATTCTGCCCTTTTCAGATGCTCTTCTTCCTGTTTGGTTTTCGCAAGTCGGGCTTCAAACTCCTGTCTCTTCTCTGTAATGGCCCGTCGCGAGTCGCGTTTGGCGAATTCAACCATCCATTCTGGTTCATCATCGTCACCTGTGGAAATGAGATTACCGATATCAGGACAAAAGAATCGGAACAGGGGGTTTCCGATGGGATGGGAAGCGTACAAGCTGCCTGATCCAAAGTTTGTTGGAATGCTTTACGTTTGTGATCCCGCAGCCACGTCAATGAGCCACAGATCAAGCTCAGTGATTTACCCTAGATCAAGATCAGTCTGCAGATTCGGAGAGAAAGCCGATTGTGGCGTATCATCCGAGTCCCTATGATTTGCCGTGTGGAGCACATACGGTACCTGGTTTTATTTTATTTTTCTTTTAGTCAGATCCAAGATCGACGAGGGGGTTCACATACCAGTGGGGGATTCAAAGATCGCAATTTTGCCATCTTCTAGGCAATCATATAGATTGTTCATAAACTGCCGTTGAATGTCATATGGCACAAACGGATGATGGAAATCCCGCATGATGGATGGAAGAATCAGGGAACAATCGAAGGAATAAAAATAAATCGCCGTTTAAGAAGTGGGGACCTCAGGCAGGAAATGAATGCAATCTCTCCAGTTCTCCATTCAGGGGCGAAATACGGAGGCCTGCGACTCCGATTGTTCCTCATGCATCTCAGCTGAAGTAAGCTTGGAGGGTGCTACCAAGCCGGAGGCTATACAGAATGTTTGCCTGCTGAGGACCTATTTATATACATGAATGCCGCCTCTCGTTCGTTTACTATATAGAATACCAGTACCTGCGGGGCTCTCTCATCAGGAAAAAGTGGGCTGTGGTTCACTTTCTCCGCTTGGCGACTAAGAACACCCTTCCCAATTCTTTTCCTTTCTTAACTCGCTCCTTTTCTCCTCTTAAAGAGGCTGATGATCCGAACAAGTGCCCCCCGCACGCCCGGTGCTTTTTTCTTCTAATCACTATTCCGAATGAATAGACCGCCACAGGGCCGTGGTCAGCCACGGGTGGGTGCGACTTGGTATCCAGGGGGCCAAGATGACTTCTACATGCCAGAGGTCATCTCCCCCTCCCCCCAAAGGTACGTCAAGTCGCAGGTGCTTCACCCTTCCCTCATGTCTCCATATGTAATTCCAAGATGCCTCGGGTACGAGTACTAATCCGACCCATCAGGGTCATGCCTGAAGTCCCTGAAAACATGCAGGATAATATCGCGCAAATGGAGCATCACGCTCGCGACCCCCGCCGCGTCCAACAACCGCAGCAACAACAATACCAGCAGCCGCCGGGCCAGTACCGCACCCAGTTCCCCGAGCGCACTTCCTCTGCTGTGCAAGGTCAACTGCAACAACAGCCGCTGGTGCACGAGCAGGGCGCCTACGCGCAGTCGGCGACCTATGACAGCATGGACCACCCCAACTTCTCGCCCTTCCCCGTCTTGCGCAATCCACCCCCAAATGTTCCGCCCACGGACGAGCAGCGGGAGGCCAGCCTAGAGCGCGCCCGGATGGCGGTGTTGTCGACCACGGATCCGGAGATGCAATTGGCATGGGCCCAGGATGCGCTGGCCTACGTGGAAGTGGCTGCACAAAATGAGGCCCGGTTGTCAGTGACGCAGCCCCCGCGGCCACACACCCCTCAAGGGGAACGCCAGTTGAAGACCGACGCCTTGAATATTGTCACTTTCCTGGCGGAACAGCACCACCCCAAAGCCGAGTTCATCAAGGGTATGTGGCTCGAGTTTGGCAAGTTCGGATTTCGAGTGGACCGCAAAGGAGCATTTCGCTGTTATTCTAGAGCGGCAGAGAAGGGGTATGCGCGCGCCGAATATCGCATTGGAATGCAGTTTGAGAGCTCGGGAGAGCCTGAGAAGGCAACCAAGCATTACGAGCGGGGTGTTGCGATGGCTGATTCCGCTTCGTACTACGTACGTTTTTTGTGAACCCTTTAACAACCCCCTCCAAGCACGAACAAAGTCCTAACCTCTGTACCAGCGTCTGGGAATGATGATTCTCCTTGGTCAGCACGGCCAACGCCAGGACTTCCAAAGAGGCCTGGAGTACATCCGCTTGGCGGCACAATCGTGCGATCAAAATGCCCCACAGGGGGCCTACGTGAGTTTGAATGAAACCGACAGATTTGATGCTTTGGGTGCTAATATGCTCTACAGGTATATGGAATGTTGCTTGCCCGGGAACTTCCTCAAGTGAGCGTGCCGGAAGCCTTCCTTCCTCTGGACCTTAATATCTCTCGCGTCAACATCGAAAAGGCCGCGTATCATGGATTTGCTAAGGCTCAGGTGAAAATGGGTGCTTCGTATGAGTTGTGCCAGCTAGGGTGTGATTTCAACCCGGCCCTCTCCCTGCACTACAATGCTCTAGCAGCGCGCCAAGGCGAGCCCGAAGCAGAGATGGCGATTAGTAAATGGTTCCTCTGTGGACATGAAGGCGTATTCGAGAAGAACGACGAATTGGCATTTACCTATGCACAGCGTGCGGCCCAGAGCGGTCTTCCCACTGCTGAGTTTGCCTTAGGTTACTTCTACGAAGTCGGAATTTTCGTTCCTGTGGACATCAAAGAAGCTCGAAGCTGGTACGCCAAAGCCGCCGCCAGCGGCAACAAGGATGCATCTGGCCGGATCGATAGTATCTCTCGCTCAAAGACCCTGTCGCGCAGGGACCACGAGAAAGTTGCTATTTCCCGCATCAAATCAACCCGGCATGCGCACCAACGTGGCAATTCTTTGGACCCAACCCCCGAAAATATCGAGATGCCCGATCCTTCGCGAATGACTCTCTCCGATTCACCCTCGGCTGCAGCTCCCTACCCTGACCGTGCAACCCCCCGCCCTCGGCCGGGTCAGCCAAGTTATCAAATGCCTGATCCTCGGCCCAGTTCCGCGTTTGGGGTCAATCCGAATCTACGTACAAACGGGCCCCCAGGTTACGGTGGTCCTCCGGGTCCCCCGGGCCCTCGTACCCCAGCTTATGGCCCTGGTCCGATGGGTTATCGCCAGCCTAGTGCTGGCACGCCGGTTAGTGCACCAGCAGGTCCAGTAAGCCCCCAGGCGGCGAACATGATTAGCCCTGGTGGAACGCCTCGAATAGACGTCGGTTACTCCGCCCCGATTCCGCCACCCGGTGATCGACGGCGTCCTGCACCTACACGACTAGACGGCATGCCTCCTCCTGACAGGAAGCCGGTGCGAACTCCAGTAAGTGGCCACCCCGGGCCATTGCCATCGCCTCGCAGTCAGGCATCTCCTCGGCCAATAGCCTCTCCCTCCTCTGGCACATTTCCTCCGCGCATGGAGTCCCGACAGCCATCCCGGGGCTCATCATCCTCTACTCCCCAGCCACCATCCAGCGCCTCCTCGGCACACATGCCTGCGGCACAGCCACCTAAACCTAGCGCTCCGCCTCCGAGCAAGGGCCCCAAGACTTTTGAGGAAATGGGAGTCCCAAGTGCCAAGAATGACAGTGATTGTGTAAGTGTTCCTATCACCTGGATCCCCAGTGCTCAAAGCTAACTAGACTCTCAGCTGGTAATGTAATACCCTGAACGCTGTGTTGGGCTCCATGTATATTGGAGTGCATGCTCTCCAACCTCCTTTATATTCTCTAATCCCGGGGGATTTATTTCGTTTCAAGAAAAGAAAATACTATCGCTGGAAAGCGATACTCCTATGTTTCCTTTCCCCTACACATTTGCATTTACGCTCGGGATATCATGGCTGTCTGGGGCCTTTGGACATAAGGTTGTTCTGCAATTTGGTTTTTGTCTAAAGATATGAGGCGTCACCAGTTACGAAATCTATCACATTTTCACAAGTAATTGTATGTCTCTGTAGCTCCACATGCACGGTGTTGAACTGTTTCTTCCCTCTCTTTCCTTCTCTTTCCCTCTCTCTCCCTCCCTCTCTCCATCCCTCTCATCATCCCTCCTCGCTTTCAAAGTGATCTTTCCATCTCTTTCCATCTCTTTCCGATCTATTATAATCACTGCCGCAGTCATGGCTCCTCGCAAAAACAAAAATGACTCCGGTACCGGTACTGATGGTCCGTAACTCCAATATTAGAATTCTACTCCATGGCTAACATAGACAAGATACCGCCATGATTCTTGATTATTTGCGTGAGGAATATTTATAAGGATCTTGAAATGCTCAGGACCTGATTCAAAATTTACAGGAGAACAAAAGTTTGATGCCAATGATGTACTGATGCTCCAGGCAAACATAGCACTGACTTCAAACATGTCCAGTCGTCCATATTCGGTAGGAACCAAGCTGCAGTACTTCTTTCCGCAGAGATTCTCACGGGATTCTAGGCGATTCAAATTTCAGTGAATTTACACAATAAAGTTTCCAAAGGTGAGGAGGGTTGATCTCCATATTTTCCGCATAGCTAACAGGAAGTACGGGACTCAAAGCACAAGCTGCCAAGTCACTACGAGAATTGCACCAGAATGGCAATATTGAAGAACGAACTTCCGGTGCGCCCTTTAGATCCGATCTGGTGCATGATGACGATGGAGATATACTAAAATGGGGCCCGGGAATGCCCAGGTAAACAGGTTGTCTACCATACTTTGCAGGATCCATCGCAGAATGTGACCCCCGAGGTCATTGCTACGCGGAATCGAGAGATCGAAAAGCTCCAGGACGAGCTTACGACAATCAAAGCTAATGAAAAAAAGGTCCGAGCTGCCTTGTTAACCTTTGAGACCAAGCCACGGCTTTCCGATCTTCGACAGGATATCCAAGAGCTTGAGGAAGAACGAAGTGCGATTCAAGCGCGGCTGACAAGCCACCGGGGGGATGAAGTGAACCTGCCCCCAGAGGAGCGAGAAAAGCTTGAACAGGAGTGGAAGCAATGGCAACGTCATGCCACCCTCCGTCGTCGCATCTGCCGGGAACTATGGGGAAGGTGCACCGAAGTTTTACCTGAAAATCAGACATCGAAAGAACTCTGGGTGGGTACAAATCCATGGCCATATGAATAGGATCACCTGTCGCGTGCTAACATGGCTTGCAGGAGTCACTGGGGCTTGAAGGAACCCTCCAATGAGCAGAGGTCGGGTATTGGCGCTATGTTGATGATCACTTTGTCTCCACTTCCATCACAAAGTGATTTGCGGCTCGGTCTGAGCCGGAGCTTCCTGATTTTATCCCCCGGTAGCGTTGCTCTCTTTTATTTTTTATTTTATCTTTTAATACTTTGCAGGAGATGGCCGATGAAGAGTGTCATAAGCTATATCATCATGGATGTCATTTTGGTCCAAGGCGTCTATGAATAGGAATTTAGGACTGGAGGCAACCCTGGCAGGCGACCCAAGATCAGATGAACAACGTAGATGCGTGAACCAACAAGAACTTGTGGAGATAGGCTTCCTCAATTAATCGTCATCTGTCATATTCCCATTATTTTGACTTTTTTTTCCCTGTCTCTTTCGTCTTCTTCCCCCTTGGATTTGTATAGATAGATTCGTTGATTTCATAGAGTTGTCTTACCTAAACCATCCGCACCGGGAGTCTTTCCCCTCCTCCGATCCCGAATAAACCCCTCCTCCACAACTGTCTGGCGATGCTCTCGGCCTCTCGCCCTCCTTCATCTAACCCCAATCGCCTCGATATGAGAGGTCGTGCGCCACTGCAAGTGCCCTCCGGGGTTCAAAATGGTCATTCCCGCAATCCCTCGAGTCTCGACATGGCTCGCAGTCCGCCTAATCCGAGCAATAAGAGTACGATTGCGCCTCCGCTCTAGCTTTCATGGCTTCGGTTTCTTTGTCTCGCATGTAAGCTAATCTAGGGTCTCCGATCGCCCCGCAGATACCAAACATGTTCCTTGCAAATTCTTTCGTCAAGGTGCCTGTCAGGCAGGCCCCGCTTGTCCATTCCTGCACTCCACCGACTCGGCCATCGATTATGCTCCCTGCAAATACTTTTCCAAGGTAAGGAACAAGTCACGGTCCTTGCGCGACATACCAATCGTCATATCACGAACTGTACAATGACTGGGCACTGACGGGCACTCTCTTTATTTTTTCGCCACCAGGGAAACTGCAAGTTTGGCGCCAAATGTGCTTTAGCACACATTCTACCGGACGGACGGCGGGTGAATCGACCAACTGGTGGTGGGACTGGAGGAGGAGCTGGTATGGGAATTGGAGGTAGCCACCTTAACTTGGGTGGTCGGGTTAACCCGCAGGCGTATGTGAACCAAGACTCGGCCTTAACGAACTCGGTCCTTTCGCAACAACGTATGAATGGCCATGAAACGCGATATGCCCCTCAGCCAGAAGACTTCCCCACCGTGCATGGACAGCAAGTCCCGCCATATGATTCGATTCCAACAATCGACGCAGGATTGGCCTCCGATGCCGGGTCCAAGTATGGTTCTCCGGTAGAGGATGCCCGCTTCCCCATGTCACCCAATCACCAACATCTGACTGCTCTCGATGCCGCGCTCCCTGCCTCATTCGATAGTCAAGGTATTTCTCATGTGGCTCGATATGGCCCAGTGGCTGCTTCAATGCCCTCAAAGTTTGGTCTGGAATTGTCCCCACCCGCGCAGAGGCCGGGGCCCTCAGATGCCTTCAGAAACCTGCGTGACATCGGCTTTAGCTCTGACCGTCGCAAGCCGTTCTCCAACATTGGATCTTCACCGCCGGCGCCTGAGGATACCGTCGGACCTCGATTCCTACACTCATCACGCCCTGTCAAGCCACGTATGCTGTCCGCAAGCGTCCCTCGGCCTACTGCGCTTGATGATTGGGATGAAAATTTCCCTATGGAAGAAGACTACCTACCGATGAACCTGCACGATGATGTTCTCACCCCGCAGGAAAAGTTGCGCCGACTGTCCCGGACGGATCATGATATCAGTGGTCTAGGCATGAGCAGCAGCTTTTCCAAGAATGGCTCGCCTCTCGCGTCAAGCCCGTCCAGGTTTGGGGCATTGTTTGCGAAGCAGCGTCAAAAGAAAGATGATGATGGCGTTGCCTCTTCGTTCTCTCACATCGGCTCTCCTCTCCGTGAATCTGCGTTGAACCCTGCTGCTAGCCCCAGTCTAGGCCCCATCGGCAGTCGAGCCTCCCATGATGGATCGCCATTTGTCTCTAGTCCCGGAAGACAGTCATCCATGTCTATGATTTCCGAGCAGCTCAGCGGAATGTCCCTTCACCCAGGTTCTGCTCGACACTCTTCCATGGCCCCAGGCCGCCTCGACCGCACCATCTCCTCAGGTACCACCAGTAAGATCGAAGAGGAAGAGGAACAGAACGACCTTGTCTTCTCCATGGAAGAGGAAGAAGGCAATAAGCGTAGCAGCTCTTCCTGGAACTCCGACGAGACCAAAGAGAGCTCCAACGACGCCTAATTATACTTTTACTACTCTCACGACGACACGGACCAAACGGCGTCTAAGCTTTTCATATTGGACATGTTCATATCAAAAACAAAAAAGAGGCCATTGGAGTTTTACTTGGGCACACAACAGCATCGCCGAGCATCAGAAAACAATCAGGGCCAAAGAAACAGGAGAAACTGACAATGGATCTCAAAGCCCCTCGGGGCTAATATCCGTCCCCGCCGGTGCGGTTCGGCGACATATACAGACTCTTTCCAATCGAATCCCATAGATTGAGTTGTGGCTTTTGCCGTGCTTGTTCGTGGCTATACCTGACTTTGGCGTCTTTCTTTTCGCGTTTCATATGGGTTGAAATATTTGTTCTACACCTTTGTTTTTGGACCATATTAGACCCGTCGTATATTTTTTCGAGACTGGACTCTTTTCCTGGCCATCTCCTGTATTAATCTCTTTGTCTTCTGAGTGATCTTAGAGGCTCTTTGGTCCCGTTGATATCTTGGTTCTCCAATCATGAGTCAAGGACCTTGGTTTCTGGTATCTTTGTCTTGGCCTGCGTTTCCATGTTTCACAGGTTCTTTCTCATCCTCTGATCGTACAAATGGGAGATGTGCAAATAAACTACAACGGAGGTATTCTTCATATATTCTATGATAGACTCTGATTGAAGCATCCATTCAGATTGATATTAGATACATTTCAGGGTCTCAAGGTTTACCTCTCCGACCTAATCATACATCTTGCAAACGCCCCTTATTCTTGCCCCGACCCAGAAATACATGACGCCTCCACCAAATTTGTGATACGGATGTGCAATATGAATGGCACAGGAAATGAGTATCGCAAGATAAAAACCTTCGTATGCCTCTCTTCATCCGTATATTAAATGCCACTTTATATGGCACTATCACTGAGATATGCCGACTCAATCCTTGTTGGACTGCGTTAGGATTCGGTTCGTCTGTTGACGAGCCAGGCGATCGGCTAAAATTCTACTTTCTCGAGATTTCAAGTCTGCAGCCCGGACACTGTCGGCTTGGTCGTGATGGAAAATCTTGTACAGCTCATCAGTACCGGTGACGATTTGTTTTACCATGCATTCAATGGCTCTCGGGGCCAAAGCCTCGATCCGAGCTTCAAGGGCAGTCTCTTCACTGGCACGCTGTCGCTTTTCTTCATTCGCTCGTTGCTTTTCTTCTTCTTCACGCTTGCGCTTTCTTTCGGTGACGTGCTTCTGGCGCTCTTCTTTACGAGCAAGGTATTTGAGAGAGTGGGCCAACTCCGGCTGAGCCGGTACAATGATATCCAGAGGTGGGGCCGAGAAGAACAAGACACGGCCCCTCTCGTCACAATGAAACTGCTGGCGAATATCGGCGGGGATCGCTGCATTGGCCGCGTCGCTAAGATGGAATACCTCCACAGCACGGGGGGCATTGGGGTTGTACACAGGCGCCGCAGCATGGGGACGGTTGGTGGAGTAGGGGGCTGCATATGGCGTTGGCTGTGCTGCCGAATATTGATGCGATGCCGGTGTTGCTTGATAGACACTAGTTGGTGTTTGCGGCACGAAGTTACTTGGTCGACGTTGGTTAGGACCTTGGTACATTTGCGGGTTCATTGGAGGCTGGAATGTCGCTTGGGGCATAGGTGCTGGTGATGTCTGGGCCGCAGGAGGCGCAGGTATAGGTGTCTGGAGTGGAGCCGCTACTGCATTGCCCGAGTTCACCATATTAGCACCCAAAAGAGGTTGGTTCATGGATTGACGGGGAGTAGCCGATGCCATGGCGGATGGTGGCAGAGTAGGAGGCGGAGACGGAGTTGGCTCCGGCGGTGGGGATTCCTAGTGAGAAGAGTCAGACCTTGTCACATTTGATAGGTAAAAAGAAAAAGAAAAATACAAAAGCCCAGTTGAACCTACATTCTCATCACGAGGGCGACGGTGAACAGCACCCACGACAGGAGGTGCATTATCTGCTCCCCAAGTTGGCCGGGGAAGATCATCCGTTTCCTTGGCATCGTCCTTCAATAGATGCTTAATTGGACTGGGGACCTTTTTGATCTTTCGAGGCACATCAAAAAGATCCATTTCGTAGTCCTTCTCGCGCACCTCATCGGGCAGGCAACTCGCCCATGTCTTGATCTTGTTAAGCTTGTGCTTTTCTTCATTGTAACGAGCTTCGCAAACATAGATCTCTTTGTCAGGTGCCAAGTCCCGGGGGCGTCCTCGACTGTAGCGAGTAAAGAACATCACAAAGCAACGGTCAACGATCTCATCGATGCGATGGTCTCGATATTGGCCGGTCTTCACCACCTCGTTAGGGTAAAAATGCTTCTCGAAGTGGTGAACCGTCTGTTCAGGGCGATAATACCAGCATGCATTGATCCATTGTTCATTCTCAGAATCTTGCCATGTCCGATAGATCTGCGCCACAATGGGCTTGGTCACATCATTTGGATTTTGAATGTGGACCCAGTCTCCAACTTTCCAAAGTTCGCCTCGATGTAAGATACCATTTGGCAATGGGAATCGACCATCTTCCATCAAGTACTCGCTGTCGGGTTTCTTCTTCTCCTGCTCGGCCAATTTTCGAGCATCGCCTTGCAGATCAGCAGCGTCTCGGTAGATTTGACTTTCCGATTGGTTGTAGGCCTTGGCGTTGTCAAACATAAGATCGAGGTCCCGCATGAAATGGTCGACGGAGTTGTACTTCTTACGCTTCGCCTTGCGCTTGATGATATCGATGGCTATCGGCTCCTTGATTTCCATGTAGTAATCTGGGTAGGCAGCCTTATCCGGCAGACGCTCGAAGTGAGCGATCTTTAAATGGCCACCGGGGCCCTTGAACTTCCTAATTCCCTTCAGAATGGTCTTAATCCGAGTTTCCATCGGGGTATCCACACGAGGCGGTCGACCTCGCTTTTTGCGTAAATCCGGCTCCTGTTTCTGGGAGTCTTTCGTGCCACGTTTGAAGCCAGGCTTCGGTCCAGGTTTCTTTCTGCGGCGCCCCTCATCTTCGGAATCATCTTCATCGTCTTCCTCCTCTTCCTCCTCTTCCTCGTCGTCGTCGGGCAAAGGATCTGCCTCAGGAATCTCTCCCAAGTCCGGATACTTGGCTTCCTCGGCAGATATCACACCATTAGCTACAAGCTTTTTGAATTGGTCATGAAAAACCTCCTGCGCGCGAGAACGGGGTTAGTCACGGGCCCACGAGGTATGCGGACAAGCTCCACGAGACTGAATATTATTGCGGTCGTTCTTACCTTTATCACAAGAGCATCCTCATAGGCTTGCGACTTGGGTCTGTTGTACGTTTGCGCGTTGTGGGAGATCTAGTAATGAGGGAATCAGCTTCGTGAATTGAGGAAAAAGCTCAAGTCGCGTACCAAAGCGCAATCGCGCACAAAATCCGAGAACTGCTTATATTCACGCTTATTGATTCTCTGCTTCAGGATACTAAGAGCTATTGGCTCTTTGATAATGTCCTGGTAGTCCGGAACAAGGCGTTTGTTGACACTGCGGTGGAAAAGTCGCGACGGATCGTGGCCACTACAAGGCGATCAGCATTTCGGCATCCTCGAGTCCTTTCGTGCACCCAAATCACTTACTCCGGCTCGCGAAAATCATATATCGCCATTGTGACATCCATCATGGCCTTCCATTTGTCTTCGGTCATGGCGCCATCCTCCTCGATTGAGGTGACAGGCTCCTCTGGCCGAGGCTGTGGTTGCGACTGCTCTCGCTCCGCTTGATCCATGGTGTACCACTAAAGTTACACGCGGGAAACCAAGAAGTGGGATCGTGAAGATAACGGAAGAGAGCTGGTTTCGTCGCAAAGGGAGAGAAAGCGCTCAAGACAGTTTAAGTTACGCTCTGCTGAGTCATCAATCACTGATACGTCTTCAATACGCATGTAATGTTACCATATGTGCCTGTTTGTACAGGCTACAACCAGAATCACGGGACTTCAACCATCCCAGTGTACTTCCTCCAGTATTGGACTTGAAACTGGGACACATCTAGGTTCTCAATTTCCAAAAGGTGCAAATTAAGTGATTCGGGGACTCAGATGGATTGTAAGGGAAAGTACCGGCCATACACGAAGTGGGGTGTGCAAGATCGGCCATAACTAGGACCAAAGAAAAAGAAAGTACAGTACGGAGTTACATTATAGTGACTTGAATTCGACCAGTCTCAGCTGGAAGTGATCATTCAGCAATGGTCAGTTCCATTCAAAGTATATGCCTCTATAAATTCAGGGTCCATAACAGATCCAGTTATCAATCAAGGATATATACTTCGCCTTCCTCGTCTACACTTTACCCCACATCTGGACCCAGTCGTCATCGTCCCCCTCACTGGATCAGTGCGGGACCTTGATCTCTAAACTTCATTTCCATATCCCACGTTTACTTGCCTACCGTCACAGTCTTACGTCTAGCCATTGCACAATGCGGATGCGCGTGCGAGGGCCCGAGGGCCAGTCAACAGTGTCTCTGGACGAGTCCGCCACCGTCCGCGATCTTCGAATGCAAATTGCAGAGAACACTGGCCTGGCTTCCTTCGAGGTGAAATATGGATACCCAAATCTCAAGCCTTTGGAACTCGAACAGTTCCAATCCGATCAAAAAATTACGGATCTTGGGGTCAATTTAAACGGCGAACAGCTGATTGTCGCGCAGCGACAGGGAGCTGCCCGACCTAATGATCCGCCAGTCAACCCACCGGGCCCTGCCATCCCACAGCCTTCGCAACAACCATCTTCGATGTCGCAAAGACCAGTGTCAACTGCAGATGACCCTCCAGAGATTGCCTCGCCCGAACATGCCGGTACATTTGTGCTTCGGGTCATGCCTGATGACAACTCGTGTCTCTTCCGAGCAGTAGGCGCTGCGGTTATGGGTGATATGGATACTATGGTCGAGCTGCGGTCAATCATCGCGGGATCTATTCAATCAAATCCCTCGGAATACTCGGCAGCAATTTTGGGCAAGAAGCCGGACGAATATTGCCAGTGGATTCAAAACGATGACTCGTGGGGCGGCGCGATCGAGCTCAAAATTTTAAGCGAGTACTTCAATATCGAAATCTGCTCCATCGATGTTAAAACCCTACACATGTTCCAATTCAACGAAGGTGCGCCGACTCGCTGCATCGTGGTCTATTCGGGCATTCACTACGACGTCCTAGCACTCTCCCCCTCCGACCCGCCATACACCCATGCCAACTCATTTGCACATGGCGACACCAAGATCTTTGACGCAGTTGACACAGTCGTATTGGAGAAGGCGAAAGAGCTGTGTCGAGTTCTACAAGGCAAACATTATTATACCGATACCGCTGGATTTTCCGTCCGTTGTAACACGTGTGGAGGCACCTTCACTGGAGAGAAGGGAGCGACCAAGCATGCCTCGGAGACTGGCCACTATGACTTTGGAGAAGCTGTTTAAGCAGCATCTGGACATGAATTTCATACCCGTTCCTAAAGGTTTAGAGTACAGTATTTTCGGTGTGGTGTTTATGGAGATACCAGGCAATTGGGTTTTTACGCTTCTTATTTTGGAGCAAAGCATTCATAATACAGCTGTATCGTATAGCAACATGAAAATTGCATCACATATCGTACAAATCTTGATCTCATAGCATTGCCACTTCGTCGGCTTCGTCTTCTCCTGCCTCATCATCTTCGGCTGACTCCCCACTCTCCTCGGGGTTGCCTCCCCACTCCACGTCATGGTGAACTGGGTTGGTAAAAAAATCGTGTTGTAAAGCTTCCTCAGCACTGAGCCGTTTTGTTGGATCCAACTCCATCAAGCCCGCAAGGAGACGTGTTGCTTGCTGTTCACTTTCAGTCAAATCCTCCACACAGCTTGACCATTTTACCAGTTTCTCCCAGCTGTAGCCCTTTTCACCGATGGTAGGCACGTTGGTTTCAAAGATCTGTCCGTGCATGGCCGCTGCAGTCTTCATTCGCCGGGTGCCAAAAATACTGGACATCTCAATCATGGCATCGATGTCATCTGCAGAATTGAAGAAGGGAAATCGACGGCCCAATAAGGTTAAAAGAATCACACCGACGGACCACATGTCAATCTTCGTTGTCTGGGAGGTGCATTTGAATAGTACCTCTGGCGCGCGGAAGCCTCGAGTCCCAGCCCGATTCGCTCGCCTCGATGACCGAGAGTCATTTTTGGGATATCCAGTCGACAATCCACCGGCGGGTGGGTTCTTTGAATAGTAGCTGGAAAGTATACGACTTCGGCGAACATATGATTGGTGAGTGCAGAGGCATGCACCAGTGTATTCGGAACCTTGGCGCTGTGGAAAATTGAATAGAGTCAGTGTCAAGATCAGCAAGTCCCGAAGTAGACAAAACCAACCTCTGCAAGCCCGAAGTCAACTAGCACACCTTCTTTTAGATCCGGGTTGTAGAGGAAGTTACTGCGACAGGCCATGTTAGCATGCAATCCAGAACCCAGAGGCGGTATGAGGGGGCATGTACGTTGGTTTGATATCGCGATGGAGAATGTCATGTTCATGAACCGAGTGTAATGCAGTCAGGAGGGACCGTAGATAATGGCGCATATCTGCCACCATGAATGTACGATATTGGATACGAAAGTCGGTGTGTGGGAAATAAGGTAACACAGCCACGACTTGATCCTGGAATCGGAATGCCGTGATTAGAGGGCACACAGATCGACAGCCTCGGAGATCGTGGAGGAGCTCCAGTTCGTTTTGAATTCGAATTGGACTGCTGGTCACGTAGATCTTTTTCAGCGCCACATATCGGGCTTTCTTGTGTCTGGCATGCTCTCCTTCAACTCGACGTCGTTTGGAGGGAGGACCGGCGAAGGCTTCTTGTTCTTGCGCTTGCCCGAAGATGTCCCAGTCGTTATGATAGTGGTCGTAAAGTAAGTCTTCGGCTTTGTAAACCGTCGAAAAGGTCCCTATTCAATGGTTAACTCCAAGCGTTTGTACAGCAGGTTGGATCCAACCCATACCTTCTCCAATTCGATTGACTAGTCGGAATCGGTCCGAGATGCCAGGAAAGGTGTCTTCCAGCTTGGTCATGTCTTCCCGAACAGACTCATCCACTTCCTCCTCCTCGTCTTCATAGTCACTCGCTCCCTGAGGCATATCGCCGGGCGTTGTCCTCTCATCACCATCCTCCGACGCGTATTTATGCGTTGCGGGCTGTAGTCCTCGAAAAGAACTGCTCCGCTGAAGTTCGAAGACTCCGGTGGGGGCTTCTCTGAGGGTCGACATGGCATAGACCCAAAGTGAAGGAAAAAAACGAAAAAGATCTCAGAAAATTCAAGGTCGCCCAACAATTCCCAATCTTGTTTACGGAAAATGGGGGGATGAAAGAGAAGGGTTCAAGCGCAATGACATGCGCATCGCTTGTTTTTCTCCGAAAACCACGGCAGTACGAGGGTATGACAGGTAATAATACGGGCGGTGAGCAGTCACTGTGGTTCCGCGCGACCAAAAGAGTAAAAGCCAAACACGGATATCGTCAACACTGTTCGCTTCCCCTCCTTCCCACTCTTTGGAACGACAACACCAACAACCTGCCCTCGTGGTCCACGACAACGCCATGGAGGACAGAATACATTTCGATATCAACGAGTCACTCAAGTACTACTTGAGTGATCCGTCTTCACTTCCAACCCCCGAGGCTGATCCGGAGCTTCTCGACTGCGAATCCGACCCGGATCAGATATCGCCGGCGTTGATTGACAATGTTCTAAACCCGATTGTGGATGCAGTGGCGGAGAACCCAGAATCCCTAACAAGATCTTCCATTTTCGATTCTCTACAATATCTATTAAAGTGCGCACCGGTCCCTTTCCAATTACCCCATGGAGGTTTTAGTCCACCAGGAATCGACTCTGAACTTGTGAATCCTTGCAGATATACCACCTTCGTCCCCGTGAAATCCCTCAGCAAACTACTCGATCTCATTGTATCCGGATTGTCTGTTGAGGCAGATATTATCCATGGCGACTTAGAATCCGACGAGCAGGATGCCATCCAACATCACAAACAACTCCTGGAGATGTACGGGTTCCTGCTCCAGTGGGCCCTATCCGCGGTAGAGGTCAAGGCAGCCGAGAAACCCGCAGAGTCTGCCCCCGCCCGACGAGGAGGCTCCAAGTCTAAGAAGTCCGCCAAGGATGGCCACTGGGATTGGACTCCCCAGATTCAAATCTCCATGGAGACCATGTGCAAGGTGATGAAACTCAAATTAGGCCGCATTTTCTTGACCACCTCGGACCGCGACACCTTTATTAATCTTTTCACCCGAACCATCTATCTGATCTTGGAGAGCGAGCAGAGAGTCAAGAGCATGGCTATCCGAATGCATGCTTTCAAGGTGCTGTGCATCGCAGTGAAGCACCATGGCCATGCGTTTGGTATGCATCCAGTGGTGGAATGAGGAATCGATTGTTGGAGCTAATTCACGTAATAGGAGCGCAAACCTCAATTGTTCAAAGCCTGACATACTTCGAGCATCTGTCCGAGCCCATGGCCGAATTCCTTCACATCCTTGCAGAACAATACGACTACCCTCAACTCTCTGATGAGATTCTAAAGTAATATTTCCCACGGAGTGCCCCAAGAACCTTGTGCTAATACGAACTAGGGAACTTGGAAATAAAGAGTTCAATTCAAACGACACCCGTGGGCCCAAATCTGTTTCTGCATTTATTATCAAGCTGTCCGACCTTGCCCCGAGGTTGATCATAAAGCAAATGACCCTCCTGGCCAAGCAGCTCGATAGCGAGGTGGATACATTCCCTACCCTTCCAATTAAACCAAACTTGGACTGACCCTTTACCAAGGCATACACACTGCGATGCGCAGTCATCGAAGTCTGCGGCAACCTCATCTCTGATTTGAGCCGACAAGAAGAACCCAGCGAAAACTACAAGACGCAGATCAACGCCTTTTTCGATGTATTGGAAGAGAGATTCCTAGACATCAACCCCTACTGCCGCTGTCGAGCCATCCAAGTCTTCATGCGAATCTGCGACCTAGAGCAGAAATTCCCCAAGAGACGACAGCGTGCATCTGAGTTGGCTGCGAGAAGCCTTGAAGATAAGAGTAGCAATGTGCGACGGAATGCGATCAAGCTGCTGTCTAAGCTGGTCGCCACGCACCCGTTCAGTGTGATGCACGGCGGTCAACTTTCGTGCAAGGAGTGGACCGAGCGCTTAGATGGGGTGGATGCGGAATTGAATGCCCTGCGGCCCCCGGAGACACCAGGCTTTGATGCGGATGCTACTCAGGGCGTTGATCCTGAATTGTTGGATGATGCAACCCAGATGCCGGATGACTCGCCTTCGAAAGCGCCTAGAATGACAGAAGAGGAGAAGGAAATCGCTGTACAAAAAGCAGCGGAACAAGCGGCCACATCCGAATTGTTGACTCGGTTACAGCTGACCAGGAAATACTACAATGAGGCTTTGCGCTTCATCGAGGTTCTCCATTCAGGATCTACTGTGGTCTCTCAGCTGCTCTCATCTCGGAACAAGAGTGAGGTAATCGAGGCCATGGATTTCTTTGTGGTTCTAGATGCCTACAAGGTTGAGACGGCTCGCAGTGGAATCCGTCGCATGCTTCGTCTGATCTGGACCAAAGGCAACAGTGACGAAGGCAAGGGTGTTCAGACTCATCTTATTGACTGCTACAAGGGGCTGTTTTTTGATGCACCTGATTCTTTCAGCCCCAATGATGCCGCGAACTACATCGCCCGCAATATGATCAGTTTGACCTTTGGGTCGACACCAGCCGAACTCACTTGTCTCGAGCAGCTACTGAGTACCATGATGAAGGCAGGGCATGTCTCAGAGACAGTAATCGCCAAGCTCTGGCAGGTTTACAGTGTTCAGAAAAAGGAGATCTCGAAAACTCAGCGCCGTGGTTCAATTATCGTCCTTGGTATGCTCGCGTTGGCCGACCCGGAGGTTGTCGTCAAGGAGATTGAGGCCATGCTACGCATCGGCCTCGGTGGCCTGGGACGATCCGATCTTGTACTCGCCAAATATACATGCATTGCTTTACGGCGCATGGTGCCTGGGCGCCAAGCTAAATCCAAGGATATCGGTATCCCCAAGCTTGCCAACGATCATTCGGTGCTGACCAAGCTTGCCGCCATGCTTGAAATTCCCTCTGACAGTAAAGAGTGGTACGGTGTTGCGGAGCAGGCTATCAGCGCCATCTACACTCTTTCTAAGCACCCGGATGTTCTTTGCTCTGACATTCTTCGGAGGAAGACTCGATTTGTGTTCCAGCCTCATCTCCAACGACCTTCATCCTCGCATGCTTCTGTGGACGAGGAGGATCAACGCCCTGGCACCGCATCGACCGATGGACAAGGATCAAAACCAAGGCCTTCATCCGCAGCTCTTTCGCAACTCCTGTATGTCGTTGGCCATATTGCGATCAAGCAGATTGTGCACCTAGAGCTGTGTGAGCTTGACTTCAAGCGCCGCAAAGCTGAGCAGGAAAAGAATAAAACTGTGGAGGCTGCTGCTCAAAAGACCGCCGACAATGCAGACGAGGATGAGCTTGACTTGATCGGAGGTACCACCGAGGACGATTTTCAAGACGCCATGGCTCATATTCGCGAGCGGGAGCTACTCTATGGTGACAACTCCCTTCTTGCAAAGTTTGGTCCATTGGTTGCGGAGATCTGCGCCAATAATAACACCTACCCGGATCGTGATCTACAAGCATCCGCAACCTTGTGTTTGGCGAAGCTCATGTGTGTATCGGCCGAATATTGTGAGAAGAACCTTCCGCTCCTGATAACAATCATGGAACGGTCCGAGGATCCAATCGTGCGCAGCAATGCCGTTATCGCACTCGGTGACATGGCCGTCTGCTTCAATCATCTCATTGACGAAAATACGGACTTCCTATACCGCCGTCTCAATGACGACGAGGCATCCGTCAAGCGTACTTGTCTCATGACCCTAACCTTCCTTATTTTGGCTGGTCAGGTCAAGGTCAAGGGTCAGCTTGGTGAGATGGCAAAGTGCTTGGAAGATGACGATAAGAAGATCGCCGACCTGGCCCGCATGTTTTTCACCGAGCTGGCCACCAAGGACAATGCTGTTTACAACCACTTTGTGGACATGTTCAGTCTGTTGAGTGCGGAGCGGAATTTGGAGGAGGTATCCCTGCGCCGTATTGTGAAATTCCTCATCGGATTTGTGGAGAAGGTAAGTTTCAATTGTCCAACTCATTCTAGAAATCTTTGAATACTCATACTGTCTGCGCAGGAAAAACATGCTCGTCAGCTAGCGGACAAGCTTGCTGCTCGACTGCCTCGTTGTGAGACGGAACGGCAATGGAACGATGTCGCCTACGCGCTATCTCTCCTCCCTCACAAGAATGAAGAAATCACCAAGACCGTGACTGCTGGCTTCACCAAGGTCGTCAGTGCCTCGGCTTAGCAAAAGCGGCCCTAGGCTTCTCCATGCATTTACGTTTTAACGACTGTACCTATCTTGTGGCGGTGTTTCTTGTGTTTGGTTTTAAGGGGAGGTGTTGGTGGCTACCGATCGGTTCGGAGTGATTTATGGATGTTTCGCATGTCGAATCGAATAATTTCATCCCTTTGTTCATTCACTTTGGTTTGTTACTGTATAGAACATTTATCTACGGGATTTTAGGAACCAAGTGCAGGTATTGAAACATGTATATTCTCTCTGAGCATCAAGGGAGTAGTTGCTGCTCCCTCGACAGGAGAATAAGTCCTCATTCGCCCCCAAGTGACTATCCACAAAAAATAAAGGGATGAGAAAGAAGGTACAACCTCCAAGTGAAGGCACAAAAAAGAAAAAAATTCTAAAGTATGTGAGAAGGTGAAAAGGGAGACAGGAGATATACGCCAAAGTAGGAATGGTCGCGCATGCCAGATACGCCAAAAGTTCTGCATCGATCAAAAACACAGAATAGAGGGAAACGCTTGAGACAGAAGCTTGGGAACCATTAAGAAAGCTATGCACCCTGTACTGTACTTTCCTCCAAGGTGAACTTCCCTTCCCGAATCCCCTGCAAAACCTTCTGACCCTCCTCGGTCAATTCAGGCTTGCCCAGCGGAGTGACTGCACCGGTGAAGAAACGTGGTTTCCATTCGACATCTTGCGCCTTACGCTCTGCCGCTCGCTGACGCTGACGTTCCTCGATGTCTTGCTTCAGTTTGGTCGCCTGGGTAAACTGTTTACCAACAATGGCATCCGTCACGTCGCCCCAGAATTTCAAGGATTCATTGGATAGCTGTTGATCATCGGGGGGCAGATCTTTCGACGCAGGGTAGAGAGGCTCAATATCGATGAGCAGAATGGGCTCTTTGGAGCCCGCTGGGGTGTAATATATCTTGCCGTGCCAGGACCCGCTGAGTCGCGCGATAATATCACTCTCCGCTACATCCTTCAACCTTGTGACATTATCCTTCTCGGGGTTGTAACGGAAAACCACGCCCTCCATCCGGTTCTGCGAGCGGCCAATCCATCCTTCCTCCAGGTATTGTAAAATAGCCTTCATGCCTGTTTTTGGGCAGGTGATGTAGCATGCGTCCGACACCGTGATCGATAGAGCGCCTCGCAGCAAGCCTCCCAGGTGGGCATGCGGATGCGTTAACTGATACTCCTCGTTGTCCCTCTTCTCGAGGTTGACAAAAATCCCCAAATTGTGCTGGCCGGGGCTCACTCGAATACTCGTGCCGGTGAACTTGGCGCTGAGCTGATCAAAACCTCGTGCGGAGACACCCCGCTCGGGGCAGTCGATGTAGAAGGCGGAGACGGGTGGGTGATGAGAAGTCTGTTCGGTCAAATAGCACACCTTGACCTTCTCGTTTCCATCCTTCACAATAGTGCCGTTGCCATTTGCGTCGACCCCCGGGAGATTGGCTTCCAGAGGGGCAACGTCTTGCACATCCCAACTGCACTGTTGGTCATAAATCGTCAATACCCATTTCCTGCATTTGTAGCCACCTCGAGAGAATTGACTCCATTTCACTTACTCGGAAAAATTCCCCCAAGGTCGAATTATACGGTTTGCATGGCTTGCCCTTGATGTATTTCTGTTGGATGGGTCAGCCACTTTCAATCAGGTTCATGGGGCAGACTGCAAGTCAAGAAATACCAGATCCTTCGTAAACCAGAACTTCAGCACCTCCAGCATGCGACCTAATTCATCATCCGACGTGCCAATACTGTCTAGAGTCAGCACATGAGCGACTGCTATCGATGACGGGTGCTGACCTTGCAAAGGTCTCTGGTCGGTCCAGATAGTTCCAATATTCTGAGTTTCCCGTCAGTGCCTCGCCCATGTCACACACGTGTTCCCTGCAAGCTTACCCAGATTCGGTCGCGGCTCTAAAAGCTGCGCTGGCAACGAAAAACGAACCGAAGCGATATCTGTCACACCCACGAATCTGGGTGACCGTTGTATTAGTAAAGTTTCCGTTCAGATTGGGTTGTTTTGTTTCTGTCTTTTTGGAGTTGATACCCCTGTAGAGTCTCAGGGATCAAACATACTTTCGCAAAATGGAGAGAAAGGTTTTCAGCTTGGAAGAATCATCGGGTGCCTTCTCAGGCACGGCGGTTGATGACATGGTGCGGAGTGGCGGTTTCCAATAGCAAAGAATGCGACGACGAAAGAGGGTTTCGGTAACGGGCCCTATGTCAGAGATCAAGAGCGCAGAGGAGGAAGCAGCAAAGAAATCGAGTATAGGGAAAAAGAAGGAGAACAAGGAAACCGTGACTTGTAATTTGGGGAAAGATCCAGTGACGTGGGAAACTGTTATTTTTTGCCATCTTGCCCCGGGTGGGGCATGATACAATATCAATACGCTCATATTACCCGTTACAAAGGGGCTATCTAAGTACAGTGACGGGTCATAAGTTTTTGCACCCCCCTAAAGACCCACTCCCTCACCGCTAGTACCGCCTTCCTAATTCGCGTATCAGAAATCACGCTAAATTAGTCGTGTATAGTCTCGCGTTCAATATTATTAGACCTACCCCCTTTCTTGTCTAATTCACTATATCTCCTAATATCTATTAGCTTCAGCTAACATGGCCCGCTCAGCGGAGCTTACACCCGCCATACGTGAGCGTATATGCGAGCTCCACGCTATTAAATGGGGATATAAACGTATTCAAAAGCGTTATCCCTATATCCCACTATCTACAATTCGATATACAATTAAGAAGGAGCATGAACGACGAGAAGGTGTCTCTAAGGCACGCTCTGGTCGGCCAAAAAAGCTCTCTGACGCAGAGAAAGACCGAATTCTCCAGGCTATTCATGGTAATCCAAGAATTACACGTGAAGATCTACTCGCTGAGGTTGACCATAAGGTGAAAATTCGTTCGATTCAACGCCTTCTAAACGCTGAGAACCTCCGGAAGTGGCGCTGTAGTTGGCGACCATACTTAACTGAGGAGAATGCCACGAAACGACTTCGATGGGCCTACCGATATCGACACTTTACGCCTGAGGATTGGGCCCGAGTTTTCTGGTCTGATGAGTGTACGGTTGAACGTGGAATTGGTGTCCGCCGGGAGTGGACTTTTACTCGTCCAAGAGACCAACCAAAAGAGGGCCAAGTCCAAGGGCTACCTCAGCGTGGAAAGCAAGTTAAGCAGATGTTTTGGGCAGCGTTTTCAGGGGCTGTGCGGCGTACTGGATTGATCCCGCTTTTTGGAGATCCTGAATCTGAAAGAGGAGGTATTAACCGCTTCGTTATTGAGGATTTATATCGTCGAATTTTACCTACTTTAATGGCGAATGAAGACGCTATATTTCAGCATGATAACGCACCAACACACACTGCCTACGTTGTACGAGAAGCTTTAGAGGAGATGAATATCGAGGTTATGGAGTGGCCACCTCATTCACCGGATCTGAATCCTATTGAGAACCTATGGGCATTACTTAAAGCGGCAATTTATAAACTTCGACCTGATTTGATCCATATGAGGAATAACAACGAAACAAAGGCAATCTTAGTCGAGACAGCGCAACAGGCTTGGGATGAGCTTGATCTTAGCCATTTTAGCCATCTTTCGGAGACTATGCCGCACCGTGTCGAGGCAATTATTGAGTCTCAAGGGTGGTATACACCATATTAGGTAGGAATTCATACAATTTCCAAGGTTTTTGACCGGCAGAATATTATATAATCAGGGGGTGTGGGGCGAGGGGGTGCAAATACTTATGACCCGTCACTGTACTGTAATACAGTACGATAGGGATATTATGGGGCGCGATAAGAAAATTGAAACATCTGGTATTCAAGACATAGCTCTGAGACAAATTAAGGAGGTTCGTAGCTCTTTTCCAGTCGACCTACCGGACCATGGACCTGAATATGATTGGCGAGAACCAAAGAGCTAGGTACCTACAGTATCCATACATACAGCACATTAGTATCTCCCAAGCTCAGTACGGTACACTGATTCCAAAAATAATAAGAATGGGGTTTCCATTTCAGGCCTAGATGGTATTATTGGTATTGTAATTCTTCGGTATTCTGTATTGATCATCCGGATTATTTAAGGTGTGGAAGGGTACCAGGTGTGGGCCAATCACTGCGCCACGAGGGTCCAGATCCAGGCCTTCATTTGCTTTTACAACAATTCCGCCAGCATATGTTTGCGTGCAAGAAATCGCAGCCACGTCCGTACCGCCGGTCCATAGTCATATCGCCGTCCCGTCGCATGGTCCTCGTCAGTTCGTTGAGCCTGTTGCTCCTCTCTTATCCGACCCCGTAATTGGTGCTGTACCTCGCGCAGTCGTTGCAGGTCCGTGGCGAATTCTGGAAAGGCGACCTCGGAGATAACAGCCGCATCAATGTCGGCGCGGCTCAAGCCATAGGAAGGATCGGGGCCCAGCACCGTCTCTTTGAGCTCGGATAGCATCGCATCGGGAAGGACCGGGGTTGCGGGGGATGTCAGTTGGGCAATTAACGTCTCTAAACTTCGAACATTGATGGCAAGCTGCTGGATCAGGTCATGCAGGGGATCCCGAACCACCCCTAGAATAGAAAATTCAATCTGTTCTTCCTCGTATGCGGTCATTCGGTCCACGATATTGGGCCGAGCCAACTCCAACCAGTCATCCTCGGAGCATTCACCTAGGGAAAGTCAATATGAAAGGACTGATCACCAGATGGCAACTTGAGAGGATCAGGGGCATACGAACCCAGGGATTGTGGTTGCCGTTCTAGTCCGTCGAATTTCCACACTTGACCTATGGCCGGCATGAACGCAATGAAGTGGAAAGTAGCATCTGAGTCGCCGGTATTTTGACCTTTATACCGGTTTTTGGAGGTGGCCTCCGATTTAAGCTGTAGATCGGCATTTAGAATATCCATCTTGCTATACAATTGGAAGTGATCAGCACCAATAAGCAGACAACGGGGGATTAAAAGCATACCGTGCGAAGGAATTGTGTATTCTCTTGACGAATTCAAAATTGTTGATAGCATCGCCCCGGAGAGCTGGAGTAAAAGTGGAAGTGAATTCTTTGAAATGCTGCAAATTTTCCCCGAGGTCGATATCTGGGATATTATTGACGATATTCAGGAGGGCTACACTGGCACAAGCATTGATTGCTGTCTAGACAAGAGTCAGCCTGGGTCTCTCTCTCTCTCTCTCTCTCTCTCTCTCTCTAACGCTTCAATTCCCCTACTTACCTGGTTTGCAAACCAGAGCCCATCGGGACAGCTGATTTCCTGCCGATCTGTATCGTCTTCCCGCCAGCGGAACAGAAAGATCAATCCATAGATCGGTTTACTATCCTCAGTTTGATTAGCTAACTTGTTTTCAAGAAGTCAAAAACCACCCAAAATGACTATTCAGCCGGGATCATACTTAAGGAAAGCCATCATTTCCTCCTCAAGAGATACAACCTCTTGAACCTTGACTCCTTTCACCCCGAACTCTCGGAGCATTACATTGAAGAGAGCCTAGCCAAATGCATGAGCTATAAAGATCATGACAGTATCAATGAATATTGCTTACAGGCTCTGACTCGATTTCACAGAATCCGTTCCAGCTATCTTTTTGCGGCTGAGTAGCTGGCTGACAGATCTCATCTCTGTTGTCCTCCGAAAGATCGGTCAGACGTCGTTTCTTGGTACGTGGGACCATGATGAGTATTCAAGCTGTTTTCAGCTTATCAAAAAAGAAAAAGAGTACATAAGATTCGTCTTAGTCCTTTGAGTAGTGAGGTCTAAAAGAGGTGATGTACAAGAAAAGTAGGAATTATGTACGGAGAGTATGGTATGTCTGATGTGGTGGACCGAGCTTTGTCCGACGCGCTTCCCGCGTCTCTCGGCAACTTCACTACTTTTTGTTTCTTGTTTTCCTCCAACTTCCTTGTGAGTAAAAAGATCAGATCAATTCACTCCACAGCGAATTGAATACCTTGCTACTTACCACGGCTTTGGGAGAACTAGCCTGCAGAGTTTCTTTCCAGCTTCATCTTTCCATTGTGGCAACCCCCGCCGAAGACTCTGGCAACCACAGCATGCCATGAACGGTACTCCCCTCCTTCCGTCTGCCTTTCCTCAGACGCCCAAGACAATTCCCAGGAGAAGAAAGCTTTTTGAGACTCCCCGGTCTCAGTCCCGCGATGTACGAGAAAGAAAATCACCCTCCAAATCTCCGGCGAAGGCGCCCAAGGCGCCCGCGCCCCAGAATACCAACACGCCCCTCGTCCCGATCAACTTGATTGATGCGCCCTCGCAGCGCCTCTATGTGGTAGCTTTCTACCTGGCTCTCAACGCGTGGCGCATATATGAATCTTGGACTGCGTCCGACGAGCTAGACTCGACTTGGCTGTTCCTGAAATGGGTGTCGATGGATGGGGTGTTTTTGTTCGGCCTGCAGGCCTTGCGCATCCCATGGCTGGAGTGGGCATTCCCGACCACACTGGCTCTGTTCTTGTTGCACGTGGTCGGCAATGTGTTCCTCATGTTTCAAATTCCAGTAAGTTTCCCTGCCCTTCAATTAAACATGATGTTTCTTTTGCTAAGGTCGTTAGATCCCCTTGGGCGCGTGGCTTGCAGGGATGGTCAAGGTTGCTTATGATCGGGAGCTGTCTATCTCAGAACGCAAGGTCAAGCCGGGAGACATCATTCATAATGCCTCATTGATTTTGGGAAAGCAAATTGTGCATATTCTTCCGGAAGGGTACGTTTCATACTTCACTCAGGACACACGAGATTGATGCTGTACTAAGTTTAAAATTATAGTTCTGCCGTTCTCAACCCGGAGCGAGAGGCGCTTTGTGTTGATTCTCAGAGAAACACTGTGACCCTTCCCATTCGCGTGAACCAGACAGACCCTATTTTAATTGAAGTGTTGCGCCTCGACCTTAACACGGGCGAAAACGAAACTTTGACCATTCCGTTCAAACAATTGAAGCAGCTCAAGAAGCAAGCGGAAAAGAGGCATGCAACCCTTGATCCTGTCCCTTACCGGGATCTTCACATCCCTGTCAGGAAAACGGGTATTTATCGTCTTCAACGGGTGGTTGATGAATCTCAGCTCGATGTGCGCACTCGTACATCTGATGCCCTAGTTGTGGCATGCCCACGAGCGCTGATCAAAAACTCGCATACAAATAAATGCAAAGGAGAACTGTCTAACTTGGTGCTTGAAGTCGAAGGCACGCCCCCATTGAAGATCAAGTATAGTCGCCAGGTAAACCACCATGATCGTGGCTTTTCATTCCAAAATATCCAGCCGGATAACCTGCGTTCACCTCTCCTTAGCCAAAAGCCAGGAGGTGCTCTCTTCAGCATCAACCAACCCGATATCTCATGGGCACAGAGCCAAAAAATTGATGTCCCGTTGAACGAATCTCTGAACGTTGGTGGAGAATGGCTTTACGCCATTGAAGAGGTTCACGATGCTTGTGGGAACATTGCCAACTATTCAACCATTTTGGAGGATGCAGAGCGGCCATCGGCCAAGTCGTTATCCCAGTGGCACCAGTTCTCGGTTCATGAAAGCCCGCGCATCTCCTTGTCGGGATGCAATGACCAACGCCCGCTGGAAGTTGCCCGCGGCGACAGTGTTGATCTTCCCATCAACTTCCAGGCCGTCGGAACTGGGTACGACGGCGACGGCCCCTTCTCAGTGGTTTACACGTATAATGATGGCTCGGATGCTCAGAAGAGCGCGGATTCCAAAGAGACCACCCTCGTCCTGAGATCGGTGGATCAGAAATCGCCCATCAAAGAACCGGGCTGGTACTCTTTGACATCCGTTTCTAGTCAATTTTGCCCGGGTGACATCTTGGAACCCGCTTCTTGCTACCTGCACAACCCACCCGAGCCTGAACTGTCTGTCAGGGCAGAGAAGATCTTTGATCGGTGTGCCAATAATGCAGTTGGTTTGCTTGTTGATTTAGATCTGACAGGGTCTCCACCATTCCGTCTCCGGTATAGCATTGAGAACTCCAAGGGGGCCATCACGAAGACCCAGAAGATAGACGGTCCACGAGCACAGCTGGATTTCACACCTTCGGAAGCTGGCTTCTACCGCTACCGTTTCCTTGATATCGAGGATGTTGTGTACTCGCCAAGATCCCTGAAGGACAAGGTGCCTCCACTGGAACAGGATGTCAAGCCACCAGCTTCCGCTCACTTCGTTGGTCCAAGGGAGGTGCGCAAAGCTTGTTTTGGAGAGTCTGTCTCGGTGGACTTGGCTTTCCTGGGAGAGGCTCCGTGGACCCTGCAATACGAACTACTTCACAAAGGCAAGCGAACCAAGCATGTGCTTCAATCGGACACCGAAATGGCGACCATTACTACAGATAAATTGGTGAGCGGAGGCGAGTACACCATCGCGCTTACCAGTGTCAAAGACAAGTCGAATTGCAAACGGACACTCAAAGAAACGGTGAGATTTGATGCGCGGTCCAAGCCACCTCATGCTTCTTTTGGCCAGATCGACAAAAAGCGAAGTCTATCTGCCATGCAAGGCTCGAAGATCGAGATTCCGTTGAGGCTGAGTGGTGAGCGGCCATGGACAGTGAAACACAAAAACGTGGATATCAACCAGTCACCTCTTCAGAAGACCTTCTGGGACGAGAACAGCATTCTGATCGTGGATCAAGAAGGCCTCTATGAGCTTCTCGAGGTATATGACAGCTCATGTCCAGGATCTGTGGACCAAGCTGCGAAGGAATTTGAGGTTTCTTGGATCCCTCGACCCCAAGTCACCGCCGTGGATGGTTCACCTGTCGGAACAACGGGCAATTATGTGAAGCCAGAAGTCTGCCAGGGTGATGACGACAGTCTTGAACTCCGTCTGTCTGGCAATCCTCCTTTCGCTCTTCAGTATGAGCAACGGCGGAAGACAGACCGTGGCACCTCCTCGGTACGCACCAAAAATTTGCGAACTGCACTTAACGTGTTGACAACCGAAATGGACACATCTGACCCCGGTCAATACACCTACAAATTCACCGATGTCGGCGATAATCTCTACGACCATAACCCGAAGAGCAGTGCATTGGTTGTGACGCAAAAGGTTAACTCGCTTCCAACCGCCCGGTTTGATTCTCCTGGTCATATCTACGGTTTCTGCAAAGAGGATGCAAGTGGCGAGGAGACCATCCCAATTACTTTGGAAGGTGTCCCCCCTTCTCGCTGGAGATCACAATCAAGCACCACTCGAATGCCAAACCAGAGATCGTTTCCATTCCGAAAATCAATTCGAATCACCATAACCTGCCTATTCCTCGTCGCCATCTGGACCTTGGCCAACACGTAGTCAGCATTCACAAGGTGCGTGACTCCCGTGGCTGTCAGAGAACCACCGAATACGATTCGTCGTCCGTCCGGGTGTCTGTTTCCGATGTTCCCACCATCATTCCTCTTGAATCCAAGGTTGACTATTGCGTTGGTGAACGGTTGTCATTCTCTCTTTCGGGGCATGCACCGTTTGAAGTTTTCTATACTTTCGATGGAGCTCAACGAAAGGCTACGTCCCAGAACACGAACTTCCGCCGCATTGCCGAACGTCCAGGCGAGTTCACCATCACCGCTGTCGGTGATGGGGCTAGTGGGAAGTGCAAGGCACATAAGGATATCACCAAGGTCATCCATGAGATGCCCAGTGTGCGGATTAGCAATGGCCAAATTTCTGTGGTCGACATCCACGAAGGTGGGGAAGCTGAACTGCACTTCGATTTCTGGGGCACGCCGCCATTCGAATTCACGTAAGCTACGAGTCCTGGTTCTGATTTTATTCTCATGATCGATACTGATTACGTTTTTCCGCCCACAGTTACATCCGAAGCTCTAATGCCCGCAAGGGTAAGAAGTCTGAGGTCCTCGACATCAAGCATGACATCTCCTACGAGCATCGCAAGACCGTCAGAACCTCTGACGAAGGCACCTACGAGGTTGTGGCGATCAAGGATAAGTTCTGTTCTTTCTCCTCGCAGGTGCCGACGGGCAAGTCGGGTCGGGGTTCATGATTGTACAATGATATTTTATGTGGTTATCTTTTGGTATCTGATGGTCATGCTGGGTTGTTTGTTTTTGGAATAGTTTTGCATTGCAGCGGCGCAAGCAGGTAATGTACATTCGCCAGTATGATAAAAATCTAATTTTCCGGTATAATGCCTCTCTTCTGGGCTTCAAGCCCTATGCTTTCAAATCGCCTGCGTCAACGGTATCAATAAGACCTTCCCCCAGCCGGATAATCTCATTTAAGATGGCCTGCTGGTTGATTGTGACGCGGTCGGCACCCTCCTTGGAGCCAGCTGGGGCTGTCGAGTAGGCCGTCTTCAAGCTCCAATTCCGTGGCTTCAGTGTTTGCGGATTCCATAGACCGGCAATGACGCCACACCGCTCATCTCCATGGAAGAGAAGGACGCTTTGGCCGTAGCATGCCTGAACATCATGCACAAATGACTTCACAATCGCCAGCGCGCCGGGCTGATTGGAGGCCCCTTCAACCAAATTCTTATATTTGGAAACTGAGGCGGACCGATCGCCTGAGAATTTCGGACGCAGATTTATAACAAAGTCGTAAGGGGCAAGTGACGTCTGGAAGAGGTCTGATACTTCGAGGTCGTGGCTCTCCTTTCGGAGTAAGCTGACTGCTGCCTTCGCTAGGGCCGAGATCCGGCCAGCAACGACCTTCGAGGGCATTTCATACTGGGTCCAGGTCACGCCGTCGGTATCAATGTCAGATGCGACAAACAGGGCAACAGTATTCATTGCAGGGTCAATGTTGCGCCAGGCATTGAATCGGGTGCGAATGGTCTCGGTAATCTCCGGGGTCAGATCTCCACTCAGGTCAACGATGAACGGCTCTTGTTGCCAATCCCAGCGAGAGAGGAAGTGGAGAGTGCGCAAGAACCCAGTCATGACACTCGAAGGACAGTCCCAAGGATAAGGTTGCGTAAAAGCCCGAACCGTCAGTAGCTCAATCAACTCATCGCAGACCTGGGCCGAGAAGAGATGAGAATTGAACCAATGTTTGACCAAGCGGACTGTAGGTGACAGCAAGGGAAGGCGAGTACAGAGACTTCGCAATGCTTGGGTCAGACGTGGAGCTTGTAGAAACAGCCGCTTGTATGTGAAAAGAGCGTACGCAATTTCTTCCCGCTCTCGGGGGTTGACGCTTTTGTCTTTTAATTGACGTTCAAGAAGTGTTTGCTCGCGATCATGGTGGATTCTGAGGCGGAAAAGGAAACCGGAAGTATGGGAAATGTCCAGGTACACATTGTTCAGTACCTTGCTGGATTCGTTTTCCAGGCCAACCCGGCAGGATGAAGCGGCACCCGATGACTCTAAAGAGTCACCGATCTTCAACAAGAAGGCGGCTTTGGTCATCTGGATTGCTGCGAAGTCATCGGGCCATCGTGAAGAGCTTTCGAACTGAAGGACAATATCTGCCGATTCTTGAGCTCCACCTGGAGTCTGCACTCGAAGCGCAGTGTACCGCAGCAATGGACTAGCCGGCGCTAGATGCCGAATGGTCAATGGGACTTCCTCCATGTTTCCAATTGATCTCTCAAGGTCACCGAAAGCTTCTTTGATGGATTGAAAAGGAGCGCTGGAATACGCCAAGATACCATCACCTTCGTCTAGGAGCAAATCGTCATATTCATCTCCAGTGAAAGAAAAGTCCTCCTCAGCGATCTGAAAGTGCCGCTGGAATACGTAAGTCAAGATCTGGAGCACAATGGAGTCCTCAGATGGCTGGTCAGACCAAACCAGACTCTCCAAGATACTACCATCCTTAAATCGCCGAAGCTCTGACTTATTACCCCAGAACTCCCGGAACGAGGCTGCCTCTTCTTTCTCCTCTGCGGCAGGGCCGTGATCAACCACCCGACCAACGTTATCTGCATCGAGTAGAAGTCCCACGGATAGGCTATGGCTCGCTTTCTTGGTCAGGGCCTTCGCTCGGGTGGACCAAGATTCGGCACTTTGGCTCGTAAGAGAGATAAGCTTAACACGGTCTCCAAGAGCCTTGGAGAGTGTGGTGTATAAATTGTTCTGCTCGCGAAGAGCACGGAGGGTATCGCCGTTGAATGCCTTGGGGAATGAGATGAGGCGATCGAACCGCAACGCCGGTTCGTCAACCTTAACGATGAAGACTCGGTCAAAGTTATCTTCGCGAGATTCATTAAGCATCTTGAGGGTGATTGATGCATCGTGTCGAAGCGCTGCGTAAGACCAAACAGTCATCTTGTACAGAATATTCAGCCCTCTCCGGCCATCATACAAGACAGGACCCCCATCAGGAACGGGAACGTTGCTTGCGAAAAGAAGCAAGGGAGTTGTCAAATCCCTTCCAGCCAGAAACTGCATGGTAGCTTTGAATATCTGATAGCTACTATACGACCGCAAAAGAATCGGTTGACCGCTTGGGCCGCCACCCTCAAATAAGAGGGAGACGAGTGCTGTCCATTCAAAGCCTCCAAATCCTCCGCTTTGAAAAGAGGTATGCAAGCCACGTTGCTGTAGCCAAGTGCGCCCCAAGACACAAGCATCGCGGAACGATTCGCACTTCTGAGCGGTTGAATGGAGGTATTTGTGGTAAAGGGAGACGGCGGCCTCGGAGCGCAGGCTGGCATTGTAATATGGAGTGGGTTCACCTGCTTCACCTGCTTCTGATTGGTCCTTTGAGCCTTGTCGGATGTTACTTCTTATCGGGAGTGTCCGGGTAATTGGGAATAGAGTTGGTTCAATGGCAGTCAGGATTCGAATAATCGGCGGCTGGGGAGTCGGGTCATTTTTTGAGGTTGGACGAGGCTCCAATAGAATCAGAGGACGAAGACTGTCACCGTCCTGAAATCCAAATTTGACATCCAGTCCCAAAGCATCCATTTGTTTCTGTATTCCAGCGGCGAGGCAAGCAATATAGTATGCTCTCTTATGGAAATAGCGATGGTTGACATAGTCCTTATCCTGAAAGATGGAGCTGGGCATCGTCACAGCCAAATCGACCGGTCGAGACTCTGTTGTCTTGGCTCCCGTTTTCAAAATGACACTACCCACCACATTGATATTTGCGGGCTTCGCGTACGACATGGTGTATTTGGCGTCCTTGGCCGGTCGGGGCTCAGGCCACGGAATCACGATCTCGGAGACTGTGCGCAGCTCCTTCTCGGCCTCGGCCACAGATTTCGATTCTTTGTCGGGTAGATTTTCGATTGTATCCTTCAACTTGTGCAGAGTATCCTGAAGCTTTGAAATTTGCTTTTCGTAATTCGGTCTCAGTCCGGTCAGCAACTCGTCCATCTGCAACTTGAAAAAGCTAGACTTGTAGAAGCCACTAGCCATGGCCAGCTCTGCAGATCCATCTTCATTCCCTCTGCGCCCTTGGTGACTCTTGGCCAAAGGGTCATCCTTGCGCGCAACGGATTGAGTTGTTTTGGGAGTCTCTTCTTTCGAGCTCGTTGGGGTCGTATTGGAGATTTGCGACTGAGCTGGAGAATTGGAATTTGTAGGGGAGGGGCTGAGCCTCCTCCTTTTCACTGTGTGGGCCGACATCATCAAAGAATGACTCGGCGGAAGTGGTCAAAGAGGTAGAATGGTGGAAGCTTTCAATAATCCCGAAATTTTTTTATGGGGCGATAACGGGGATAACATTTGCTGACTCAGAGCGCCCAATACGCCATCGCCGAAATCGCATACTTTTGGAAGAATGACTCCATCTTTTCTTCCTTCTATCTCTCTTTCCTCCTTTTCCTTCCTCGTTCATTACTGTTTCTCTTACTTACCATCACTGGTTTCCTTGTCTAGTGGTCATTGGCAATGCTTCAAGCAATAGGAGGTCCCGTACCTCCCAACACTGACCATGTATGTATTCCGCAAACCCCGCAATCTGCCCCTCCATGAGCGAGGAGTCTAAAAATATCATCATTGCTATTGAATAAGTAACTGACACTCTTGGAAGGCCGTCAGTGTATCTTTGCCAACATGGAAGGCCAATATCGGTTACGAGGAGGGAGAAGACTGGGTTATTAGCAAGATGCAATGCGGATATCCTCGTTTCTTCGTGCACCCTACCATTCAGAAGCTCGTGGGGGAGATAATTCAACGTGTAGGGGATCAGGAGACAGAAACAGCAACCCTCTTTGCATCTCTCAAGACCGCACAGCTTTGCCATTCGTTCATCTTATCCAAAGTTTCCGACGAGCAATCGCAAAAGGTCCGAATCGTGAACTTTGTCCCCTCGTCGCATACCGAAGCTGAATCGACCTCGATCACATCCTCCTTGGTGGGTGTCATATATCCGAAGGAATTTGCACCAATTGCAAAGCAGGTGTGGCAGCATTCTGGCAACGGAATCTCAAGTCGGCGGGGTGAGTTTTGTCTCCGTGCTTTACAGGATGGTTTCCTAGTGGAAGACAAAGGCTCTGCCACAGCCGCCGAGTCCCTTCCCCAGCGACCCTGTAAGGGTCCCCGAAGATACCAAGGGCGAGGTTCCTTGAGCGGAGTTGCCTGGGGCGCTTCAACACCCACTGCATCTTCGCCTGCCCCCGCGACTAATTGCGTGGAGGATGGCCGGGACAATGCTCAGTTCATCGAGGAACGCTTTGGTCGCAACCTCAGTGCGTTGTATGCCACACAGGCTAAAGTTGCTGTTCGAAAGCGCATTGCCGGTGTTTTGACTGCTGATGTTGAGCTACCCGAAGCCCTGGAAAAAGCTTCGTCAGGGGGTCGAGTCGATGATATCTCAGAGGAGGATGTTCTGCTCTACCCCTCTGGCATGAGCGCTATCTTCAACGCTCATCAGACCCTGATGAGTGCGCGAGGCGCCATGAAAAGTATCTGTTTCGGATTTCCATACACCGATACTCTAAAGATTCTCCAGAAGTGGGGGCCAGGCTGTTTGTTTTACGGCCATGGCTCATCTGAGGATTTGGATGACCTCGAAAACCGGTTAAAGAATGGTGAACGATTCCTTGGGCTCTTCACTGAGGCCCCGGGCAATCCTCTACTCAAGACCCCAGATCTAGTGCGCATACGAGCCCTGGCCGACCAATACGGATTTGCGGTGGTGGTCGATGAGACTATCAGCAATTTCCTCAACATTAACGTTCTTCCGTACGCAGACATTGTCGCTAGCAGTTTGACGAAGATTTTCAGTGGCGATAGCAATGTGATGGGAGGAAGTGTAATTCTGAACCCTCATGGAAGCTATTACCAAAAGCTGAAGGAAATTTACGCTAGAGATTATGAGGATATCTATTGGGCAGAGGATGCTGTCTTCTTGGAGCGGAACAGTCGCGACTTTGTGACAAGAATCGACAAAATCAACTCCACTTCGGAGGAAATTACAGCCATGTTGAAAGCATCCCCTCTGGGTAAGAATATATCATTTGAGTTCAACCCCCACGGTGCATCATTCTGACCCCCATTTTCAGTCAAGGAAGTCTACTATCCTAAATACAGCCCCACCAGGCCCCTGTATGATAGTCTTCGCAACCCCAACGGTGGCTATGGTGGTTTGTTCTCTGTCACCTTCCACTCGAACGCGGAAGCCATTGCATTTTACGACACGTTGGAGGTTTTGAAGGGACCTAGTCTCGGTACTAACTTTACTATCAGGTAAGAGTAGTCTGTTCCGGTTAATCTTTGACAGTGAGAAGTGCTAATGAGTCGCCTGAGTATAGCTCTCCATACGTTCTCCTGGCTCACTACGGTGAACTAGACTGGGTATGTTATATCACCCAAAATCTCGGCTGATTTGAGCTAACCCGTAGTGTCTCCAGGCGAGGTCTTTCAATGTCGATCCCGACCTCGTCCGAATCAGTGTTGGACTAGAGGACTTGGCCGACCTACGCGCCAGGTTCCAGCGGGCTCTCGAGGCAGTAGAGAAGGTGAAAAACCAGGGTGTATAAAGTGCTCGGTGATTCGACCATTGACAACATTGAATGGTTAAGCAAAAATCTTTCAGCTGTGGTTGAAGTTTGAAAACGAGAGGAACAAAGCATAAATGTAGTGTCACATCTTACATTCCCGGCCATATACCTTCGAAATCAACCCAAAAACACCCGTGGACCAGAGCTTCATTAGATAGGCCTTTCTATAATAATCAAATGCTTTGCCTAGCCAACCCTACAGGACAATGAAGACGATTTTCGGGATTATAGAACGTACGATGAAAAGTAGATAAGATGAGTGGCCTGGAGTCGCAAATGAAGGAAGAAATACAAGGGTTGTCAAAGTCAAACACTACACCCGTGGACAGCGCATATTCGGGGTATATACAATGGTTTCAAAAAAGCGATCAAATGTTAGAACAATGCGTCATCAAGGATATCCAGCTCCATTGACATGTGTGACGAAATAAAGCACCATCACCGGTCTCACTTAGATCTGATATCAGAAACGAAATCCCCGGAACAGGTCCGTTCTTGGCCAAAGACATAGGTGCTTCCAAGGTTGATCGGGATGATGTTGGGCCTTCAAAGGGAAAAGTAAATGAGGAAGACGGGAGCAGAGAGAAAAAAGACCGTCCCGGCACATGCAAACGCCGATCAAGATAGGAATTATCGCAAACTGAGAGAAGGAGGCTTCGGGTCACGCGAAGCTAGAACGACTGATCTAGGGGCTCGTCATTTCCAAAAGAACTGGTTGTCTGGTTGGTTGCGCCCAGATCGCCACTTGCCGTTCTTCTTAATGCTTGAAGCATGGTTTCCACATTCAGGTCTCCACCGGAACCGGAAGAAACGGGACTCTGGGCCATGGCGAATGGGCTTCCTGGAGCTCGAGGTCCTTGACTAGGTGACATCTCCAATCCTTTGAAAGATGCGGCAATACTAGTAGGAGGAGAAGTCCCGAGCCCATGTGAGGAGGTGGGGGAGCGGAGTGGAGATGGAGAACGGTTCTGCAACCCAGCTGCAAAGGAACTCCCAGTGACGGCGGTACTCTGGGAGAGCTCTCGGCCACACATAGATTCACCCATCTCCGCATGTTCGGCATTAACTACATCCGCGAAGGAGATAAAGCTTAAACGTCGTACATCATTGGTTTCCAGGACACCGTAGACCGATGAAACCTCGTCAGCATCGGTGGAGTGTATTCCAATATGATCAACGATACCAGATGATGCCAGAGACTGTTCCGCGGTGGATGGAGCAGTAGCCCCCGCCGCAGGATGATGGAGACTATGAGTGACGATTTCAACAGAGTCCGGATCCAGCTGTTCATCCGTGATGGCGGCTGATGAAGCTTCGAGTACCGGTGGAATGTAGTTCTCCGTACGAATGTGCGAGGGGATCGACGGTGAGGCCTGCGATGGTATTATATCCTCCTGCACGTCCCGTTCGAATATCTGAGAGGCAGGAGAATGAAGACGGTTATGTAATGGGGAGGTTGCTCCGGGAGACGAAGGATGCTTGTACGAAGAGTGCCTCGATCGGTCTGAGACATTTGGCGTTCGCAATGCTTCAGAGGAGCCAATGGGTGATACGGGTGACACAGGACCACTGCTTGGAAATCCCAATCCTGTAGACAGGTCTTCTGGAGGTTGATCCTTGCCGACTTCGCGCCGTTGGCTCCAAGTCAAATGTGGTGGTCTGGGGCGTACGGTCGACTCGGCCTTTTCGAGTATGGGAGAGCTCTTGTTACCAGGGCTTGGCGACTCATGACCTGGCTGCAAAGGCACCGACCGAGGCGGATATGACTGAGAATCCAGTGCACAAGATAATGGGGCCTGACGATCCGACATGATGGAAAAAGGCAACGGCAGAACTGCTAAAGCGGAATGAAGCCGTGGAGAACAAACCGCGCAAAAGCTTCTAGAACTTGCCGGCCATGAGCAGGAACCGTCTGCAGACGCTTTAAAGGCTCTCAGGGGATATCAACATGATACACATGCAGGGTGGGATGGGAGAGGAATCTGAGAGAAGTTAAAGAAAGGGGGGGGGGGCTTGTGGTTTATCATCTCACTTTTTGCCCAGGAGATGATGACATCCTGTGCCAGGTGATCATCGGGTTGTTATGACGGGGTATAAGTAACTGGTACAATAATGTTGGTGCAAGTCTACAGCTTACCAGATGTATCCGATACATCGACCAGGCGCCACTCATACTAGTTCTCTGTAATTTGAAATGAAACTTCCTATTATATCGATAGACCATTGTATCCAAATTTCCAAATTGAATGTCCCCTCTGAGAGAGGTATTGTAACCATGTGTAATAGTAATACATGGAAATTGGTTTCCTGCCAAGCCTAGCTCCAATAATACGAGTCACGAGACCTCCGAAAAAAGTTTCGGGAATCGAAACACGCCCCCAGTCGCCAGCTCCATGCGACTCTCAAGTTATCCAATCCCTACTTCATTGCCATCTACCCCGTCATAACGCCTCCAATCAATCTTGTCTTTACATTCAAGGTTCTTCGGTGCGTTTTAAGATGGCAGCTTCCATCGTGGCCCCGAAGCGGCCGTTTGTCACCCTGCCATTCCTGTTGCCTTCGTGGACAGATGCCCTCGCCTTAGGGTCCCGGCGCCATCAATCTTCCTACCGCCGCACCAAGCAACGCCTTCGTGTCAAACCAGATGCTTCATTTGGTTCTTCACAACAAGGCCGTGATCACATTATCTACAATCCACCTTCAAGCGCTCCCTCGGTCTATCATACCCCCAACAAATTCTTACCTCCCAATGATGCCCGAAGAGCGATGCGCCCCGAAACTCCTGCAAGCTTTGACGCCAGCGATCTTCCCAATGTACACAAAATCAATGACGAGGCCAAATACCACCTGACGCCCTCCGACATCGAAGAAATCCGCAAACTCCGATTGAGCGACCCGATGACATGGAGCCGACACAAGTTGGCCAAACGCTTTGCGTGCTCACCGCTCTTCATTGCTATTGTCTGTGAAGCCAGCCCTGAGAAGAAGCAGATCCAGAAGCAAGTACTAGAAGCGGTGCAATCACGATGGGGAACGAAGCGTCGGATGGCCAGGGAGGATCGACAGCTTCGCCGGGAGGCCTGGAACCGTGACGAATGATTTGTCTCAGTTTCCACTGCTGACCTTCTTGATATGGTCTTATTTCATATTATTTTGGCCTAGTCCTGGTAGTTTCCTGGTTACAATCGGGTCAAGAAGGTGGTGGTGAAGTGTCTGTATGTGGTCGCTAACCATGCGGCCTCCGTGTAAAAACGCCTATGTATTCTACACTAGCATTTGTTTTCATATATTTCCATATCCTACCAATCAAGAATTTGTATCACCTTTGCAGAGTGTCAGACTGGCTCTTAGGAGAGCCTTAGTGGGTCACCTGTCAAAATTATCTACACGGCCAAGGTAAATTATTGTTTACCATACGGAGGATATGATATCCATGAATAACAGGTGATCCATTAGAAAAACTACTCTTGAATTGATCTTGTTCATATACTTATTACCTAGGTAGATGAGTACGTAACCCATCAAGCGCACGGTCGCCAGATAAGCCCTTGAATCCACGGGACCATAATTAATCACCACAACTGTGATAGGCGGCTACAGCCGGCAGGCAAAAACCCCAAGGTGCTGCAGGGCTAATTACGTGATAAGAGAGCGCCTTCTTCTCTGCAATGCCCCTCTTTCCCCTCCGTCGAATCCCTTCGCTTGTCAAACCTGGGCAATTTATATCCCGGTTTTCTCATACTCCTCCTTTTCGTCGCTTCTACTACGGGCATATCAGTGACTCCAAAATGGCACCACAGCTGGAGCCCTTCTTCAAGCAGTATGTTGTTTCTCAAATGTCTCTGCCAGCCAAAAGGGACAACAAATTTTTGACATGTGCCTTCTCAACAGGGTCGACAACTCGGCAGAGAGCTTCATTGATCGTGCGTAGCTGGTTATCCACAAGCTTCGTGGCTGGGGAGGGGATTTTTTTCCTCCCTGATCACAATTTCTAGCATTGAGAAATTATATCGCTAACGAACCAGTGCAGGTCTGCGCAAGGCCGTCGCAATCCCCTCAATCTCGGCTCAAGATGAGAATCGAGAGGATGTGTTCCGGGTGAGTGAATCCTTCTAATTACCTTCCCTTGGCAATTTGAACTGATGGGATTGGTATCTTAGATGGCTCAGTTCTTGGCCACTGAGCTAGAAGCCTTGGGTGCCGAGGTGCACCAACGGCCGCTGGGTAAGCAGCCTGGCAAGGAACATCTCGATCTCCCCCCTGTCGTCATTGCGCGGTATGGCAACGACAAGAAGAAGCGCACCATTCTGGTCTACGGTCACTACGATGTGCAGCCGGCGCTGAAGGAAGATGGTTGGGCCACCGAGCCCTTCGAATTGACCATCGATGACAAGGATCGGATGTACGGACGTGGTTCCACAGATGACAAGGGACCTGTGCTCGGCTGGCTGAACGTGATCGACGCTCACCGGAAAGCTGGTGTGGAGCTGCCTGTCAACCTGCTCTGCTGCTTCGAAGGTATGGAAGAGTACGGCTCTGAAGGCTTGGATGATTTCATTCAAGCAGAGGCCAAGCAGTTCTTCAAGGATACCGACGCGGTCTGCATTTCCGATAACTACTGGCTGGGTACTGAGAAGCCCTGTCTGACATACGGCCTGCGTGGATGCAACTACTACTCCATCAGCATCTCGGGTCCCGCTCAAGATCTTCACAGTGGTGTCTTTGGTGGCTCTGCTCACGAGCCCATGACCGACTTGGTGAACGTTTTGTCTAAGTTGGTGGATGCCCAAGGCAACATCCTCATTCCCGGACTCATGGATTTGGTGGCACCCGTGACTGAGGAGGAGAAGTCTCTGTACGGGGACATCAGCTACACCATGGACAACCTCCACGAATCACTGGGAAGTGAGACAGGCATTCACCCGACAAAGGAGCGGACACTGATGGCCCGTTGGAGATTCCCTTCGCTGTCTATCCACGGTGTCGAGGGCGCTTATTCCGCTCCGGGAGCGAAGACCGTCATCCCTGCTAAGGTGATTGGAAAATTCTCCATCCGAACTGTACCCAACATGGAGAGTGCAGACGTCAATAAGCTGGTCTTTGACCACATTAAAGCGGAATTTGCCAAGCTCAACAGCAAGAACAAGATGGATGTGTGGCTGCAGCACGATGGCAAGTGGTGGGTTGCAAGCCCGAAGCATTGGAACTTCAGCGCCGCCAGCAAGGCCGTGGAGCAAGTCTTCGGAGTTGCCCCGGACATGACTCGTGAAGGTGGAAGGTACGTCAAACTCAATTTTTCAAATAAAAGGTACATGTGAAACTGATTTTCCATCTCACTCGCCAGCATTCCGGTAACCTTGACCTTTGAGCAAGCCACAGGAAAGAATGTGCTGCTCCTGCCCATGGGAAGCTCGACTGACGCCGCCCACTCGGTTAATGAGAAGCTGGACCGCCGTAATTATATCGAGGGAACCAAGTTGTTGGGAGCTTACCTGCACTACGTGGCGGAGGAGCCTGTCTCAGCATAAATGAATTCGATAGCAAGTAAAGAATTGGCAATCCCAAATGATTTACGCCACGCAGCTAAAAATCTCTTATGAGGAATTACTGGATCCCTAACCCATTTCCGTAAATGCATGTTTTGAAGCCATCTTACATAGCTAAAAGTGCTTGAGCAGCACTTTGATCGCGTGAAGCGCTGACTCAGCCGGGGGGCGCGAAAGAGCGCGTGACGCGCATTTCTTTGATTCAGTTATTTCTTTGACCAGCCAACGACTGTTGCGAGATATTTCGCTGCTTCTATGACATGTACAACATTCTTCTTTTCTAACCACCCCTCCCTTGGCCCTTACAATGTCCGCTGTGAAACGTACACAGGAGTCTTTAGACTCGGACGAAGAACAAAGTGACAGCGGATTGGAAAGTGCAGGCTCATCTCCCCACCCTCAATCAGTAAGCGTTTTGCGGACAATCTCGATGAGGTTGGCTTAAACTGACAGGCAATAGAGAAAACGGCCTCGCAGATCCAACACGCCATCTGAACGAAATGACGAGACCAGCGATTCGGAAGCCAGCCCCCGCTCCTCCCCTCTCCCCGAAAATGTCATGATGGATGATGAAGAATTAGAGCTTCATCAGACTCAGATCATCCAAGAGAAATACGCTCAAATCCACACTGAGGTCAACACAGCTTCCGACCACGGAATTCTCGAGAGTGTCGACTGCTACAATTTCATGTGCCATGAGCACTTTTCGGTGACCTTGGGACCCCTCATAAATTTCATTTGCGGGAAGAATGGCAGCGGTAAGAGTGCGATCCTCACGGCATTGACGCTCTGCTTGGGTGGCAAAGCGTCTGCAACCAACCGCGGACAGAGCCTCAAGAATTTCATCAAGGAAGGCAAAGAGAATTCCAATATTGTCGTGCGAATAAAGAATCAGGGCGAGGGCGCATACCGGCCAGAAGTCTTTGGAAAATCGATCATCGTCGAGCGCCATTTCAACCGAAGCGGATCCAGTGGGTTCAAAATCAAGGCTGAAAAGGGTAATCTCATTTCGACCAAAAAGGCCGAGCTGGATGCAATCACCGACTACTTTTCCCTTCAAATTGACAATCCCATGAATGTGCTATCTCAAGATTCTGCCCGTCAATTCCTGAGTACCTCCAGTCCAGCGGAGAAATACAAATTCTTCGTTAAAGGTGTGCAGCTGGAGCAGTTGGATCAGGATTACCGGTTGATCGAGGAGTCTGTCGATCAGATGGAAGAGAAGATGCGAAATACACGCGACGACATCACGCAATTAAAGAGCCAAAGGGATATTGCAAAGAAAAGATTGGAATATGCCGATAGAGGCGACGCCCTACGGGACCGCATCAGAAACCTACGCAATCAGATGGCGTGGGCCCAGGTCGAGGAACAAGAACGGGTGAGTTTGTTATCATTTTGCCACTAACCTTTGCCTTTGTCTAACAAGCAGCAGATCCGTGATTCTCTAGAACGAGAGCTCGCCAAAGCGGACGAGCTCATTGTCAGGGAAGATGCCGCTCTTGGGGGCTTTGATGCCAGATTCCAAGCCGTTGAGACAGAAGCTGAAACGGCAAAAGAGCATGCAGACGAAGCCGGCAGAGTACTTGCGGAAGCACGAGGTAAATTAGCAATCATTGAGGAAAGGCAGAGGGAAGAACGCAACCAGCGAACGGAACTTCAGGTATATATTTGCCACGGCTTCCTCCAAAACATGAATGCGACTGTGGCCTTTCTGACTTCTAATAGGTCCAACAACGCCAGATCAGGGAGTATATCAAGGAAGTGGAAGGTAGAATCGCCGAGGGAGAGCGGAACATCACTGCCGAAACCGAGCGCTTAGCTGAGGTGAGCAACGGAGGATATGCTCGCAAGCAGGAAGAGTGTCAACGGGCTGTGCGTCGTGCGACTACCGCTCGCCAGGAGTATGATACTCATCGCGAGAGTGAAACTGGATTGCGAGAAGAACTTCAGCGGGCTAGTAAGAAAGCGGAACTGGCGAAGGAGGCCTGTAATGCCAAAGAAAGAGATTACACTGAAGCTGAAGAACGCTTGCGGAGTCTCCGCAAACAAAATGGTCAAAGACGGACTGGATTTCATGAAAAAATGCCGACTCTTAAACGAGCAATCCTTCAAGAGAACTCATGGACCACGCCTCCCATTGGTCCTATTGGTGATCATATCACCTTGCTCAAGGCCAAGTGGTCATCCATCCTTGAGAATTCCTTCGGAGGTACCCTTGGCAGTTTCATTGTGGCAACGAAGCGTGATCAGAATACACTTTCGAATATCATGCGTCAAGTAGGTTGGTGAGTTTTAACAGTATTCTCGGCGTCAGATTTTTTTTTTTTTTTTTTTTTTTTTTTTTTTTGACAATCGTTAATATAGCACATGTCCAATTTTGATTGGAACTGGTGGTGACATTGATACATCTGCAACCGAGCCTGACCCCCGATACGACACGGCTTTGAGAGTACTAGAGGTAGGATTTGGCTTGAAGAATGCTCTGTTACGATTCACTGAAATCTTCCACTGAAATCTTCGCATAGATTGACCACCCGATGGTCCGCCGACAGTTGATCATCAACCATTCAGTAGAGCAAATGTTACTAATCGAAAATCTGGAAGAGGCATCCGCAGTGCTTTTCGACGGCGAACGGCCACTTAATGTGAAACGATGCTATTGCATCGATGCAAGAGATAGGCGCAAAGGGCACCATATCTCATACAATCGTTCGGGGGATCCTAACCAGGCGCCAGTTGGGGTCTACCCTGGTAACCCACGCATGAAATCCGACGCGGCCTCGCAAATCAGGTAAAACCCTCCCCCTTCCCCTACTTAGGCCTACCCAATGTCGAATTCGCTAATCTTGCTTCTCAGTGCCCAGGAAGAAGTGGTCCAAGATCTGAAGCATCAGTTGAATGATCTGAAGCGAGAATATCAAACTGCTCTTTCCTTTGTCCAGACATGCGAGCGAGCACTTACTAGACACGAACGAACGGAACATGAATTGAAAGTGGCCATGCAACGGATGGAGGATGAGTCTGAAGCTCTCCGGGATGCCCTTGATAAAGAGAACGCGGAGGAGGATGGGCGCATAGATTCCCTTCAGGTTGCTCTGCAGGAAGCTAAAACGGACTTAGCAGTCCAAGAAGGATCTTTCAAAGATGCTCAGGAAGCCATGAAAAATCAGATGCAGATCATGAGGGAGACTATGCGAGAAATGGGGAGACAGACGACCGAAGTGGAAGTTCTCACAGAAAACGCCCGTGTTGCAGAAAGTGAGCGATCGGTCGTGAGCAACAAGCGGCAAGAGATTCTCAGTGAAAAAAATGCTGCCATCGCTCGAATTCAAAAGCAGAAAGAGGACAGAGACAAAATCCACGCGAAGCGGGAGGAGCTTGTGGAGCGAGTACTCTCCTACATTGAGAAGGCCAGCATGGTTTCTGCGAGAGTTTCGGTTGGCGAAGGTGATACCGCCGAAGGCCTCGATTATAAGCTTCACAAGTTGCAGAATGACCTGAAGCACCACAATCAACAGTACGTCTTTCCTATCTGGTCCTTTCCGTTTGCTAATTATTGTCAGTTTGGGTGCCTCGCGAGATGAAGTCGCCGCGGAAGCTAGAAGGACGGAAGCTACTTATCTACAAGCAATAAAACAAAATGAGGAGCTTACAGCGATAGCTCAGGTACGAGCCGATATCCTGCAATCTTCAAAATAATTCATATCGCTGACTAGTTTATAGACATTGAAGAACACTCTTCATGATCGTAAAAAGCGATGGGAGATATTCCGATCCCATATTTCCTCTCGAGCAAAGGCTCAATTTACCTATCTCTTGAGCGAGAGAAGCTTCCGGGGTCGGCTACTTACTGACCATAACAAGAAGTTGTTGGACCTTCAAGTGCGTAACTTATGGTGATTAACATGACGTCCACCCAGTTAACGCTCTTTTCTCCAGGTTGAACCCGATATCACCAAAGATGATAGCACTGGCCGCGGTGCCAAAACCCTCTCTGGTGGTGAGAAATCTTTCTCACAGGTCTGTCTACTGCTGGCCCTCTGGGAAGCTATGGGTTCCCCCATCCGGTGTCTGGATGAATTGTTTGTCACCCTCTCTGCTTTGATGATATAATTATTGACTTACCGACTTCACAGCGATGTGTACATGGACCATATTAACCGTAAAATGGCCATAGACATGCTTGTATGTTCCATCCGTTTCCTGTTTTTGCCAACTTCGATGCTGAGTCTAATACTAATTTCCCGACCAGATGATGGCTGCTCGACGTTCTATTGGTCGACAGTTCATCATGATCACCCCTGGAAGCAAGGCCGATATTACCATCGCCCCCGATGTCCGGGTAGTAGAGCTCGCTGAGCCGGAACGTGGTCAAACCACCCTACCCTTCCAAGGGAGATGATTATGACGCTATTTTATTGTTGATGGATTCTTTGGACCCCCTAATACCCCAAATCTTGCTTGTATCGTTCTGCTTTGCTTCATATTGTAGCCGTCTTCTAGGTAGTATTGGTAGAGGAAAGGAGAGGCAAAAAACCATGGATTCATAGTTCATTGTTTGCTTTCCCGGTTATAGATGATAGTCACGTGGCTTGGCGGGACCAAGGTCGTTGTCTTTCCCACTTAACTTCAACTTCTTCGGTCTCCAATCCCTTTCACTTGCTGCACTCTTCATCCCATACAGTCCTCCCGTACCCTCTGCCCGAAAGTTTCATATTTGATCTCATCCCTCATCATCACCCATTGGGCATACGATCTGACTTTTTTTCAACTCAAAATCTCCCTCTGATCAATCGCGGGACCCCAATCCCCCACAACTCTAACTCACCTCTACCAATTTTCCAGTCGGGTTATCTAGAAAATCCCAGACATAGAAATCTTGGTCGCTCTATAAGATCTTTGATTTTGTTGATCAAGCCTCACACTTCAACCCACCGATAACGTGAAGCGACAAGATTCCAACCACGCCAATCCCCAGAGCTTCTGGCGCATCACGAAAAAAATTACCGAAACTTACTTCCACCTGTGTCCTGCCTGCCATCTGTTGGCTTACTCTCTGATCTTTCGACGACCGATTCGTCATTTACTCTTCCCCCCTCGTCCCTTTTGATACCCATTTATCATAATGGCTGACGCCCTCGCCTCGCAACTTCACAATACCAAGCTTAGGTAAACGAAAAGCTCTTGCGAATTCGTCTTCTGTTCTTACTCGTGCTTTTCTAACTTTACCACCAGTGATGGAAACACAGAAGCAAAACTTCAAGATACACTGAAACTTCCTCCTAAGGATGCTCGGCCACAGACAGAGGTTCATTCATTCTTGCTCCCCTCAAGATCGAGAGCAGCACTAACTTGCCCTTCAGGATGTCACTGCCACCAAGGGCCTCGAGTTCGAGGACTTTTACATTAAGCGGGAGCTGATGATGGGCATCTTTGAAGCTGGTTTTGAAAAGCCTTCTCCCATTCAAGAAGAAACTATTCCGGTTGCTCTCACTGGCCGAGACATTTTGGCCCGAGCAAAAAACGGCACCGGAAAAACAGCTGCCTTCGTTATCCCCACTCTTGAACGCATCAACCCAAAGAGCACCAAAACCCAAGCCTTGATCCTAGTCCCCACACGAGAGCTGGCGCTTCAAACCTCGCAGGTTTGTAAGACATTGGGGAAACACCTGGGGATTAATGTCATGGTCACTACTGGTGGAACGGGCCTGATGGATGATATCATCCGGCTCAATGACGCCGTTCACATCCTGGTTGGTACGCCTGGCAGAGTCCTGGACCTGGCCAGCAAGGGCGTGGCCGATTTGTCCGAATGTCCTACTTTCGTGATGGATGAAGCAGATAAACTTCTCTCGCCTGAATTCACGCCGGTCATTGAGCAGCTGATGTCCTTCCATCCCAAAGACCGTCAAGTCATGCTCTTCAGTGCCACCTTCCCGCTTATCGTCAAGGCGTTCAAGGACAAGCATATGCGCAACCCTTACGAAATCAATCTTATGGATGAGCTCACCCTCCGCGGAATTACACAGTATTACGCTTTCGTCGAGGAAAAACAAAAGGTGCACTGTCTGAACACTCTATTTTCCAAACTCCAGATCAATCAGTCTATCATTTTCTGCAACTCGACCAACCGCGTGGAGCTCTTGGCCAAGAAGATTACCGAGCTGGGTTACTCTTGCTTTTATTCGCATGCTCGCATGCTTCAGCAGCATCGTAATCGAGTTTTTCATGATTTCCGCAATGGCGTGTGTCGAAACCTAGTCTGCTCGGATCTCCTGACTCGTGGTATTGATATCCAAGCCGTCAACGTTGTGATCAACTTTGACTTCCCGAAGAATGCGGAGACCTACCTGCACCGTATCGGTCGTTCAGGTCGCTTTGGTCACCTCGGTCTCGCAATCAATCTCATCAACTGGGAGGATCGTTTCAACCTGTACAAGATTGAGCAAGAACTAGGCACCGAGATCAAAGCTATCCCTCAAAACATTGACAAGAAGCTTTATGTTTATGATTCGCCGGAGAACATCCCTCGACCCATTTCGGGGCCTCCTCAACCCCAAATTGCTGGTTCGCATTCCGGCAATGGCGATCGCCAACCTCGTCGCCAGAACCATCATCACCACCCGAATGGTGGGCAGTACTACAATCGTGGTCGGGGCTCCTACCGTGGCGGTGGTCGTGGACAAGGTCCACGCCGTGGTCCCAACGATGCCAACAAGCCCGCTCTTGCCCCTGGACAAGTTGGGGCTAATCCACAAGCCCCTATCTCCTAAGACCCTATCATACTCCTCAACCTCGGGTCGCACTCATGATCTTTTATTCTTCTCTCTCCCTCATGAACAAGAGCGACCCCATGCAATGGCCGTGATGTCCATGAATGCACTGTTTCCTTTTGTGCCCGCCTTCGCTTCTTGATCCCTGTTCTTCTGCTCCCCTTTTCTCACGTCTCCGATGGATATCTGTTCTCGAGGCCACTTCGCCTGTCGCCGTTGCAGAATGCGTTTTCCTTCGTCACGACGAAACGGTACTGGTGCGACATCTGTATCATAATTCCCTTGTTCAGTTCTTATGCGTCTACCTGGTTTCATTGCCACGGGGTTGGATTGGGATTTGAGTTTGAGAGTGGTGCATTCTCCGGTCCCACTGATGTTCTGCACCCCTGGCATTCCACGAAGAAAGTGTACATACGCTCGACTACCATTTATTTTCAACGGGTCTTGCACGATCGGCGTTCTTCATGCTCTTTTGGTCGATTTGGCGTTCTGGAGTTGATGGAGGTCCGGTTGATATGGCTTTCCCCGGTCTGATTCTCTTTTTTACTACCCTCGTCCATCTTGCTTGTCGAAGAGCTACATGCCTACTCTACCACACGACATGCCAACACAACGTTGTGTCCCTCCTCTTCAACGCGCGGTTCCCCTCGTCTCCTCTCTGCCTGCCTGCATCCTCTCAACCCTGTGTCTTTCCACTTTCTCTCTCTCTCCCTCCCCCCTCCCCTTTCCCTCCCCTTCGTTCCTCGTTCCATCTTCCTTGACACATTGGCTTCGAAAACTACGGCTTTCATCCTTGACACCATTTCTGATCCATATACCATATGGACTTGGTTTCCCCCTCAGGTGTCAACCCAACGACCAAAAATCTAATCAACAGAAAAGAAAAAAAACAAAAAACAAAAAAACAAATCAAAACTCAAAAAGAATGGAGGAGTATTAGATGCAGGATACCGAGCATCTAGTGAATGATAAAGAGTCCCTCTGAACGTTTTGTCTCCTGTATGTTCCTAGTAGTCACAGTAGAGTTGATGACAGTAAATTGCGCGGAGTGGGGCTGCGGGAGACCGTATGGGGACTACGAAACCCCCGAGGTCCAACCTGTAACCCACTTCACCGTCGCAATGGCTACAACGAGCAAGGAAACAAAGGCCAAGGTCTGTGCAGTCCCAGTTCGTGACCAATCTTAATGCTAATGTATGACTTTCCAGCCTAGCGTCCTGCGCTCCATCATTGCGGGCTCTACGGCTGGAGCCGTGGAGATCGGTATGGGATCCCACCCGCATGTGTCATAAAACAAGAGCTAACTTTCCTGCAGCGATCACCTATCCAGCTGAGTGTAAGATTACAGCGCTTGCCTCTCTCTTTCTTCCAAGTATATTTGGCTAATTGATACTCAGTCGCAAAGACGCGTACGCAGCTCAATCGCCGACTCCCAGACGGTCAGAAATTGCCATGGCCACCCTTCGGCTCGCAGTGGTATGCGGGGTGCACGACTCTGATAATTGGTAACTCTCTGAAGGCCGGAATTCGTACGTCTTAGGAATCGTCGATCGCTCTCCCCTTCTGACCCTTGAGATGATCAGGATTCGTTGCATTTGACGCCATCAAGGCGGCCCTTCAGGATGAGAATGGCAAGATCTCGGGGCCGAGAACGGTGGTGGCTGGATTTGGCGCGGGCTTCACCGAGTCCCTTCTAGCGGTCACTCCATTTGAAAGCATCAAGACCCAGTTGTGAGCGCTCACCTCTTTTTCTCTGCGCGACCACATGTAGACCCAATGGCTTATATGCGTGATTCTTCAGGATTGACGACCGAAAAGCGGCAAAGCCACGCATGCGTGGGTTTCTCCACGGAAGCCGCATTATCTGGCAAGAAAGAGGGATCCGCGGCTTCTTCCAGGGCTTCGTGCCAACGACAGCCCGACAAGCAGCCAACTCGGCGACACGATTCACGGCCTATACCACTTTGAAGCAATTCGCAGAGGGCTATGTGGCTCCGGGGGAGAAGTTGGGAACTTTGAGCACCTTTGCGATTGGAGGCATTGCTGGTATCATCACTGTGTACGTGCCAATTTACCACTTCTTCTGTTCCTTTCAATTAACCGTCCATGCTAGTTACGTAACTCAACCTCTCGACACCGTCAAGACAAGAATGCAATCCATCGAAGCTAGTAAAAATTATAGAAACAGCTTCGTTTGCGCCGCCAGCATCTTCAAAAACGAAGGTTTTTTCACCCTCTGGTCTGGCGCTGTGCCTCGACTGGCCCGACTGATCATGAGCGGTGGAATTGTGTTTACTATGTACGTATTCCTATTATCCCCGGTTGAGCTTGGACTATGTCACTAATCCCATCTGAACAGGTATGAAAAGTCCATAGAGATGATGGATCTCGTCGATCCTCAGCGAAAGTACATCTAACAAGATAGACTCACCGGAGTGGATCTTCCCTTTATCGATATGAAACCTTTCGGATTTACTTTGGAACATGTGCTATATACATACGGTATGCTACAATCATAAGGTTTTTCTATTTTTTCAGTTTGTTTTTGGCCAAATCTTCAGCCACCATAGCCTCGACCTCGCGGTCTGCCATCCAGGTCCGCACGTTCTCCATGACTGTCTCCAAGCCATCACCACCGTCCAAAACAGCATCCAGATTGTGAATTGTCGTACCACAACGATGATCTGTGCAACGGCTCTGGCCAAAATTGTATGTTCGGATTTTGTCACCTCGGCCCATTCGAGCCACTCCACCCAAAACGCCTCGTCGGAGCTCAACCAGCTCCTGCTCTCGAGCCTCTTGGCGAGCTTCGGCTATCTTCGCCCGTAGGACCTGCCAGGCTTTCCGGCGGTTGGCCTGTTGGGACCGCTCATCTTGCATGGAGACCACGGTGCCAGTAGGGAAATGGGTCAACCGAATGGCAGATTCGGTCTTGTTCACATGCTGCCCACCTGCACCTCCAGCTCGCATTTTCTCTATGCGCACTTCTTGTGGATCTATATAGTAGTCGCTCGTCGGGTCTTCAAAGTTCAAAGCATTATCCATGCTACTTCCAGTTTCTGGGAAGCTCGGCAAGACCATCACGCTAACGGCACTGGTATGGGTACGGCCTTTGGCTTCTGTGGCCGGCACTCTTTGGACGCGATGGACCCCGGATTCTGTTCGTAAAAGATCATATGCGCCTTCTGCTTCGACTTCAATCACTGCCTCAGATAGACGATCCTCCGAGGGACCATCCTCCACGTCTTGTTTCAAAATCGTAGGTCGGAGCCCTCGACGGGAACAGAACGAAATGTACATGCGTAGCATCTCATACGCGAAAAGACCAGCTTCATCGCCCCCCGCACCGGGCCGGATCTCGATCAGGCATGGCAGTGCCGCGAACGGGTGCCGAGGAATTAGCGACTTCTTCAGTCGATCTGATATCGCGGGTAAAGCACCATTAGTTGACTGCAGATCCTCCGTCGCGAGAGAACGCAATTCCTCATCGGTTTGACGATCCTCCAGGAGAGATTTCAATTCGACAATGGACTGTTTATTTGAAGTCCACGGTTAATGGGCGGTAGGAATGTTAGAAGAACGAACCACCTACATCATTGGCATGATCCCATTCCTTCAAGACAGAGGTGACCGGTGCCAGCTCTCCAGCTCGCTTCGCGACTTTCGCATCGAATGATTCCGCGAGTCGATCCGTAAGTTTCGCATGCTCGGAGGCCAGTAACCGGGCTCGAGTTAGCAACACCGGAGATAGACCGGAGTCTGAAGAGCATGTCAGCGGCAGATCAGGACAAAGCAAGAGCTATAGGGGGGTTATACCAGAATGCACCGTTCGTAAGAATTGATTCAGACCGAATCTTGGCCGTAGAAACTGACTGCATCGTAACATTCTTGAGCGAAAGGAAAGGACGAAAGTTCTTTGGGAAAGTGGTTGGTCTCCGATAAGTGTAATTTATGTAAATTACGTGTAAAGGCCACGGCGTCCAAGGTCTCGAGAGCACTTCTTCCTACAGATTCACACTTCAAACCGATTTCTCCTTCCCTCCTCACACTTATCGACCATGTCCATTCCTTCTCCTTGAATTTGAAACTGAAGCAATCATGCGCTTTTCATTTGACACACTCACGACTGTCCTAGCCTGTCTATCGACTGGTTATGCCTTACAGATCCCCCCAAACACGCCGCTCTCCGAACTGATCACCTCCGCCAAAGCACATCTCGCCAAAGGTGAACCTCGTGATGCCTTGGCGTACTTTGATGAAGCTATCCTGCGGGATCCAACCAACTACATTACCTTATTTCAGCGCGGCGCGGCCTATCTCTCCATTGGCAAAAACCCACAGGCGTCCGAGGACTTTAATCGCGTGTTGGAACTGAAGCCAGACTTTGAGAGTGCCCTACTACAACGATCTCGCCTTAGAGCACGAACGGCTCACTGGAAAGAGGCGCTTCAGGATCTTGAGCGTGCGGGGAAGAAGTCGTCGCCTGATTACCAGGAGCTCGAAGAGGCGCGGGATGCGGCAGGACTGGCCCTTACTGCGGAGCAAAAGGGGGACTGGGAGGCCTGTATCACGCAAGCCGGAGTAGCGATTTTGAAAGCAAATACAGACCTGGTTCTTCGACAGGCTCGGGCACACTGTCGTTTTGAGCGAGGTGAGGTGGAGGAGGGCGTTAGCGACCTTGCGCATGTCCTGCAGATCTCCCCTGCCTTGATAGAGCCCCATCTGCAGATGTCCGCCATGCTGTTCTACGCACTCGGAGACAGCGATCGGGGTTTAACTCAGATCCGCAGATGTCTTCATACCGATCCCGACTCGAAGCCCTGCAATCGTCTTTATCGGCGGGAGAAACAATTGTCGAAGCTTCTCGGGAAACTCCATAGTGCACTGGAGGCACACAAGTGGAGCAACGCGGTCAAGCTTCTGGTCAACAGTGGCGATGACGCTGGTTTGATCGAAGACGTCAAAGAGGATGTCGCCGAGGCAAGGAAGGCCGGTCACATTCACCATGCCGCCTCGAATAATCTGTATACCTTCCTGGTCGAGAAAACGTGTGAGGCTTATCGGGCGGTTCGTATTTTCCGTTCCCTTCACTCGGCCGAAGCTGGAAGCTAATCTCAATGTTCTATTCTAGATGAATATGGCTAAGAAGGCTGGACCTTATTGTGCCGAATCCCTGCAATTGGTCCCATTCTCCCTTCATGGTCTTTTATACCAAGCACAATCGGCACTTGATGAGGATCGATTTGAGGATGCAGTACGCACGCTCAACACAGCCAAGGAACATCATCCTCATTCTCAGGACATTCAGTCTCTTTTGCAGAAGGCACATGCGCTTCTGAAACGTTCCAAGCAGAAGGACTATTACAAAGTATTAGGTGTGAGTCGCGATGCAGACGAGCGTACGATCAAACGGGCCTACCGTCAGTTGACCAAGATTAACCATCCGGACAAGGCCGCCACACAAGGTGTGTCCAAGGAGGCGGCGGAGAAGAAAATGGCCTCCATCAACGAGGCCTACGAGGTCCTGTCTGATTCGGAACTTCGGACTCGGTATGATAATGGGGACGATCCAAATGATCCCGAGTCTCAGCGAGGAAACCCATTCCAGCAAGGCAGTCCCTTCCAAGGTGCTGGTCAACAGTTCTTCTTCCAACAGGGTGGACCGCAGTTTAAATTCTCTGGCGGATTTCCCTTCCGTTGATCCTTTGATTGATTCCATTCCCATAGCACATGTTGCGGTGTTTTTAGGAGTATCTTACGTCGAGTCTTTCACGGACATGAATTCCATAATAATAGGTTTACAAGCTGGACAATTCTTGACATTGCTATTCTCGTAAGATGGTCCTGAATGCTTTGCGTTGAACTACCCCCACTTCTTCCACGTATTACGGACTAGTTGGTTTCGTAGACATGGATCTGACATCATGATCGGGGTGCGTTAGTGAGAGGTACATAGCTGACCTGGAAGACCTTCTCCTTGTTGACCGATCCATCTGCTCGTTTATCGACAACCCAGATATATTGTCCTCCGCTGACCCCGGGGCTTGCATCCGACTCCACGGGGATAAAGAGTCTGCCAGGGGCTCGCAATTGCTCGATTAGAACTGGGTGGAGCGTCTCTGCTGCTGCACCAACGTGGATGGCGTCATATGGAGCATCTTCTTTCCATCCTAGACGCCCATCCGCCGTAATAAATTTGACCTGTCCCGAGTCCTGTAGCGCCCGGCCCTGTTCGGATTTATTCATGTTTGAGCGGGCCAGCTCCACCAGATCGGAGATATGGTCGATACCGATCACTTGGCCCTGCCCCGGTGAACCAGGTGGGCCGGTTACTAGATTGGCCAAGACGTGGGTGAGGTACCCTGAGCCAGATCCAATATCCAGGACATGGGCTCCGGGTTGAAGGTATTCAATGAGATATTCACACGCGTGACCATGCATGTGTGGTGCGGAGATCGTTGCCCCATGACCGATGGGCTGAGGCGAATCGGAATAAGGCCGCGATGGAGCATAGTGAGCCCGATCAACCTTGGGTGATATATCAGATATGCGTCTTTTCTCTCTCGCCAATCTCGAGCAGCCGGGGGGGGCCCTTTTCGACTTACACCTAACATGGCTTCTTTGACGCGTTCATTCTTAATCAAATCGACCTTAAACAAGTTCTCGACCAACTCGGCGTTGGTGGACCCAGAGCAGTACCATGCCATTGTCAGGGTCCTTGTTTGTCTGAATTGAAGAATTCTGCTTAGTCGGCTGCACATGGGAGGGAGTAAGAAGGCCGGGGATGAAGTGCGAGAATCGCGATGGAATCGTGACGCCATGCTCTCCTCATCTCTCCACGTGACGTATTCGTACGGCTTGTTAAGATGGATCTCCAGAACATAGAAATAGTAGACACCGGCAAATATACTTATGTGTGTGATGCTGTTCGAGCTACATGGTCACGTATGGTATACACATAGCTGACTATATATATATTCCCTGTAGCACTAGGACGGTGGGTAGTCCATCATGAGAAAGATGGGGGCAAAAGAGAGAAAAGGCCCGAAAACTAAGAGTCATAGCCAGGGCTCATACTCAAATGCGAAATTGAAACCAAAAGGGAGGAACTTCAGTGAAGGGAACTGATGGTCGAGAGTCAAACGGGCCAAAACGGCCAAACAGTCAAACTTGCGGGGCGACGATCCAAAGCTCTTTTTCTCCCCACAAATCACAAACCACAGAACGCTTGCTCATGTTCCCATCATGAAGCCCCCCTATGATCTCAATGCCCGGGACACCATGCAAGCTCTTCCCGAAACCCACGTGGATGTGGATTTCATGATTGTAGACTATCTTGCCTGTCTCGCAATTGATAGCACCCTCGTGGCCATCGGGAGACAAACACAAGACCTAGCTGTAGAGCACGATGAACTGAACTGGCAAATTGACTCACTCAATGGTAAATCGACAACAGAGAATCCCGTGAGCATGACTGACGGCGCCACAGGACTTCGGACATGGCTGGCATCAACCCACCTGGAAACCCCGTTGCCTCAAGATCTGGCCATCAAACTGCAACTATTGACAGTGGCAGACCAGCTGCGGCGTTACATGGCGCAGGGATACCAGTTCCCCCGGGACCACTTGCGACTACCGACTATAGGAATGGCGTTCATGGACCTCTGCTCCACAGCATCTGCAAAGGTGTCAGAAACTCGATGGTTTGACACCGGCGCCCGCTTCCTGGTCCAGGCAGTACTTGAAGATCAGCGCGAAGGGAGTCCATCATCCGAAGATCTGCCCAAGCTCTGCTCGTGGACCCCCAGCGAGCCTGCCCAGATTTCGATGTGGGTTATCGCCCGACAGAGGTACGCAGGTGTATTATCGGATGCAAGTGCAAGCAACAAAGCCCAATCAATAGCGCTCCAGTATCCACTCCTGGAGTTCAAAGCCGTCGTCGGGACATTTCTCCGCGATCTAATGACCACCTTGGATGCCCCAATTCTCATTCAGGTAGAGCGAGGTCAGCTCGACGGCCTAAGCGCAGAAGAAACACAGCGTCTGAAGGCTCGAGTTGGGTTACGCTGAAATTGTCGTCTACAGTATGGCTACAACTTGGTCAGAAACATCTGGAAACCAGGCACCGGCAATTACCAGGCCCGGCGGAAGTGTGTCATTCAAGACGACATGGAAAAAGACACCAATCTAGCGATCTACCGAGCTGAAACATCGTTACTATATCGCCTTCCAGAGGTGCCGACCACCGCAAGTCGATGCAAGACTGCAAAGTCACCATGAGCAATGGTCAATCAAAAATCCGGTTCACCGAAGTCACAAGGAAACCGGAGATATCTACGAGTCGTCCCAAGTGCCAGACCGCCCGTAATGAAATGGCAGTTATAATTGAAATGGATAATCTACACAGGGTGCCAAATGGCTGCTCTAAGCATAACAAACAAAAGACAGCCTAGCAGGGTAATGACGGCGTCATTTACCCGAGCAACATGCGCCGCGGGTCCTCGATGTACTCCTTGACCTGCAATGGAATTAGTGAACGTTTCAAACGGAGAGGCCCAAAAGAACGTACCTTGACGAGGAAAGTAACGGCCTCACGACCATCCAAGAGACGGTGGTCGTAAGTGAGGGCCAGGTACATCATCTATCAACGACGAATTGTTAGCATGGTCTCAAGAGACAGGGCAGGATGAGGGGAACGATTTTACCGGGCGGATTTCGATCTTGCCGTTTACGACAACGGGCTTGTCCTTGATGGCGTGGAGACCCAGCACGGCTAGTAAGATATGTTAGGCTAAGGTTTCGGGGACAGAATGCACCGAAGGACTCACCAGTCTGAGGCAAGTTGATGATGGGGGTACCCATTAGGGAGCCGAACACACCACCCTGAGCCAAATTAGTGATTGTCCAATCAACTCATGCGAGAAAAACGGAATAATTAACATACGTTGCTGATGGTGAAGGTACCGCCGGCCATATCCTCAATAGTCAGCTTGTTATCACGAGCCTGTGCAGTCTTGGTCAGTGTTGTGCACAATATTCTCAAAACACTCATAGAATGCCTACCTTCTTGCCCAGATCGGCAATAGACTGCTCAATGCCAACAAGATCCATGGTCTCAGTGTTGCGGACAACGGGGGTAACCAGACCCTTCTCGGTAGCAACGGCCACACTGATGTCAACGTAATCACGGTAGACAATGGTGTCACCGCCGTTAGGGCCCTCAATGGAGGCGTTGACGGCAGGGATATCCTTCATGGCCAGAACACAGGCGCGCGAGAAGGCACTCATGAAGCCCAGCTTCACACCAGTCTTCTTGAGAACATCATCCTTGTAGAGCTTGCGGAGCTCCATCAGCGAGGACATATCAACCTCGTTGAACGTGGTGAGAGAAGCAGCAGTGTTCTGAGACTGCTTCAAGCGCTCGGCAATGCGAAGACGCATCCGGTTCATCTTGACCTGTATTTATGCCAAAAGCCATTAGTCTTAAGCCCCCCATATGCTCCTAATGCGTCAAAAAAAAAAAAAAAAAAAAAAAAAAAAAGGACATACCCGACGCTCTTCACGGTTGCCTAAAGTAGGCTTGGAGGTCTCAGCCTTAGGAGTCTCCTTAGGCTCCTTAGGCTTTTCCGGGGCGGCAGGCTTAGAGGCTTGGGGCTTGGTCTCCTTGGACTGGGTCTCCTCAGTCTTCACAGGCTCTGGGGCAGACTCTTTGGGCTTTTCGGCAGCAGGCTCCTCAGCCTTTTCGGGGGCGGCCTCCTTCTTGCCACCGGTTGGGGCGTCACCCAGCTCCAACTTGACAAGGTCCTGTCCAACGGTGACGGTATCCTCCTCGCTCACAAGGAACTCCTTGATAGTACCGGACTCCGGAGCATTCACCGAGACATCGATCTATTGCGCGAGACGTGACGTTAGAAGGCTGCAGATGAGCGACGAACGCATCGAGGACTTTACCTTGTCGGTCTCAATAGTGGCAATCTCCTCATCACGTTCTACGAAGTCGCCAATCTCTATAAAGTCCATGTCAATATCTATGCGCTGGAGATCTTGACAAGGGGACGGGTTTCATACGTTTCGAAAATTGCTTCAGTGTACCCTCTGTGATCGATTCGGCCATCTGGGGAACCTGGACGACCTTGTCGGCTAGAAACGAGGGAATTTAGTACGGCGTTTGAGCCAGCAGAGAAGTGTCAAGACTTGGTAGACTGACCATAGGTGCGGATCTGGGAACCCACGAAGGGAGCAAGGTTGCGCGAGACATTAATGCTGTTATTCTTTTGCATCAGCCAATTGCGCCCACCGTTTCAAAATGGAGGAAGGTTTCTGTTTACCCTGAGGAAGCCTGCAGCAGACCAGAAGCTCTAGGGGTAGCATTGGACCGGGTCAGGGTGGACAAGCTCTGAGCACCGCGAAGCCGGCTGGGACCGCGAGTGGCCCGGGTCAAAGTCGTTAAACGCTGAGCCGAAAGGCGCGCAAAAGGAAGTCGAGCAGCCATTGTGTATACAGAAACGTAAGCCAGTGACAATGATGAGACAAGGTGTAGAGGAACCCTCGGGAAAAGGTAGAGAAGGGAAAGGGAGAGGGAAAAAAATAGCGCCCTGATGCTGTTACGTAGCCGAAGCCAAAGACTCCCGAATGCCGAGATGCGGAAGATGGCAGCGGAGTAATGTTCTTACGCTCTCCAGGACCGGGTAAGGACCTACTATGCACTTTTTGCAACGAATGAGCTCCATCAGAATAGTCAACCCACCGCATCATCAATCCCCTTCGATTTCTTGGTTTGGCCGCGGCTATTGTCCGGGTGATTTGTTGCGCTACCAATTCTTCCCTACCCCTTGAGAAGACGAACAATCGAAGGTGTACATCATGTCCGCCTCTGCCGCTTTGTGAGTCTTCCGCGACCGGCATAATTGACCTTTCCTTGCTAACCAATTGTAGGTCCCTCTATCGGCGGTCCTTGAAGCAGTCCCTGGATTGGGCTGTTGACCGTCGCGTATGGCGTGGACAGGCTGTCTATATCCGTTCGTTGTTCGAGGCCAACAAGGACGTTCGTGACCCTCGCCAGCAACAGGTACGCGCTCCCATCAACCTTCCACGGAACACAATTCGATCTCGGCTCACATGGACCTAGGTTCTGCTACGTGAAACAGAAAAACTATTGCAAGAATGGAAACACCCGGATCCCTATCGTCCACCGACCGCCCCTGGAGGTATGTCTCTAAATATCTGGGTGGACGCTCACAGTATTGACCTCTGTCACAGGAAACAAATGGGAACGAAACCTGCCTGCTCGCATTCTACCTTGTATGTTGATCTATTTCTTTCCTTCTTTTCTGAAAGTCCCGAATATGGCATACTGATTTAGCGCAGATGCGGCTCCTCCGGCCGCCCACTGATGGAACGAGTGGTGGACTTGACACTCTTTGACTGTTTCTGTGTTTAGGGCAAAGCCAGCCTGTTCTTTAATTGAATTCCGGGCATCTGTAAAACACAACGAACTCCTTTCGAGGTCAAATTTTGAACCGTAGTATCGCAGTCATTTTGTTGTAAATTGAAGCTGGAAAATCATGTACAAATGAATACTAGAGAATCAATACGAAGATCCCAGATTGAGATAATGCAAATTGAATGGTATCTGATCGACCTAGAATCTTTTTATTGATTCGGGCATACGCCCCTGGGCTATCGGAGATAAAAAGCTGAAAATCCCATTCGAACTAGCTCGAGTTCGTCGGTATCATTCCATGCCCGCAGGCATAATGTACAACCAGGAAACTGAAGAAAGAAAACGCAGAGCCATAACGTGCCCGTCCCATAACCCCATTATCGTGAATGAACCAACCCACGCCGGAAAACAAACAAATCAAACCCGCGAAATAAAAGGAACCATCTACAGCTCCTGGCTACCCTTGGCGGCCTTGGGGGTCTTCTTGGGAAGGAGGTCTGGGGGAATATGTTAGCATCTGAAGATTGCGGGTAGATTGAGGAGAACTGACTCTGGTGGATGTTGGGGAGAACACCACCCTGGGCGATGGTGACGTGACCCAGGAGCTTGTTCAACTCCTCATCGTTGCGGATGGCAAGCTGCAAGTGACGAGGAATGATACGGGTCTTCTTGTTGTCACGGGCGGCGTTACCAGCCAACTCGAGAATCTCAGCGGCGAGGTACTCAAGAACAGCAGCGAGGTAGACGGGGGCACCGGCACCAACACGCTGAGCGTAGTTGCCCTTGCGGAGCAGACGGTGGACACGACCAACGGGGAAGGCCAGACCAGCCTTGGAAGAACGGCTACAGTAGAATTGAATGTTAGTGGATATTGGATTTGAGAGTGAAAGTGGGGGATGTTCAGATTTCGCGTGCCGAGGCGCGTAGAATGGATGGGAAATCAAAACAAGCCCGAAGTATGAACTTACGACTGAGCGTTCTTGCTGCCGCTAGCCTTGCCACCAGACTTTCCGCCAGTCATTTTGATATGGATTTGAGGGGGGGGTTGGGTTTGAAAAGGGTGAGGTATAGAAGTTGTTGAAAAGTGGTGGATGAGGCGTGAGATGTTAAAGGTTTCCAGGAAGAGGGGGCGTGGAGGAAGCGGAGGGACTTTATAAGGACGCGGTGAGAGTGACGTTGGCACTGTATCAACGAGACTCACCAGATCACGCACTCGCTTAGAAGAATCGACCAATCAGCATGAAGATCACGGTCGTGCGGGCATACCAGATGTGGGTTAGTGTGGTAATATAACATTGATACTAGACAATACGCATGACCCGCGTGATCTGCAGGCCGGAATCCCCACCCATTCCCAGCTAAAAACGCGTCTGGTCCCATTTTAATCATACAGATCATACACCCCCCATACGGTATTGAAATTCGGCCTCCTTTTCTGCACTCCCAGGATCAACTGCCCGTTGGCGGTCGAGTATAAAGACCGCGTTCCCCTCCGTCACCGCGTTCCTCTTATTTTTCCTTCCATATCTGCTCTCCTTCCACCACTCCATCGACTTTTTATTCCCCCCAACTCTTTTCAACTCTTTCACCTTCAACCTTTTTATCCATCATCAAAAATGGCTCCCCCCAAGGCTGCTGAGAAGAAGCCCTCCACTGCCGGCAAGGCTCCTGTCGGTGGCAAGGCCCCCGCTGAGAAGAAGGAGGCTGGCAAGAAGACTGCCGCCGGCACTGGCGAGAAGAAGAAGCGCGGCAAGACGCGCAAGGAGACCTACTCCTCCTACATCTACAAGGGTGAGTTCATTTGTTTGTCTTGGACAACGCGTTCACATTGCTGATGTTTTGTTATTTCCAGTCCTCAAGCAGGTTCACCCCGACACCGGTATCTCCACCCGTGCTATGTCGATCCTGAACTCCTTCGTCAACGGTATGCATCCTTCCCTTTGTAGATTTTGTTTATCTGATTTGTTTTCATTTTTCTGACTTGCCCTTTGTAGACATCTTCGAGCGTGTTGCCACTGAGGCCTCCAAGCTGGCTGCTTACAACAAGAAGTCCACCATCTCCTCCCGAGAGATCCAGACTTCCGTTCGTCTCATCCTTCCCGGTGAGCTGGCCAAGCACGCCGTTTCTGAGGGTACCAAGGCTGTCACCAAGTACTCTTCGTCCGCCAAATAAGCAGGCTCTGGGTTTTTCGTTTCTTGCGGGATTGCTTTTGTTTTTACTGCCTCCTGATCTTTTTCTGGGCTCTGAGGCGGTCGGTTATGGGTGTTTTGCGGGTTTTCTAATGTGTCATGGGATGGTCTCGATTTTCTTTTCCCCAATGGGCGACTTTTTCTGATGGTTACTGCTCGATGCGCGCGGTGTAACATAACTCGGGTCTGGGGCCGGTTACACGGTTTAACCTCCCCCCCTTACTAGAACGCGAAATACCAAATGCTTAATCGCATTCAATATCTTTTCTCTCAACTTTTATCACGGATTTCTCTCCACTGGTGTGCGGATAACTGACTTGGCATTACGGTTCTAGCTACTTGACTTTACAAATTTGTTTACTCCATTTCATCCGAATCGTCCAGGGCCTCCACCTCGTCCACCGCGGCCTTTCGACCGGGTCCCTGGTATCCCTTATCCAGTTGCGTCTCTCCCGTCAAGATATGAATAATCGGCTTCCCGGGGCTAGATTGCACCCGTTGCTTCCAGTCGATCCAATCAGCCTCATCTTTGATCAAAAACCCAATCAGCATGCTCGGATCCATATCTTTGAGGTGGATGCGTCGCAAGCGGCGAGTGTGATAACCTCCTCGTTCCTCAGCGGTATATGGCTCCTCGGGCTGGTGATGTGGAAGCGTGGGGCGCGTGGTGTGGGGATCAAGGAAGAACAGGTGGGAATCTTGGACACCCACAAAGTAGTGCGATGCGGAGGGCCGTCCACTGATGCCCGGTCTTGGTTAGCTCTACTCGGGTGTTGGATGGATGAAAACATACCCCGCTACCCCTACCGACTGAGGGTATTTCAAGACTGATCGCAGTCCATCCCAGTAAACTGAGGTGACTTGCTCAATTCCCAGCCGGAGGCCAAGAAGGATAAGGGTCGGTTGGAATTGCCCGGTTTTACTCTTTGCGAGCCGCATGAGCTGGTCTTCGTAGACGTCGGAGGTATCATTTGTCACGTAGACCTCGAGCTTAGGGAGGTTCCATTCGGTCGACAGGATCCTGCCAGACTGTGGTCAGCGGGGCTAGCGATTCTCGTGGGCTGGACACATACTGGATGCACCGGGCAGTTGCCGACGGACCAAACCATTCCCCGGGATATTTCCCACACGACTCTGCGCCACGCTGAACAAATCGATGTATTGAAAATGGAGCCTCGGGGTGATCGGCAAATAGCGCTAGTAGCTTCGACTCTTCATCCGGCTGGTCCCCTCTTCGCCAGGCTAGATAGACGTATTAGCTGTGTCGGCCTCTGCGTAGTCTGGATCTAGATCCCCCACCTCTGCCTAGTAACAAGATACAGAGTGTATTTGCAAGCAGGCTTTGTCCAGATCGAATCATGCAGCCCCAACCTGTATCAGAGGTGAAGCCTTGCGAGTCCATAAGCTGGGTCCGTAGGCGCACACCCAATGTCATCAAGGATGTCGCTTCAGGTGAGTGATTACGTGGGATGGGAGGAAAGTTGGAGCGGTATGTCATCCATATCCGTGATTCAAAGTCTATCAAAAAGGCCTCGGGCCATGCACTCCCGTTCGTATCGCGCAGTACTTCAGCTGACTGTGCGGAACTGTGATTCTTGGCTGTTCAAGTTTCAGCAGACGCCTTCACGGAGGAGCATATTTGGTTCGCAAGGAACATTCTTTTCCAGGATCAAAGCATGACATACCTGTGCTGGCGGTGTCGAGTTTCTCTGGGGGACGTGGATTATACTGTTGACCTAAACACCAGATTGAGGCCTCTGGTGCGGTGTCATTCTTGGGTTCAGGGTCCCAGAAGTATTGTACTATACGCTTGCATTTTTCCAGATCCACCCCGGTCATTTCGGTGATATGCCTCGGGATGTTTATCGGGTGTGGTGTAAGGGAGATGGGGAGAGATAGTCGCGGGGGAAGAAAAGCTCCACTCATGAATATATATCTTGGACGATCACCCGTGATAACCTTTCCAAGTCGCAGGGAGCAAGGAACCACACTAGGACAAAATTCAAACCCCACATCCAGAAGCCCACTGCATAGCTAAATACAGGAAAGCTCTTCTTCATGTTCCTCTTATCTTGGTCATGCTCAAAGACCAAGGATCGTGACCAGTCATGCCTGACGTCACCGTACTGAAGTTGAAGTTATGGAACGTTAGTTGGGATTCATCTGATTTGAGCTTTGTATTTAGAATACCTTCATTTTGATATTGGCGAAGTAGCATTCTCTAGCCAAACGTTTATTCCCTACGCAGAAGAGTACATAGAATAGTTATCCTGGAGTAGCTGATCCGCACGTTACGAGTGGTCCAGAACCCTCCCCACCGCCCTCCCCACCCGAACGCGCCCTTTTCCAACTCTCAACTTCAGGCGGAATTTTTTTCATTCTTTCGCCCCCTCTCCTCCGTTTACCACTCATCAAGTCTGATTCCAGTATGGCTCGCCATGGCAAGTCAAAGGCTCGTATGAAACGGGCCCCTGCAATGGCCAGTCAGTATAGATTTATATCCTCCCCCTTGTGAAATGCCAAGGCTTACCATATGAAAGAACCATCGCCACATCAGTTTACTATGCAGCAAGAGGCCCGCAATACTGAGACACATACCCGAAGCTGGTCACATAGCAATCTTCGACACAAGTCAGTTCAGTTTGTGAGCGCGGGACAGTTGCAGCGAACCGAGCAGGACATTGAGGAAGAAGAAAGCAGTCAGACAAAAACCCAGTTGGAGGTGACAGAGCTGGAATTTCAAGAACAGTCCGAAGAAAAGGAAGATGCCAGTGATGATTTCTTCTTCCTTGATGCCACAGGGGGTGAGGCTGTGCATACGGGTCTTCCAGACCCGACACTGCACTCGGATCTCTCTGACACCGAAGGCAGTGAAGATGAAGTTGTGTTTACTGGACGTCGGAAGCCCGTAGTGATCGAAACCGATGAAGCGGAGCTTCAACAGTACCTGCAAACCACCCAGAATGCGCTACCCCAGGCATCTGCTAGCTCAGAAGACTTGCAGCTCAATTACCAGGCGACTGTCGCTGAAACACATCCCGCTCCACGGACACAATGGAGACACATTCCGCTACAAAATGGACAAGTCCATGAACTGGCAGATCGCAGGGCTAATATAGACCATGGCTATGACCAAGAACACACTCAAGTATCCACCGAAGCTGAAGGTGGGATTGGGGTGGATAGACACCTTGCAGGGCCAGGATCGGATACCGAGAGACTCCAAAGCGTCCAGGCTCAAATGTCAGATATCCAGCTGGAGCAGCATGCTTCCAAGGACCAGCCGATTGAAGACGCCGAAGATGCCGAGGTCATAGGATCACTCGATGGTAAGTTTCCTCCCCTCCATCGCTGAGATCGGAGTGATTCGAGGGCAACCACTGTTCCCCAAATAGCCCGCACTAACGCGAAAAATATAGTACTCTCTCAAATGTATTTGGACACCGGACCAGACTCGTCATCCACATCAGAGGACGATGACGTCGACTTGGATTCACTTAACGAATTCGAAGAAGAGATGGATGATATGGACGATGAGGGGTTACTCGAAGAATTGGCCACCAGCTACTCTGCCGGGAAGAAGGGCAACCGTGGAAACCACACTTTCCTAACGGCAACAGCATTCGCAGATGCGCTCGACGCAGATCCGTACTATGGTCTCGACATCATGGATTTTGAGCGGCCCAGCCTACAGAAAAGATCCAAGGGCAAAAACTCACACTTGCTCGAGGGTATTATACTGTCCGACAGTGACCTAGACAGTGACCTAGAGATCCTCCAAGACGCCTGGGAAACGGATCGCAAGAAGAAGAAGGCCAAGAAGCAGGAGCGAGAAGAGCTACGGGCACAAGGCTTGTTAGGCAGGAAGTCCACAGATCCGGATCTGAAGGTTAAATATGCCAAGGGGATGAACCTGGATGATCTGATATCTGAGATTCGGACGTTCCTCCTATCCCCGAAGAGCAGGTGTGTACACTAATTCCTGACCAGTCTCCTCAATATCCCCAATTTATCTAACCAAAACCAGTCTTGCACTGCCACCCATGACCAAACACCGCCGAAAGACCATCCATGAGCTGGCAAACAAGGTGAATTTGAAATCGCAATCCCGGGGTAATGGGTTGACTCGCTTCCCTATTCTCCTGAAAACATCCCACACCCCCAAGTATACTCGCAAGACTATCCCTCAGTTTGATAATCTTTTGTCCGGTAGAAAGCTGAATCGTCGGCTTTACCAGTCATGGGGCCCGGATGCGTCCAGACCAACCAAAGCTAAGCGAGGTGGCGGCGGTGGCGGTGGTGCTGTGTCTTATATGGATGGCGATGTGGTTGGAGCCTCGGCGCCTGAGATTGGCGCAGGAAATCGAGGACGCGCCATGCTGGAGAAAATGGGATGGAGCAGTGGCACGGCTCTTGGAGCCTCCAATAACAAAGGAATCCTACAGCCTGTCACCCAAGTGGTCAAGAACTCACGGGCGGGTTTAGGCTAGGGGGATTTCTCATGTTTCTTGGTGCCCTTCGAATCATGCCATAACGTGAATATAGATATACAATCAACAGAATTGGCCTTTCTTGCGAGGGGTTGGCTGGACCTCAACCCCCGAAAAAAAAAAACTGCTCAGGGTGCGCGTCACCGTTTTTTACTCTTAGAGGTTTTCAGTTGTGCATGAGTCGGGTTCTCTTTAATGTGAGTGAATAACTTCGATCTCGAAGGGAAGATAGCACTGCATTTTGCGCATAGAATCTCCGTAGTCTGTTCATCACCCCTAGCAGCCTTTTTAGCCCGCTTTTGCTTGGCCTTGCCCATTTGAGGGGCAGCAGCTGGCCGGTCATCGATCCCAGAGGAGGATAGCTGCTCAGTCAATGAAGTCACGAAACTATCTTGCAGCGGGTCGACGTCCGAATGAAGTCTAGTTTGAATGGACTCTCTTGGGGCGTAGTCGTCATCCTCGATAGACTTTGAAGAAACCTCCTCATGGTATGGATGAGAAGATGACGGGTGATGAGAATCGGTCTCTGAATCAGATGAGTGCGTCGTCCCGGGTTCCATAAGCTGGTCGCTTTCGGCCTCGATAATGACAGAGCTTTCCGACTGCTCGTCAGAAGACATTGCAGGAACGAAACCATCGCCTTCACTTCTGATTGGAGCTTGGGAAGCGCTGGTGTGGATGATTGATTCCAAACCCAGATCTTCATCTTGCGCTCGCATTTCCCAACATAACTGCTTGACAGCCTTCACATGTTTCTTACTTCGTTCATGAGCCTCGAATTGCTTCTGACTCTTGAACCTCTTGTTACATGCCACACATTCAAAGTTCTCGATCTCGCTCTCGGAGCTCTCTTCTTCTTCGATCCGGGGCTCTTCAGATCGAGCCCACTCTGGAACAACGTGATCGCGCATCTTAGCCTGATTTATTGCTCGAGATCGGGCCGCTTGAGCGGCTGCCGACTGACGAAGAGTCTCTTGACGTTGAGCTTCACTCTGGGCATTCGCTTTATACCGCGGGTCCCGTTTCTTGACAAAGGCCACCAAGGACCGAACCGCATCATTGAACTCGCGAATGCCTTCCTCTCGAAGGTGTCGGTTCTCCTTTTCCATGAGTCGTCGCACTCGACGATCTGGGGCCTCAGAGTAACGATATTTATCCTTCCAAGCAAATGATTTACGGGTCGAGAATCCAGCCCAAGAAGCGTAGAATGGCCGCACGACAGTCTCAAAGTTATCATCACGACCACCAAACGATGGATATTCCACCATATATTGACCGTCCGACTGGCAGGCTAGTCGCTCCTCTAGGGCCAACTGGGTAAACTGTTCTCGAAGGCCGCCAAAAAACCCAGTTGGTAGGTCGGAGAAATCCATTCGCGGGCTGAACTTCGAAAAAACCTTGAGAACCTCATCCGCTGTCGTAAATGACTGTGGGCCTCCATCAGAGCCTCCCTCAGTCCCTAGGAATGCGTCGCTGTGAGAGTCATACCAGGCACGCTCTTGTGGATCGGCGAGGACCTCATACGCGGATTGAATTTCGGCAAACAGCCTGGTGGCCTCGTCGACATTTCCATAATTTCGATCAGGGTGCAGTTCAAGCGCCTTTCTGCGGTAAGCTTTCTTTATTCTGAGGGGGAGAAAAGAGTCACATTAGTCGAGATGTGGATTTGTGTAGGGAGTTCCTCTTCTCACTCGTCATCCGTTGCCGTTGGAGTCACTCCTAACAGTTCATAATAATCTGTCTTTTGGCCCAGTTGGCCCTGTGGCTCCGAGGCCTTGGAGCCTGTAGATTGAGATTGACCCATTCAAAAAGTTAGAAACGGAAGGTGGGGGGCGGAAGGGAAGTTTAGTCGGAGGGGGAAACAAAAGATCAAGTTCTCGGGCTTGGCACAATTCCTCCGCATTTCCCTATCTCAGATCATGCCCATTTCCAAGGCGATCAAAGGTCCAACGCTGGCGTTGACTTCATCCCGTGCACTGATAGTGGAATCATCTCATCTATCGCCTATCTTCTGTTCGAGTCTTTGAAGATCGACTAGAAAACTCTCTTGTCCATCGAGTCCAGAATTCCTTTGATCATACACAGGGATGGTTCTGTCTCTGAATGACCTCCCAGAAGAAATCCTTCATTCGATTTTATGTGCATCTCCACCTCGATCTGCTGCTGCTTTGCAGCGAACCAGCCACCGATTCGAAAATGTGACCAGGGAGCCTTTGTTATGGCGTCACTACTGCGAGACACATTTCAGCTCCTGGGATAAGCAACATGAAATCTCTCGGAAGCTCACTGATTCGGTATCATCGGTCGACTGGAAAGCACTATTTATATCAAGATTCAAAATCGACCGCTCCGTCTGTCGACTTCTGAATAGTATTCTTGCTAGCCAAACAGGGCGCATCGAGAAGTTCCGCGCGGTTATTGATCTTGGATTCGATGCTCAGGACACTCTTGTTTATCACAGCAAGGTAGAATCGGGGGAAGATCACTTGGCCAGAAGGTGAGAACCTAGAGACTTCTCTATTTCCCTTCCCTTTTGTGAGCGGGCAGGGTTGACTGGGGTTTTGAAAAGGTACTATGCCCGAGCGCTTTTGACCTGCCTTCATCGAAGTATTGCAGTACCCGAATGGGCCAAGCTCAGACGTGGGGAACCCGTCGCGCTTGAGCGTGCTATAGCTGCTTTTGATCTTTTCATTCCAGAGAGTGGGTTTGGCGACTTGGATCAGGTAGCATCCCTTCCTCGCCTGCACCTAACTGGCACTGATAATCTCCAGGTTCGGGATATATTGGACGGTATTGTCGCCCGATTTTCCATTTCCCATTCCGATATCAATGAGCTTCGGCCCCGAGAGAAGGCTCTGCTGCTTGCGTCTTGGCTCCAGGAGAAAGGTCTTACCGGGATCGAGCCCGGGCGACCGTATCATTCTTTGGAGCACAATTTTCTAGGGCTAGCTCTGACAAGCCCCGGTCACAATTCCTTACCATTGATCTCCGCCGTGATATATTGTTATGCGGCACAACAGTTGGGAATAGACGCCCGTCCTTGTGGGTTTCCATTTCATGTCCATGTCATTATCTCTCCACCGACTGGGTTTGACATGAATGGAAATCCGCAGATTGGCGAAGAGCCAGGTGCGCCCATGTATCTAGATCCGTTCCGAGGGGCACGGGAGACCACAGTGTCTGATCTCCGTGATCAGTTGGTCTTTCTTGGTGCCACAGACGCCGAGCAAGCAGAGTTCCTAGGTGGAGCGCTACCCTCGCAGATTGTCTTGCGCTGCAGCAAAAATATACTGAACTCCATTCGCTCTACATCGCATAATCCCAATATCCCGGCCACCTCGATGGATGTGGTGGGTGCTAAGTACGCCGCCCTGTGGTCGTCGATGCTTCTCTCCGGGGACACTCGGCCCATGGAGCTGAGGCACCAATTGCCCTGGTTGATGGAGTTGTTCGCTGCCGACTTCCCATCCGACATCTTCCTGGTGGAACAGCACATCGTTCCACTTTTCCGGGGACTGTTCGAGCACGATCATATCTTAGAGAGTCTCCATGTCATGCGAGCGGTGGATGAGATTCCAAAACAAGTCCGGCGACGGTCTAGTGAGAATAAGAATATACGGTACAAGGTAGGCCAGGTTTTCCAACACCGACGTTACCATTATCGGGCCATTATCACTGGGTGGGACTCGGAGTGTGGTGCTGGGGAGCAATGGATGCGACGCATGGGAATTGATCGCTTGCAAGCGGGCCGGCATCAAAGCTTCTACCATGTTCTGTGAGTTTGCTGTTCCTCGAATTTTCATTTCCCGACTTTGCCACTGATCATGAATCTAAGTGTCGAGGATCGAAGTGTGAGATACGTTGCGGAGGAGAATATCGAGCTTATCCTGCCGCAGTTGATGGAACTGCCGCAAAGCCTCATGACGATCGCGGGCAAGCATTTCAAACGGTGGGATGAAACTACTCGGTCCTTTGTTAGTAATGTACGTGACGAGTATCCGGATGACTAGCTGCCGATAACCCTCAAATGGATTACACGGGCGGTTACAGGACTACTTTCCAGTGTCTAGGGTGAGCGGCCTAGCGAGCAATGGGATTCCATTGAGATTATTAAGTTCGGTTAAACTGCCATCAGTAGTCAAGACTCAGGAATCACACAAAGGTCTATCAAAAGACTTGAACCAGAGCAAGACAAAGCACTTCTTCCTCTTGTTTTTTTCTCTTTGTCTTTGTTCTTCATTTCAGGGCCATATATCACATCGCCAGATTGCTGATGGCCGAAGTGATAGGAACCGACACCACCCTGAGCAACACTGAGCAGTAAACCAGCACTCATCCCAGCGGTCTAAGCACATCGGGTCTCCGCCAGGATGCCACGGCGGGTAACGTACCATGCACTTTCCATTCTCTCCACAGTACTGTGGTTTGACGCAGTCCCGGGTGTTTATACAACCTTTAGTGCATACCCCGTCAACGCAGATAAAGCTCCAAGGACAGTCAGGATCCAAAACACAGAGCCTCTCCGGATCCTCGTCTGCTCTTGTGCCAAGGGTGATAGAGGAATTAAGGTATTGGTCGGTTGAGTTCTTATTGTCTGCTGGTTGTCTAGATACTATATTGTATCCCTCGCGAGCGTATAATATCTTTGAACTCATATAATAGACTGAAAGACCTAGCGCAACAGCAATGAATAGGAGGTAGTAGAAGGCTTCGCCCCTCTGGAGACTACAATACCGCATGGTGGAAATGGTAGCTATAGTCTTGATAGTTGGATCAGAGAGTTGTATAATTCCTTGCAGGGTAAAATAAAGAGCAGTCTAAATAAATCTTTTATGCATACGATTGGAAATTAGCCTATTCGAGGTTGGTGGATGGGTTTTTTTGTTGACCTGATTAGGTCTAGTAGGGCATTTTGATATTTCTTGACCTATGTCAATGACTCAGAACTGATATTCAGGGATCATCATTGACCGTGGTAACATGATTTATAGGGTTGACTGAATATTAAGCTTTCTTATTGAGCTATACCTATCTTGATTAGCGTAAAGCCATGGTTTCTTATTTTACAAGAGCTATAATATATCAATGATACCATATCTAATAAGAACAGCGATATAATTAATAGAAAGATAAGTAAATATAAGATGGTAAGGATATTCTCTTCTAGTAGAATAAGTACTAATACTTAGAAGACTATCAGAACCCTCTCTGATTATCTACCTTGATATAGAATTAATATCCATACTTATTCATCCTATGTTTAAATATATTTTTTAAAACTTTATATCTAGAATGAACATAAACTAATACCACTTTAGATTATATGGAAGAAAGGAGGAAAATATACTGTTAATTAATAAATATTGCTTATACATAAATAGCTAAAGATATAGAAGGTATATATTATGGACCTACTTAGTCTATACTATAGGAAAGAAGTAGAGAGCTTACTAATCCCTAGGAAAGGACTACGGGCTAAAGGTTATGTATAAGATAGTAAGACTTAGCTATCCTAGAACTAATAAGAAAACTACGCTAGTATTATTGGTATAACTTATAGGATTAGATTAAAAGGTAAAGATTAAATTTTATCTCAAATAAGTATATTACTATAGATATATGGTTTCTTAATCTATATTAAATCCTGAAAGATTATATGTATTTCAAGAAATAGTTTTATAGTAATCTATTTTTCTAGTAATATAATTATATATAATTAGATTTATCTCTATTATTAATTTATAAAAAACTATATTCTAGGAGTTTAAAAAAATCCTTTATTGTTTAATAAAAATAGACTAAGATATATAAATTTTTAAATTCTATAATTTAAACTAGATTATCTTATTCAATTTTCTTTCTTATATAAATTTACTAAGTAAGAGTATTCCCTAAACCTAATTTTAGGCCTTGTATTACTATACTTAATTTAAACTATACAAAACTAATATACTTACTAAAGATTATATCCTAGTTATGAGAATTACTTAATAATTTAGTTAACATCTTATCTAAGGTTAGTAGGGCGATTAAGTACTAATATTATGGAATTAGATTAGATAATTTAGGTAGTATAGTTAAGCTAACCTAATTTAGAGTCTTATTAGGAAACTCTAGGATATAGAAAATAGAGAAGAAATAAGCATAAAATTAAAATCATTCTACTAAAATATAAGAACAAAATACAGAAGATTTAGATAAGAATTTAAATAGAATAAATAAATAAAGGAAGACTATTTTTCAAGTAGGTTACTAGAGATTCCTAGCTAAAATAAAGGAAAAATCGTAAACTTAGAGAACATATAAGGACTCTATTCTTTAATATATCTATATATATCCTATATTACCTTAAGATTTTTTTTAACACTTAAAATTCTTATATTTTGATTTAGATCCCTATGCTATCTTATTTAAAGACTCTTTAGGCTTAAAGACTAGAAAGAGATTTTTTAAGTAATTATTACACGCTTTAATTACTAAACTATTAAACTATACTAAATTATTATTTTTTACACTTTTTTAGCTTTTCTAGCGTTATATCTTCTATATCTATTATATAAAGTAATTTTTTATTATCTCTAATAACCTAGCTATTAGAATCCTTAGTCTCTCTATTTTTATCCAATCTTTATAGAATTAGGACTAATTCTTTTCTTAGTGGCTTAATATATATAGTCTAATCTTTTCTTCTTCTTCTTATTATATCTCTAAATTTACTAGTTTAATATCTAGAGGTATTAAAGTAGTTAGGCTTGATAGCTACTTTCTAGACTTTTTAGTCTAAATTAGATATTAATAGTAATTTCCTCTTAAGCTTATTAATATATTAATAACCTAGCTTATCTAGTAATACTTAAAATTATATTTTAATTAATCAAGCTCTTTAGTCTAATGTTTAACTTAATCTAATATTTTTCTAATATACTTTTTAAGCTTATTTCCTATATAATTTAGCCTTTTAACTATTTAAAATAATAAATTAATAAATTAAGAATATAGTTCTAATATATAGCCTAAGAGTTTAAGAATTAGATTATTTTTATATCTTCTATCCTATCTTTTTTATATTAATTTAATGATAATATTAAGATTCAAAGGCTAAATTCTAGTATCTTAAAATATATTATTAATAATTTATATACAAAATAATTTCTATTAAATTAAAGTACTATTTTAGAAGAATATCTACTATATTAAATCAAGCTAGAACTAAATATTTATAAATATATTTAACCTTAAAAATAGCTTTTAGTCTAAAAATTAAATAAAATAAGAGATATAAGATTAAAAGCTAATTAGGATAATTTTATGATTTTCATAAAAATTAAGGAATTTGAATATAAGACAAAATTCATATTTATTAAAGAAAAGTATATATTCTCTATTAATCCTAATGTAATTTTTTATATTTTTATAGAATAAATAAAGCTAATCTAGGGTAATTAGATCAAATAATTAATTATTTAAAGAGACTTAGATTTTATAATATTAATTAAATACTAGATTATTATAAAACTAGTCCTTTATATATATCTAATCTTAAAAGATTGAATATAAGACTATAATCTAATTATCTATACTAATATACTTAATTAAGATAATAACTTAAGCTTAATTTTTCTATATATATAGAACTAATAAAGTAGTATTTAATATAGGAGGCCAAAAAACTAGGCTAATTATAATATATCAGGCTTATTTTAGTTAGATATAGTAGCTAGGGCTTACTAGTAGTATATTTTAAGTTTAGATAGTATATTAAATATCTTTTAGTAGAGAGATAGGATTAAAAGATTAAAATCTAATAATTTAGTATAGCTAACTAAGATAGGAGGCTTAGTTAGTATATTACTAATAATCAAAGCGTGTGATAATTATATCTAGATATAAATTTACTATATATTCTCCTTAAGGAATTTCCTCTATATCGTATTTATAATAATTATCTCTAAATATCTCTTCAGTTAGACTTTTCTTTGACTATTTATAAAATATCTTTGATATAGATTTTAGCATTTATTTAGTTATATAAACTTAATTTATATATAAAAATTTACTACTAATATAGTCTTATATCTTAAGTTTATTAGACTAAATACTTACCTAAATTTAATTTCAAATTATAGTTTCTTTGTAAATCTTAAGCTATTTCTAATCAAATTTCTTTTTTAAAATTTCTATTAATTAGAAAATTCTATTCTGATTTCTAGTTTAAGAGAGTAAATTTCTCTAAAAGTTATTAAATTATTAAGAACTAATTATATATAAGATTAGTAAGGTAACTAATTACTAATATTAGGGAATTAGATTAGTTAATTACTATTATATAGTTAAGCTAAGCTAATTTAGGTCTTCTTAGGAAAACTCTAAAATATAGAGAAGAAAATAGATAATAAGACTAGAAATAACCCAATATAAATAGAGACTAAGCATATAAGATCTATAATAGATATAGACTTAGATATAATAAATAAAATGAGGAAATATCATATTATAATATATAAGGAATCTATCTATTCTCTAATTTTATAAAATATTTATTTAAAGTTAACTAAGCTCTTAGTCTTCCTTTTTTAATTATTTTAATTTAATAAAGTAGATATTTCTTAAGGATATTAGTATAATCTAAAAGAGCGCTTTTGAACTAAAGATAATAGATAAAGTATATAAATTAATTAGAATTTAGGCCTTTAATCTTAGTATTATTCTTTAGCCTCTTAATAAATAATAAGATAGAGTATATAGAGAATATAATTAAAAATAAATAATCCTAAAACTATCTTTTTTGTATATTAATTTACTATCTTATATTATTATTAGACTTATTATATTAAATATGAGTAATAGGCTCCTTAAGTTATATGTGAAATAATACTCTTGAAATATACTTATATTAGACTATATTCTTTATTCTTTTAAGCTTATTATTAATAATAATATTATCTAAGCTAAGATTAGGACTAAAGATTATAAGTAAAATATAGGACACTTAAAGTTATGTATAGCTACA